CTGCACTAAGAAAGTGGCTGGAGCCACTGTTGATGATCTTCAAGCTGCTCTGGAGAAACTGTTGCTCACTCAGGCAGCTGCCTTTCAGATGGCCTTACAGTCTCTGGTTCAATTATTAGTCCTCCAGATTGATTCAACTTTTGCAACAACATACCAGTTCAAGAATCTTGCATTGTAGGCACAGAACACATTCCTCTTTCCTGCATGATCTGCTGGCTGTTTCTTCTGTGGCGAGCCCAATCACTTCATAGCTGACTGCACCTGAGTCCTACTCTACATCAAGATTGGTCATATTATCCTTGTAAACCAAAGATTCTGTTTCCATGATGATAGCCTCATCTATTATGCCCAGTAGCACATATGCTTAAAGGCTGCTGTTGATGAAGTCTTTGATGGACTGCTGCCCCCTCCAACTATCTCCCAGTCTACTCCTAATCCTCTGACTGCTCAGTCTGCCTCACAGGATTTTTAGACTGCATAGCAATTGACAAAGGCTCTGAGCACCCCACAACAGCTTTTATAGAAGAAGTAAATGATGAGCCTGATATTGCATATATTGCTATGCTCACCAAAGAAAGTGATGATGTCTGGTGAGATTTTCTTAGGATGGTATGCACTAATATCGATATAGAGGATTCAAAGAATGCACAGGAATAGCAGCAATGACAATCCAGAAGAAGAAGAAGAATGAAAAAGCCTTATTTACTGAAAGAAAGTCAGATCAGAAAATACAAGAAGAAGCTCCTTTACCAAACAAATATCAGCCTGTATACAGAAATGAGTCTCTATTGGATGACCCAACAGCTATTTCTCAAGTATACCAAAAGATCCTGGATATACCTATCACACTCTTAGTATGAGACCTATATGCTATCAGTAAAGATTTGGCAAAAGAAGCTATAACAGACAAAAAGATAAGTTGTGTACTGATCCAGGCAACAACCACTCTTACTCAGGCCATTCTCACTCCTTCTGTACTCAAATATGCCATGCCATTGTGCACTATAAATGTCTCTATTGCTGAGAAACAACTAGAACCTGCCCTGCTAGATAAAGGCTCTGAAATCATAGTCATCCACCAGGACCTGGCAGAAGAATATGGTCTTGATGTTAACAAGCATAGAAGCATGGTGATGAAAACAGCAGCAGGTGCATGAGACAAACTCTCTGAATGTGCTGAGAAGCTAGAGATTGTAGTTGATGGCTTGACAACTATTGCACATGCCTTCATAGTTCCAAAGGCTCCCTACTATGTTCTTTTGAGTCACCTATAGCAGAGAGCAGTCTATCTGCAGAAGTAAGAAATAGCAACTAGAGTGACTATCAAGATCTGAAAACCAGCTGTCACCAACCCTCAGCATTGGGAAATAGTGACAGAGGAATAGAAACAACCAGCAGGAAGAACATTTAGCATCTTGAACATTTTAGACAATATAGTGAAGGAATGGCAGCAGAATCCAAATGCCTGCCTAAACAAAGAACCTAACACAGATCTGGCAATTACAGAAACTTATGCATTTACCAACCATGTACTTTCTGATACCTTTACATTCAATACAGATACACATTGTCTCCTGTACAAAAACATGGACAAGAAAGCCAACCTCATATCTGCTACTCTGCCTAAATATGCAAAAATCCAAAGACAATTTCCTGAAGATCCTCTCCTATCCTTGCCACCACTATCCTCTTTTCTGACTGACTTCCATCCATCTTCCTGCCTTACACACCAACATCTAGACATGCTTAAAATCTTAACAAATGAGTTTTTATGGCTGGAGGAATGCTGTTTAGCAATCAATGTTCTGATGTATAATCAAGATGTCATTGTGTTTATCAATGAAGAACATGGTTGCCTATGAAATGACTATGTCAGACTGGTCATCATCCCACTTGTCAAATATGAACTTTGAGCATGCCGATCTATTTCTGTGCCCCTAGACATCTAAAATCAAGTTATTGCATAAGTAGAAGAAAAGGTGCACTAAGGTCTCTGGGAACCTTCTGACAGCTCATACCAGACACAGTGGTTCTGCATTTCAAAGAAAGATGAGAAGATTAAGATTATCATTAATCCAGATAAAATGAATAGATATATCATATGGACTACTGGACAACCTCCTCTCTCAGACCAATACTGTGAGCATGCAGCTAGCTATAGCATCTATATAGGCATTGACTTGCTATCTGGCTATGATCAGCATACTCTGGATATCTTCTCATGTGATATTACCACTATTAATACTCACCTTGACCCTATGCATCTCACTACATTGTCTCAGGAGTGGACAAGCTCTGTCAATATCTTCTACCACAATATTATATTCATCCTGCAATATGAAACTGATGTAGCACCAAACTTCATTGATGATGTCAATATCCTGGGTATGCAAACTTGCTATGAACTCCCTGACAATGACTCTGAGAGGCATCCAGACAATAGCAATATCTAGAGATTTGTATAGAAGCACTTACTGGATGTACACTAGATCCTCTATCACCTCAAGCATGCAGAAGCTTTAGTATCAGCAAAGAAGCTCTGGGTCAGTATGTTTAAACTTGTTATTCTCAGCCAACTTTGCAGCTACAATAAATACCTACCTGAGAATATTGCAGTATAGAAGATCGAGTCCTGATCCTCTTACTGTAATGTCAAACAGGTCTATAGCTTCTTAGGACTTTCAGGCACTGTTTGGATATAGATTCAGGACTTCACTGCTATTGCATGACCACTTATCAGGCTCACTATCTATGATATCCCCTTCACTTAAGCCTAGAAGCAGCAAGATGCTATGAATACCTTGAAATCTGCCATTGCCATCTGCTTAGCAATATGTCCTATTGACTATACTTCTGGTCAAAATGTCATACTCTCTATGGACTCATCAAAAATTGCTTGTGGATTTCTGCTACAACAAAAAGAGATCAACAACCATCAATAAATCACTCATTTTGGATCATTAGCCTAGTCCAATATTGAATTATGCTACTCACAGACAAAGATCAAACTTTATGAGCTATGGCATACCTTGCATGCTATACAAATTTATCTGGTCAGCCTTGAGCACTTTATTGTGGAAATGGATGCCAAGTATATTAAGAGTATACTTAATAATCCTGACCTACATCCAAATGCATCAGTCAACAGATGGATTGCAACCATTCTCATGTTTAACTTCACCTTGATCCACATCCCAGCAGAACACTTCAAATAATCTGATAGTTTGTCAAGATGCAAGCACACAAAGGACATAGGGGACATATCAGATAATGAGATAGAAGACTGGATTGATGATGACATATTAGGTTGCAGCATCTGGGTAGTGATATTTCTGTGTGAGAAAGTTAGCATATCCAATGGTCCATCACAGGGGACTCTGCCTTCACAGGCATTCACAGCAACTGTTTCTAGAATCAACAATAAAGACTTACCCTCATAGAATGAGAAGCATGCACCACAGAAACTTGCTATAGCCCATATTCAGCACTATTTGAAGCTTGAACACTTGCCATCAGTCCCACAAACAAGACTCCTAGCACTCTAGCAGCAGACCTGCCAGTTCTTCATCCTTAGGGAGAAACTGTTCCACTATAACTCAGGAGATTGATATCAGCTTGTCATTCCACATTCTGGACAGCTGGCAATCCTCTATGCTGGGTATAATAAACTAGATCATCGAAAGAGATTCTACCTGACCTGACAGCAGCTCCAAGACTGTTTTTGGTGGCTAGGAATGGAGGATGATATTCAATGGTACTTGAAGACATGCTATAAATATCAACTAGAGTCTACAGAATATGTATGCTTACCTCCAAAGATCTTTATGCCTACAGACCTGTTCTAGAAGTGCTATATTAACACCATGCACCTACTGAAGGCTTCCAAGTATCAATACATCATTCAAGGGAGGTGTAGCCTCACTCACTGGTCTAAGTTCCAGATGCTTTGAGCAGAGACAGATGAAATAGTCAGCCAATTCATCTTTGAAGAAATCTTGTGTTGTTGGAGTGGTATTGCAGAGATCCTTGTCACAGATAATGAACCTCTAATGGTTGCCACAGTGAAATATCTGACTAAGATATACAGCATCTATCACATTCATATTTCAGCTTATAACTCTTAAGCTAATAGCCTCATCGAGATTATACACTGGCCCATCATGATATGCTAAAGAAGCTGTATGAAGAGAATGAACAAGCCTGGCCAAGTAAGACTCACCTGATCTTTTTGTTATGATTTTTTCCTCTTCACATCTTATTCATCCCTATTTATGCTTAGTCAGAAGGCATAGGATTGTGGGAGGGCTTAGTCAGCACAACTAACCTGCCCATCAAGTCAACCTCAACAAGAATGCTTGATGACACATAAGCATCCCTTTATGTATGGTAACAATGCTCAAGGACAATGGGCACTATGGACACAGGTGAACACAATTAGTAATAGTATTATTAGTACCATCTGTACAGTATTTAAGACCGATGGCTCTCACTGGTATACTCCAGCTTCGAGCTAAAGTTCACAACTACCATTCTATCTCGAGTCAAACCTTAACCTTGAGTCACTTCGGAAAGAGACCAACTCCATAGACTCAGCTGATCCCTCAAAGTGTGAAGGGATGGCTGTTTATCACATGGTTTCGTTCATGTGACACTTGGGCCTAACGATTAGCTCGAAGCTTCTAGCTTCCCTTTCTCAAGCCCAATTGTGCTGAGAAACCGAATGCCCCTCACAATCTCTACCGACCCAAACTTTGACCATGAGTTCTTTGAACTCCTCTCTTCCATCATCAGAACATTGATAGGACTTTTGGTGATCATCCAGCTGTGCCAGGGATGCTATTCTATCACCATATGAGCTCTTAGATATTACAACGAATTTCTACGTATCCACAAAATTCTATGAAACATAACCTCCAACCTCTCTTTACATGACATCCTGAAATCCAGACGAACAATCTACCAGCCCCCAGAGGCCAGGTCTAGCAGCATGCATCAGAGGGATGGTGAAGAAGAAACAGGAGGACAACATTCTCCCTAACTCGGAAACACAAACGATAATATCCCAAGAAGGCATGGAATACTCATACCAGGACCGCCCCCCAACCATGAGGACAAGGACCTCCCAGAAGACTTCTTCCACCAGTCTCCCTCCCTCGATTCTGTCCCCCGAGCCCCTGGGATTGCTGACCATGCTAGGGACTCTCTTGATGCCCCTTAGATGGCTCACCAATCCAGCCCCTGAACTCTTAACAGCCAGCCTCACAGCTCCCGTCCTTCCACCCGAAACAGCTCAAAGGTGGGGGGACCCCCTCCAAACAACGAAGAACAATGACGATGAGTATGAGAAGAAACCGTCTACTGGTACTTCCTGACCTGGGACTTCACCATCCCTTTTGACTATGATAACACCGTTTGACAGGAGGAGCGAAGGAGGCAGGATGAGCTGCAGCCAGTACATCACGAGTCAGAGAAGCAACAGAGGAGGGAAGCCATACAGTATGACGAGCAGCATCGAAGCGAGCAGTGGGAGGTTGAAAGGGCCTGACTTGCAGCAATCAACGAAGGCAACTGGTACAGGCTATGTCCCGAGATCGCCAGTGTCCTCACACCCACACAAGGAAACCGCTCACCAACCCCCCCCTTCAGAGAACCCAGCACCCTGAGCAGTGGATTCTTGGAGCACTGGGCAGACAGCATCCAAACCAGACGATATCTGAGGATTACAACCCCCGAGTATCCCCCTTCCTCCTATACCTCCAGTGCCGATTCTGCATTTGGGAGTGACGAGTCTGTCCTCAGACACTACAGGCTATGAGTCCCTGGGAATGCTCAGATCCCCGCCTGTGCTCTCCAGGGATTCTTTGGAAGTTGAGTGGTCGGACAGCTTATTCATGATGACTACAGAAACAATGTCTGCCTCTATCATGAGCGAGTGGAGGCGGCACGAGCAACAGGAGGAAACAGATACCAATCCAACATCAGAAGTCACCTAGCCTCAGTCTATTAGGAACCTCCAGCCACTGGACCAAGCACCCAGCCAGGGGAGCAAGGCAACACTGCAAGGAGTCGTGGAGAGTTTCTATGACCGGCCCGTCAGTTCTCTCCTCGAAGAGGATGATGAGAATGAGGCGGAAGAGAAAACTGAGAGCAGCAATCCACCTCAAGGTCCACTATATGACTCTCAAGAAGAAACAGACAAAGAAGAGGTACAAAAGCTGGCAAAGAAAGAAAGGGAGCGGGAATACTAGGGGTATTATTTGCAAGGAGTGAATTTCTTATGGCATGACGCTGCCTGGCTGGCATCGCAAATTGGACAATTATATTTACGTTCAGAAACTAACAAGCAAACAGAAATCCTGAAGTGAGTGACAACAGACTATGCTGCATGGCAGTACACCAACCGACATTCCGAATACCCCATAAGCTGGCTGCCGGCTTACCTGACCACCCCCACTCCTCAACCAATGTTGAGCTCTCCCCCTGTCACAACACACAAAGCCACATACAAAACTCTCTCAGCCTGAAGCATGCTTTCAAACTCCGATCAATCCTCTCATATAATGGCAGCCCGCCTAGTCCGCACCTGAATGCAGCCGAGGGCAGAATATTACAATCCCTGAGGCAGCAAGGGAAGTCGATTACTGGGGGGACAACCCCCACCAGATCAGGCTAAACCAAGTGGAAAAGAAAAGGAGCCCATACAGGATGACCCTGAGGCCATCTGTCTAGGGTTCACCATATGGGATGGAGTCATTGTATGCGCTGAGGAGTCTAAAGGGAGTCCAGTCACCAATGACCACTCCCTACACTCGTTCCCAGGACCACCAGCAGAATGGAACCAGCCATCATTCGATGAATGGCCTAACCCAATGGGTGCTCTACCCAACAACGCCAATGTTCTCCAATGCTGTCCTGATCTCCTTAAGAAACCATGACCTTTCAAAGGGGTTTCTGATGACATTGATCGGTTCCTAGTAGACTGCAAACAGTATTTCGAAGTCTATGTTGGGTTCCTGAGAACGGACATAAACAAGATCGCCTTCGCCACCTCCTACCTAGAAGAGAAGGCGAAAATATGGTGGATCCTTATCTCTCCAAATTTCTGCTCCACCACTAGGGGACACTATCGATACCCCTTCTGGCTCATATTCAAACAGATGCTAAACAATAAATTTATCGACCCTGCAGTGCAGAAGGTACATAAACAGAAGATCAAAAAATACAAGATGGGAGATAAAGTGGCAACAGATTACTTTGATGAGCTAGAATGGCTTGCCAAACTGGCCAGAATCAGGGATGACATGACAAATGACAGACGGATGGTAGAAGCCCTCAAGAGAGGAGTCCCCTCCTCATACCTCACAATGATCTCTGCCATGGGCATTAAACTCTTAATGCCCATCAGCTATAACCAGTGGAAGGAACCAATCATTGAAATGTACAAGGAGTGACAAAGGCAGAAAGCAGAATCATCAACACTACAGGATTACTCTAAAAAGCCGACCCTGCCAACCCTGAACAAGACAGAGCAAACTGCTGAGAAATCATTGGGATCCTTGATGGCCTCTACCTACAGAAGCCAGAAGACTGGCACAAGAACCACGTATACCAGAATGGGAAAGCCAATAGACATAGACTGCATGAAGAAGGAAGGCAAATGCTTCAATTGCAGATAGAAGGGACACATGGCCAAGGACTGTCTGAAGAAGAAAAGAACCTGCGAAGACATACGAGTGCAGATAGCGGAGTTGCAGAAGGAAGATGAAGAACTTGGAAAGGAAACGAAGATTGAGGAGGTAAAAGATAAGGCCAACCAGTGAGTGACTCTACTGAGTTGGCCGAAGGACTTCATGGTGTGCCTATCCCAGCTGTTGAATGGACTTACAATACCTCTGTAGTTATGCCTATGCCATTAAATATGCATTTGAATATACCAACAGTTAATGCACACCCCGAAGAGTCATAAGAAAAAACTCAATTGCCTACAGGCCGAACAGGGACAGAGAGCCCCTTGAAGTGGCTCAAACCCTTTGAAACCGAATGGACCTGGAGGGCTATCAGAGAAGCAAAAGATAGCTATACAGCGAAAGCTGCATTACAGGGATAGATACATCGAACCAGGAGAGAAGAAGCCACAGATGAGGTTGTGAAAGGACTGAAGAACACCGAGCGAAGCAGGGCCCTTGAATGGCTAGACGAGCTGAAAGGGCCCCACAAATTCATCAGACACGCTAAAACACCCAGAAGAGATTTAACAACAAAGGCTTAAATTGAAACCCTGACTAGTCGGTCAATACACTCGGTAACCACCCTAATCAACAGCGGGTGTACCAGCAGCTCAATAAACCAGGCCTTCATTCAATAGAATCATCTTCCCACCCGATCCACTGCTGCCTCAATCCCCATCTATAACACCAACAGAACAAAGAATCAGGCCAGCTCGATTACAGAATTTGTCGAACTCCATCTAACCATTAGAGATCATTCCAAATGAATCGATCTGGCTGTAACTGACCTTGGAACCAAGGAGTTATTCTTGGGGCATGATTAGCTTATTCGGCACAACCCACTTATCAACTGGAAGACTGGATGAATCACCTTTGCCTGGTGCCAATGTCAAAAGATTCTGTTCGAATTGCCTGACAAGGACTCAGAAGACAGGTGGGATGAGGAAATGGAAGATGGTGAAACCATCTTGGCCATTGACCTACAGAAAGAGATTCACATCCGGGCTGTACACCACACCAACAATCTGGCAGCTAAGGCCAACGAGGGAAAGGCAGAAAAGGCATTTGAAGAAATAGTACTGGAGTGGGCTCAGGATTATCGAGACCTCTTCGAGAAAGAGAGTTTTGATGAGCTCCCACACCTAAAACCTTGGGATCATGCCATTGAACTGATTCCAAACGCCAATGCTAATCTGGACTGTAAAACCTACCCCCTCAGCATCCAGGAGCAGCAGGAGCTCGACAAATTCCTCAATGAGAACCTATCCAGCAGATGCATCCAACCATCCAAATCTCCAATGGCGTCACCGTTCTTCTTCATAAAGAAAAAGGATAGCAAACTCCGACCAGTCTAAGACTATCGGAAATTGAATGAGATGATGATCAAGAACAGATACCCATTGCCTTTGATCTCGGAACTCATAGACAAACTCCGAGGGGCCAAATATTACACCAAGCTTGATGTTCGCTGGGGATATAATAATGTCTGAATCAAGGAAGGGGACGAATAGAAGGTGGCTTTCAGAACCAACCGGAGGCTGTTCGAATCCACCGTAATGTTTTTCGGCCTAACAAACTCCCCTGCCATCTTTCAATGGATGATGAATGACATATTCAAGAACCTCATCTCCACCAGAAAGGTTACCATTTATCTAGATGATATCCTCATCATGTCTCGAACAAAAGAGGAACACCGTGATCTAGTATGACAAGTGCTCACCCGCATGAGGAAACACAAATTATTCCTCAAAGCAGAGAAGTGCGAATTTGAGGTACTGGAAACGGAGTATCTCAGAGTAATTATTAGTGAAGGGAACATCAGGATAGATCCAATCAAGGTAGCAGGGGTAATAGAATGGCCGATACCAACCAGAAAGAAGGAATTGCAATCTTTCCTCAGATTCACCAATTTCTACCGGCAATTTATCTGAAACTACAGCAAGATCGTCCACCCCATGACCCAGCTTACCAGTAATGCCCCATGGAAATGGGGAGACCCCCAACAGTGGGCCTTTAAAGACCTGAAACGGCAGTTAGCCAAAGATGTGATCCTCACCATACTATCTCAGAAGGGGAAGTTCCATATAGAAGCCAACTCCAGCAAGAGAGCAATAGAAGCAGTACTATCTCAAGAACAGGACGGGAAATAGTGACCAGTCGCCTTCCTCTCTAAGGCTCTAACCATGACCAAAAGAAACTACGAGATTTATGACAAGGAGTTATTAGCAATAATGCTTGCCCTGAAGGAGTGGCAACACTATCTGATTAGCGCCTCCAAGACCTTTGAGATTTGGATGGACCACTAAAATCTCAGATACTTCTGCCAACCATAAAAGTTAAACCAACGACAAGCTCGATAGGTCACCGAGCTTACCCAATACCAATACATGCTCCACCACAAGGCTGGGGTCACAAACAAAAAAGCCAACCTCTTGTCTCAACGGGCAGACCATGATCAAGGAGGAAATGACAATGTGGAGGTCATGATTCTATGACCCAAACACTTCCAGGCACTAATCATGCCAACAGAGGAAGAAATCCATGAACGGGTCAGAAGTGCAACCCATGATAACTATAAGTGAGATCAAAAGATCACCCCCTCACTTAACCATGAATGAGGCATGACAAAAGAAGGGGGACTGATCTGCTATGATGGAAGAATCTATGTCCCACAAGATCGCGGTTTGTGCAGAGAAATCATCGCCATATGCCACGACCACGCCACCACTGGGCATCCAGGCATCACAAAAATGAAAGAGCTCATACTAAGAAACTATTGGTGGCCCAAACTAGAAACTGACATAACGGCATATGTCAGAGGGTGCGAAACCTGTCAGAGGGAAAAAGCCTCGACTCAATCGTGAGCAGCCCCACTACACCTGAACAAGGTACCATCATCCCTATAGACCCACATTTCAGTCGACATGATCACTGGTCTCTCCGACTGTAATGGCTATGATGCAATCCTTGTCATAGTCGACCGGTTCTCCAAAGCAATTATCCCAGTCGCATGTTCTACAGAACTAACCTTGGAGAGATGGGCCAAGATTCTATGAGATGAAGTGTATGCAAAGCATGGAATGCCCCAAGTAGTTATCTCCAACAGGGGGCCCCAATTCGTCTCTAAATTCCTCGATGACCTGTACAGACTACTCAACATCAAACACAATGTGTCCACAGCCTACCATCCACAAACTGATGGCCAGACTGAGCAAGCAAACCAGGAGATTGAGAAATACCTCCGACTATTCATTAACTACCAGCAAGATGATTGGATCAAATGGCTAGCATTGGCAGCCTTCCAACACAATAATCGGGTACATTCCGTGACAGGACGAACTCCCTTCTTTGTCAACCACGGGCGACACCCCCATATCACCCATAATACACATGCTAAAACAACAACACCCGCCTCAATGGACTTTGCTGCAGATATGGCAAAGATTCATGTTGAAACAAAGAAAGCTCTTGAAAAGGCTGCAGCAACAATGAAGAGACAATACAACAAACACCGCTGCCCGGCTCATACCTACCAAGTCAATGACAAAGTCTGGCTAAACACAACAAACCTCCACCTACCATGGCCAAAACAAAAGCTAGCTAACAAACAAACTGGCCCCTTCCCTATTATTGCAAAAGTCAGGGAAAGCACCTACAAACTACGCCTCCCAGTAGGATGGAAGGTTTATAATGTGTTCAACGAAGTACTCCTCTCCCTATTTATCGCCCCAGCCTTCCCCAACCAGGAATGACCACCACCACCTCCTTCCGACTTAATCAATGATGAAGAACATTACAAAATCGACCAAGTCTTGAACCATAAACTATGAAAGGTTAAGGCCCGCAGAGGTGGCATGACAACTATGGTAGACTATCTGGTCTCTTGGAAGGGATACGGATCTGAGTCAAACCAATGGGTTAATGAAAAACAAATAACAGCTGACAAAGCTATACATGACTATGAATTATCCCTTAATTAACACCATCGGGACGATGATCTTAAGGAGAGAGTAATGTTATGATTTTTCCCTCTTCACATCTTATTCATCCCTATTTATGCTTAGTCAGAAGGCATAGGATCATGGGAGGGCTTAGTCAGCACAACTAACCTGCCCATCAAGTCAACCTCAACAAGAATGCTCGACAACACACAAGCATCCCTTTATATATGGTAACAATGCTCAAGGACAATAGGCACCATGGACACAGGCAAACATATACTGTATATTATAGAACTAAATATATAACTACCTATTGTATGTTTTCAGATCCTTATACCTATTGTTCTTAGGCATCGCTACTGTACACAAAAGGATGATTGTGCATTGTCAAGGGCTGGTCACTGTATCAGAGAACAATGACAGATTGGCTCATTGTGATGACTAAGCTTCTCCCACAGTTCTAAGCACTCATTTAATGCTCTGACTAAGCATCAAATAGAGGTTAATTCGATGAAAAGAAAATAAAAATAGGAAAAATCATAACAATTAGTTCAATATTGAATCTTGATTGATACTTCAGCAACTTGCTAAGTTAATCTTCTGGATATCATCTATTATAAATATCAATTGCATATTTAGTGGCAGAATATCATAAGATATCTCACTGTTCATTATTGTCTGAATAAATATACTTTTGCCTCATTTCTGAGGCTAACCATTTGGCATCCTTTTACAGAAAGGCTATCCCTTCTCCATACAACTCATTGTATTTCTTTTTTCTATGTTGCTGTATTTTTTCATCTAGCACTTCTTTGTCAGTTTTCTCTATTAGATTCCCTAGATATTAGTACTCTTCTGAGAGGGCAAAGGGGTCACTATTCTTATCATCTCCTTTCTTGCCTTTCTCATCCCTGCTATCCTCAATGGAGAAGTTGTCATATGGGTCATAGGTGAATAGTGCTAGAGGTCTGATTGTTGCTGATGAGCTGATTATTAACTTGGCTACTGGGTCCAGTGATATTGGCTGCAGGAGAAGGCTGGATGAGAGTGTTTCCAAGGTCAGGATGGTATCTAGTGTCTCTATGTGCTCACACCACCTCCAGATCTTGGCTATAGATGTGGAAGTTGGCATAGAATCTGAGATTAAGAAAGAGTCAAGTGACTCTCTCTCCCAGGAATCACCAGAGTCCTCAGTTGGAGATATGGGCATTGAGAAGGACTCAGAGTCTATAGGCATCAAGTATGGAGTCAGACTGAGAGAGAATAGTGTCAGTGCTGGTGATACTAATAGTTCAGAGAGGGGGATCATTGTTTCTTTGGGAAGACAGATCCTGATCTCTCTTTGTAGCTTTGCTGAGAGTAACAGAACTGTAGAGTCCTGCCCAGAGGTCAGTTTCTGTAGTGCTAGACTTTCTGAATGGAGAGTGAGTGTGATCTGTTTATATATTGGAGGCATGAGAGCTGGTAGTGCCCCACTCTATGGCTTCAAGCTCTCACTGTCATCAATGATACTGCACATTGTATAGCTCATTATCATGGAGGGCCTATCTTCATGCTTGTTCTCTTTCTGCCCAGTTAAAGTTCTCAAGGACTTCTTCACTGACTGCTCTAAGCTCTTCTTTGGTGAAATCTCTGGAATACTGGTTAATGATATCTTAGACTGTTGGTCTCTAACTAATATATTCCCTTTCTGATTTTATATCTAAACTGTATAGGGTTTTAGACTGAAGGTGTAAGCTGGACTGTGGGATCATATAGAGAGAATCATGTCTGGAGTCCAGGAATAAAATAGGTGGGGATCCTGGAGCCACTCTAGTAGCATCAAGAGAGTCTCTAGTGATGTTTCCAATTCTTTAGGCTGGGAGAGAGGGATTATTGGAGAGCACATTGTCAAAGAAGTCATTGGAGAGATCCTCATCCTCATGGTTAAAGACCAGCAGCAGGATCCATGAGTTCCTGAACTCTGTGAGGTGAGGGTTGCTGTTTCTGCTGTTGGTTTGAGGGGATCAAGAGGAGTAGATATGTCTTCTTTCTTGCAGAGAGCTCTGCAAATCTGTTTTTCTAGACTCAGCTTGAAATACAGTTTCTGTTGGAGACTGAAAGGAGGTATGAAGAGTGACTGGGATGTCATAGAGAGAGAGGTCAGATGTGACATTTCATAAGATTTAGTGGATGTTCTGAAATTCTTAGTAGTGTCTGACTGCTTAAGCAGTGATAAATTGTCTCCCTTGGCAAAGCTGAATGATTACCAGTAAGCCTAACAGTGTTCTGATGACTGAGGTGAGGAGTTTGAAGAACTCATCATCAAAGTTGGGAGATTCTGGGTTGATTAATGACATTCAGTTTCCTTCACACTATTATGCATAAGAAAAGGAAAGAGAAAGCTTTAAGCTAATTGTTAGACTCAAGCTGCACATGATTATAGACATGTGATAAACTGATGTCACTTTGCACTTTGAGTGAAAGTGTCAGAGTCCACTGACATGAATATTGATCAATATGGTTCAAGGCTGTAGGATTGGCTCAAGAGAGGAATAGTATGAAAATAAACTTTAGCTCAAAGCTGGGTTATATCAGCAAGAGCTGTCCTACTTATATACAATCATCTGATGTTGCTATAAATACTCCTACTAATTGTGTCTCCTGTGGTTATTATGCTCATTGTCCTTGAGCATCACTATTATCTACAATAGTGTTATTGTATATTGTCAGATAGTGTTATCTCATTGAAAGACAATGACCAACTGGACTTGTTGTGCTGAATAATCCAGTCCCATGGTCTTAAGTGCTGGTATAGATGCTCTGACTAAGCATAAATAAGGGTTAATTCCAGAGAAAAGATGAAAAATTATAACAGAAAGCATCATCTTGGATGACTCTCTATGATCACTAAGTGTTTCTGATCAGCTAGATTATGAGTTATATGATCTGACTATAGTCTTTAATAAGATGCTGATAGAAGTTAGTGAAATCCAAAAATGATTCACTGCTGAGGCTAGTAAGTTTTTAGCATGAAAAAAAGAGATCTAAAAATGTTGTGACTTTTCTAGATATTTTTGTATGAGTAAAATAGATTTCATAAAATTAGAAGAAAAAGTATCTATTTTTGATTATATTTTGAGGCAAGTAGATAAATATGTTTTTGGAATATTTTCTAGATAGAAAGAGAGACAATAAAAGATATCTATTTCCAGCTATATTATATCCACAAATAGAAATGCAGTTATAGCTTATAAAAGAATAGCTTTTCACAAGCAAATTTAGGCCTGAAAAAAAAAGAATAATAAAATTTATTGAAAAAAAAATCCTTTTTTATCATATTCTCTTTATATAAAAACTGAAGGTTTTCAGATAAGAAAAAGATAATGTAAAAGAAGTCAAATTTCATTGTATCTTACAGACAGTAAAACAAATTGCACACTGAGAGACTCTCTCAGCATGCATGCAGAGACTCATCTCTCAGTGCATGATTTGTTTTACTGTCTATAAGATACAATGAAATTTGACTTCTTTTACATTATCTTTTTCTTACCTGAAAACCTCCAGTTTTTATATAAAGAGAATATAACAAAAAAAAATTTCTTTTTCAACAAATTTTATTATCCTTCTTTTTTCAGACCTAAATTTGCTTGTGAAAAGCTATTCTTTTATAAGCTATAACTGCATTTCTATTTGTGGATATAATATAGCTGGAAATAGATATCTTTTATTGTCTCTCTTTCTATCTAGAAAATATTCTAAAAACATATTTATCTACTTGCCTCAAAATATAATCAAAAATAGATACTTTTTCTTCTAATTTTATAAAATCTATTTTACTCATACAAAAATATCTAGAAAAGTCACAACATTTTTAGATCTCTTTTTTTTCATGCTAAAAACCTATCAGCCCTAGCAGTGATTGTAACTCCTTCTTTATAGGAGTTAGCCACTCCATTATGCTCTGAATCTTGATCAGATCTATGCAGATGCTCTCTTTGCTGATGATAATGTCCAAGTACTCTGTTTTCAGCATCTTGAATTTGCACTTTTCTGCCTTGAGAAATAGTTTGTATTTTCTCATCAATATAAGGACTTGTCAGATGAGACAGCAGTGCTTCTCTCAGTCACCAGACATAATCAGAATATCATCTAAGTATATGGTGATCTTTCTCATGGCAATGAGATCCTTGAAAATGTCATTCATCATCCATTGGAATGCTGCTAAGAAGTTGGTGAGCCTAAAGAACATCACTGTTAGTTTAAACAATCTCTGATTGATGCAGAATGCAGCCTTTCACTCATCTTCTTCCTTGATCCAGATATTATTATATCCCCACTGTGCATCTAACTTAGTGTAGTAGTGTGCACTACACAATTTGTCCATCAACTCAGAGATAAGCAGTAAGAGGTACCAGTTCTTGATAGTCATTTTATTGAGCTTGCAGTAATCTTAGACTGATTGCAGTTTTCTATCTTTCTTCTTCATGAAGAAGAACAGAAATACTATGGGTAATTTGGAGGGTTGGATATAGCTGCTGGACAGATTCACATCTAAGAACTTGTTTAGTTCTTGCTATTCATGATAGCCAAAGAGATAGATTTTACAGTTGAGGTTAGCATTGGCATTGGGAACCAGTTCAATCATATGGTCCCACAGTTTCAGCTCCAGAAGTTTATCAAAGTTTTTCTTCTCAAAGAGATCACAGAAGTCTCTTATCTATTTAAGCACTATCTCCTTAAACATTTTCTCCTTCTTTTTGGCATTTGCTCTTGCTACCAGGTTGTTTATGTGATGTATAGCCTATAGATGAATGGCAGACTCTAAATTAATAGTAAATATAGTCTCACTTTCTTCCATCTCCTTATTTCACCAATCATCTTCATCTTTATCAGGCAACATGAAGAGGGTCTTGCAACAGTGATACTGAATGAAAGTGATTTGACTGATCTTCCAGTTGATAAGCAGATTATGTTGTATCAGCCAATCATGTCCAAGAAAGACCTCTTTGGTTTCTAGGTTGGTGACTGCTAGGTTAATTCATTCTGCATGACTCTCTATCACCATGCATAGTTCCATAAATTCAGTTATCAATCTGACTTGATTTCAGATCCCATCAGCATTATAGACTGAGATTGGAGCTGCAGTGACTTAGATAGAAAGAGTGTGCTTAGTGATGAAAGCATGATTGATGGAACTTCCAGTATAGCCACTGTCAACCAGGGCTGAGATAGTGTACATGGAATGGTTTGTCAGAGTTTTGATCTGAATCTTAGTGATAAGATCCTTGTCAGTCATCTTCTATCATTAAATGTACCTCTGAGGTTTCTTAAGTTTATCTAACCATTCTAGCACCTGGTTTCTTTTAGCTTTTTGTATCACTTTTATCATCTCATTTATCATCTCCTCTGTTCATGCTTTATGTACTCAATTTTTAAATACTGTCTTTGCTTCTTTTGATTTGGCATTGCAGATAGTGCACTAAATCCACTCAGTATCAAATGGTTTGAGCTATCCAGTAAGAACCTCTCCCTCTGTTCAGTCTGTAGACATTTGAGTTTTTTCTTTAGGTGATTTTTTCAATGTGTTTGAGATAACAGGAGTGGGTATATTTGAATGTACATATAAATAAGTAGTATCTACAGAGCTATCATAAATCTGACCAGCAGTATTCAGAGACACATTGTTAAGTCCTTTGGCCAACCAAGTAAAATCACTCACTTATCAGCCCCATCTTTTACCTCTTCAACCTTTGTGTCCTTGCTATTTCCTTCTATAGTATCCATCTCTTTCTGTAGTTTAGTGATCTGTGCCCATATCTCCTCACATATTCACTTCTTCTTCAGACAGTTCTTTAACATGTGACTCTTTTCACTACAGTTGGAGCACTTGCTCTCCTTCTTTAGTCTGTTAATGTCCATGAGCTTTCCCTGTCCTATATACATTATACCAGTATCAGTCTTCTTCTTGTTGAAGGAGGTCATGCCTGTCTTAGGCAGTATTTGTTGTCTGGACTCTTTAATACCTCCTCCCATCTTCTTGTCACCATTCTGATGGAAGATGCTTGTCACCTTCTGCTTTTGTCATTTCTGATTCATAATTGTGATCCTCTCTTTTCATTCTTCATATCTCTTTGATATATTGATAGTGATATCAGACATGATCTTTATGTAAGAAGAGAGAACTCTGATCTTCAGAGCCTCAACAAGATGTCCAGTCTCAGAGAGATCTTTCTAGAGTCCAGTAAGCTTGATGAGGTGTTCTAGCTCTCCAAAGTATTCACTGGCCATCTTGTTGCCCATACAAAGTTCCTTCATCCTGTTCTTATGCATATCCTATACTGTGAAATCAGTGAATTTATTGTATACACCCATCTTGAAGTTTGACCAGAATAGCAGTCAATGATGTCCTCTAGTCATAGAGTAGAGATCTATCAGTTGCATAGTCTACCAGTCCTTTATCTTGTTCTCAAAGTATGATGCAGCAGAGGTGATCCAATAGGTGTCAGCTATAAGATAGGTGGCATATATTTAAAAGTATATTTTGCAATCTATAAAGAACCAGTCAATGTTTATCAGAGAGCCTCTCAAAGGGGCAGAGCTTTTGTACTAGGTCTGACTTGCACTAGATGAGAGCAGCATCAACTATGAGGAGAGCCATCAGGTTTGAATATTCTCTAAATAGTATATTGTTCCATTCTCAAGAGAGTTCAGAGAGGGAATGCAGAGAGTGGTCATTGACAACTGGGCTTCCTTCACCCATCTCTCACTTTTGTCTGATTCATCTATTGATGATTTTAAAGCCAAGCTTCTTGGCCTCAGAGTCATCCTGATCTTTATTGGCTTGGTCACTAGATTCTAGTTCATTGGCAGGTGACTACCCAGTGAATAATCAGCTTTCTCAGCCTTTTGGCTACAAGTATTATAGAAGAGTTGCCAATTTGGCATATGAAAATGGTCATTGTGAAACAGAAGTAGTTGCTGATCAGATTGATGGTGCTATATAAACAGCTCATTGTAGTTAGATGGAGAGCATGTTCAGCATTGGTCAGATCTCATACTTTGACTGGTACAGTAGTAAGCTGTCCATGGGTTCCTCAAGATATACTTTATTAAACAAGTAAATTGCTTGTTCAGTAGCATAATACTATAAAATGTCAATTTTCTTCTGATTATCCACTGTTACATACTTCTTGTTTAAGAGAGTTATCCTTCAGGCAACATCCTACACAATTCTCACTATTTGTTCCTTGAATAGTCAGTTAAATTCCTTCCTCTATTCCTAGTATATCTTCTTGAAAAGCCACTCCTTGTCTCATTTCTCTTCTTCCTCTCCTAGATAGTCTTCAGATGGGTCAAATACTGAGAGGGCTCTCTGCACTTTTATAGTCACCAGAGAGTTGTCTTGCTGGCTGGATTCAGGGTCAGTAGGAGGCTGGTTTTGAGGTCAGAAGGGCTTAGTGACAGGTCATCTGTTCCTGTCTCAGGGTTCTTCTGTTACCTTCTCCAATTGATCATAATATCAGCAGAACTGATGAAGGAACTTGTCATTCTAGAATAGTTCAGCAACTTGGTCTCCAAGGAATCTTCAGAGGGTATCATCACTGATGTAGATGGAGTTAGATCTTCCGATCACATAAGCAGAAAGTGAAGTATTATGTGCAGCAGGAGATGGAGTGTTAGACTGGCTGAAAGCAAGCTCTGAACTTGGCTCATAGAAGAGTGGATGGATCTTACCTCAAGACATGAGCTCAAAGCATCAGAAGTCCATGGTACCTTCTGACAAGAGCTCAAAGTCTCAGTATTCTGGGTATTCTTGCTTAAGAAGATCAAATCAGTTATCATAGCAGTATTCTCTCATTGCCTCATGGTTTCTTCAGCTGATGCTGTTATTGTCAAGGTCAATATCAGAGAAGAGTTCTGAATTATAAGAGCTCTAGATCTTGAGTGCCAAATTATAGTCAGATCTTCAGTCTAAAGCCAATTCAGCAGCACCACCAGGGGGGTCTCAAGCATGGTCTCCAGTTTCATGCTTAGAGAAGGCAGAGAAAGTGTCAGTAATAGTTGGAGTGTGCCAGAAGTCTCTTGAGAGGTTGTCAGTGAGCCTAGCCAGGACCAGAGAGAAGTGCATCAGAATTTGATTGAAGCAGCACTTTTGCTGCTCCACAGAGAGGCTGTCTTAGGATTGGAGCAGATACTGAAAGCTGCCAAGTCAATCAGCTTCTTTTCCTTGTATCTCATCAGCAGCTTCTTGAAGCAGCTGAGAGATGGCTTTAGATATGGGCCCATCTGCAGGCTTGTTGGTATTTTGGAGAGGCTCTGCTGAGAGATCATAGAAGAGGAGGACAGGTGAGACATTTCACCTGACTCTGTATGCTATTCAAAGGATGGTATAATATCTAATCACTCAGGCAGTGACAGACTGATTTTCTTAGCAAAAATAGATGATAATAAAAAGCCTGAGCAGGATGCTGATCATAGTGCTCAAGAGCTTGAAGAATTTTGATGTGAGATCAGAGGCTGATAGCATTCAGTTTCTTTCACACTAGTGTGCATAATGAAAGAGAAACAAGAAGCTTTGAGCTAATTGTTAGATCCACTCAGCATGTGACCAGAACATGTGACAAACTAGCACTGTATTGAGTTTGTACAGTCATGCCAGAGTCCACTAATTGTGTGATCTGATTAAGTGCATCAAGGCTGTAGACTGATTAGGCTTAAGAAGAGGAGAACAGTATAAATAAACTTTAGCTTGAAGCTGGAGTACTACAGCAAGAGCTATCCTACTTATATATGTTTTCTGTGAAGGTAAATATAGTCCTCTACTTATTATACATTTCTATGCTACAGTGTCATAGTTGTCTGGTTATTGGGAACAGGACAATGGAGCATTGTCTGTTAGTGAGGCATCTGTTGCATGTCAAAGAATAATAGTGAGAGCTGCCTATTGTGGTTGGATAATCAACTCATGATCAATAAGCACCTTGGATAAGATAGACACCCTGATAAAATAAGCAAGAAAAAGATAAGATAAGTGGAAAATCACAACACTCTATTTTCATCTTGGTCAGAGTTGACTGTCACAGCATATGCTGCTAGAACAAAATGCCTAACATTGTCAGATGTTGCATTTGCATGATTGGCTTGATATTGACATCTGAAATTCAGAGAAAACTGTCTCTCCTTTTCACCCTCTGGCTAATAGCAATTTTCCATAAAGTGTTTCATCTTATCATAGGCCTTGCAGCCTGGATTTCCACAGAGGATATGAGCAGAGGCATTTGATCCAGCTACAAGTGCCTGTGATTGCATCAGGCCTTTACTCACAGCATGCAAGGTAGCAGCATGGGTCCAGAGGTGAGATATGATATCTGTTGAGGTGAGAAATGAGTACAGACTAGATGATTTTATGGAATGGCTGGTCACTTATTGGAGTGGTACTAAGATCATTTACTGCTTGTTGTCAAGTATGAAGCTCAGCTATATAAGTATCAATGTTGCTATTTTCATCAAACTTAAGTGCATTCAGTGCAGACTCAGCCTCAGATAGGGCCATGTCAGTCTTTTTGGCATGCTCCACTATGATAGAGTCCCAACACTCTTTTGCAGTCCTATCAGTCCTCATTCCTAATCCAATAGGATCAAGAATATTGAGAATGATGCAAGAATACACAAGTTGGTCATGGAAAGTCCATTCATCCTGGGATGGATTGGATAAGTAGATAGGCATAGGATCAGGTGGTAGGAGTACAGTAGTAGGTCCACTCATAGGCATGGTGGGTCTGTGTTGAAAGTACAGAGGAGAATACAGTACAGAGGATTAGATTGGCCTCTCAAGAGAGAGATGTCATACTTAAATACATTTTATACTACTTCAAGAACTTTCTACAAATTACTATATAAGTCCCAGTTACAGTCTAAGTCAGCTGCTGCTGATTCATGTAGTTTCTTTGAGTACATTCTTGTACTCACTCAGGATTGCTATCCCAACAGTATAGCTGGACATGATATTGATCCTTTGATATACCCCCACAGGCCTTTTCCTTTCAGCAGTTCAGTGAGCTGGAGTTTCCATGAGGTGTAGTTCTTCCCATTGAAGTGGAAATTTGTGTCTGGAAGTACAGTGACCCCCATTGCATTTGATGACATATTCAGGGGTATGATGATGATGAGGAGACAGGTAGTGGTGTGGGTGGTGTGCATGTGCATGTGTTTAAATTTGAGTCATTAGTTGCTGTGTGTTCTCTTCAACTGGATTTAGGCTACAGGGCCATAACCTAATAGAGGGACAATGTAAATATTCACTATGAATGAATGTAAGTAATAGTTGTGGATATTGTGATGGTATACACATACCTCAGTCGGGCAGTGATGGTGGAATGACTGAGGTATGCGGGTAACTACGGGCGAAGTATATAAGTAATCGTAAGGACAGGAGGTTGATATAAAAGGTAAACAATCGAAAGTGAAACATACTGGTATAAGGCACGGATATCTTCTAACAATATACGACTAAAATATCGAAACCGAATGATATTTATTTTCAATCAGGTCGGATTACGGGCCTTTGCACTCCAGATGGCCAGAGTAAACTATCTTTTGTAGTACCCAAAGGCCTTTGCACCCCGCGAGGTCAGCTGGAATCGAGTCACACGCCTTGACCACTCTTCCCTCTTACCATGCTTGATACGTAGTGAATGCATATAGGTTCCCCCTTCCATACAAACGAGGAAAAACGCTCTGAAATGACCAATATCCGGCAATGGGGTCGGAGGAAGACGCGTGAGAGCTGAAGCCCGATCGTCAACATCCACCTGAGGATCAGCTTTCGACATTGCAGCACAGACTTTCCTACATACACTCTACTACAGGAAGGTTCTGAGGTATTCTGTCATCGCCAAGAGGGCAAGGCTCTGTCCGTATGGCATACTTGTCAACGGTATCTGCTTGTATCCCTCGGTGTCGTCGAACACAGGAGTTCCAAACGACACCAACTTCAACTCGCCAGCTTCGGTGATGTTGTCCAGAACGGCTTGAATTGCCTTCTTCGCAGCATTGACATATCTCTCTTCCTTTGGTATCAGTCTCAGTCTTAGTGCTTTCATGATCCCGTACGCGAATCCAGCCGTGCAAGACGCCTCCAAGTACGATGTCGGATCGTCGAGTATGGTATGCCAGAGGCCAGTTGCGGGGTCTTGGTACTTCACCAATGCATCGATTTGAGCGACGAGGGAGGAGACCAGGAACAACCGAACGCCGTCGGTTTCAGGCAATCGAAGCATTTCGACAAAGTCAGGAATGGCCACGGTTACCCAACAGTTTCCCCTGCCCCATCTAGCCCGCCCAAAGTGGTGCCGTCCATTAAAGGTCCATCCTAGCCACGGCCATAAGAGCAGACTCGAGTAGCTAGGATAAACGCATACCGTGAAACCAAAGACCAGTCTGAACATCCTGCAAATACTTGATACTGTAGACGGTTGGTAAATACGTCACGATCTGCGAGCACACAGACTTACTGTATCAGGAACTGACGCTTAGCTTCTTCAACATAGGCAGGCCGACCCAGTACAAGACCGATCTTTGCCAGAGGCAAGACGGACATCATCAGCGTATCATCCCAGAGTTGCTGGTAGTTGTCAAAAAGATACGTGATGTGCTGCAGACCTCCGTCTTCGGTTCTAGGCATGTCGTACATCACCCACTCGGCCCAAGAGTCCAGATGGGCGAGATAACTGGAGTGCTTTTCTTCATGAAGAAATGCGGCGGTCAACAATGGGGACATAGTATTGACATTCTGCTCTAGAGGGTCAGGCCACCGTTATGGGTCGGAAATGCGATTCACATACTTTGGTCGTTCCAATTTCGAAGCGGTCTTTGAACCACGCTAGGGAAACATCAAGGGCCTCCTGATCACCGGTGATTTCATGAAATTTCCAAAGTCCGTAAAGTCCTGTTTCGCGCTTAAGCGTTTCGTCATTTGATGGCTGAAATAACTAACCAACGCCATGTGTCCACTAGAATACGCTAATCAGAAGTCGGACCCTTTACTAGCAGTGATGATTCTGCTCACCTCCCAATCATTCCATCCTTTCGTATCGATGACCCTTCCATCTTCCAAGGTCATGAAGAACTCTCCGGTCTCATCTTTGATGTTCACCAAGCAATTTATGAGATTGCGGATGTGCTTCAGGGCTTGAACCTACTCAGTGGATGAGGAAACGGCCAACGGCTGCGATTTTTGGCCTCACCTTTCGAGGGTTGATATTTCTAGCTGACATAGCGATGAAAAGGAGCTTTCTGGGCCCGGGATCTGGCTTTAAAGTGAGTAGGGGGCCACAAGCACGGGCCGCGGGCCGCCAGCCGAGAGCATGTGGAGAAATAACCGTAGAGCTGCGGGGCCCCGGACCAACGATCGACTGGCGCGTACCACCGTCAGGCCAGGGGCGATCGCATCACAGGACTTTCCCATCCCCTTTTCATCCACTCATATAAAAAGTTTGCCTGATGCTTCTTGGAGGGACCGAAGCTCCAACTTATCACCATGTCCGACGCGATCAAGCACTTGCAGGAACATGTTGAGGATACCGAGAAAGGCTCGTACCGCACTGGTTCTCCTGCCACTGGTTATTGCTCCCTCTTACTTGTTAATCCGTCACTGGCTAAATACTCTCCACTAGGTCCACCGCCAGCCGGAATTGATGCTGAAGTCGCCAACTTTTTTGCTTCCCAAGATGCACCAGCAGTCGTTGACGATGCAACAAACAGGCGTCTCAGATGGCTCATTCACAAGCGCGTCTTGGTACGATACTCTGCCCTGCCCTGCCTGCTGTCACTCACCATTTCCTGCCGATAGGTTGTCATGGTCGTTACTTACTGTGAGTTTGTTTGTTCCCCTTCCACGTACCCTGTGCTTACATTTCCTCTCAGTTGCACAAACACTGGATAAAGGGTGAGGCTAAATTTGGCGTCCCTCTGCTGCGCAAACGCCTCATGCGATACCCTTCACAGAACAATGAGCTTTGCTTCGATCATGGGCATTCGGACAGATACCCACCTTAAGGGCCAAGAGTATGCCTGGTTGACTACATGTGGTAAGCGTTAATGGTCTGGCTTTTGGAAAGCTTGCTAACTATATTCCAGTCTATATCGCTATGTAAGAGTTGACCGTATCTCACCTTTCGGTTTATGTAACAATGTACACAGTCTCCTCTGGGAATTCCCGACCAATCGGCTCATTCAGCGACTTCCCATTGCAAAATATCTTGCGTTCAAGTATGTGTGCTTCTTCTCCCATGTCATAAAAAGAGGCTTAATTTCTTTGACAGTATCATGGCCTGGGGGGCCGTTCTGGCCTGCACGGCTGCTTGCAAGAACTTTGTCGGTTTAGTTGTTGTACGAACATTCTTGGGTATCTTTGAGTGTGTTTGCCAACCTGCGTTTGTTTTCTTGTAAGCTGGCTCCGATCTTCATAACGCCTTCACTAATGAACAAAGGTCTACGATGTGGTATACCCGAGAAGAGCAAGCTTTGGTCATCGGGGCGTTTTACTCAATGAATGGCTTCCAACAATGCGTCGGCGGTCTCATTGCCTATGGAATCGCCCAGGTCACAGACGCCAAGATTAAGAACTGGCAAATACTATTTACGGTAGGCGATACCAGCCTTGCCTCATTGTCTTTCATTCTAATCGCTAAATCAGCTACTCGGCTGCATCACGTTCGTATGGGGTATCTTCGTCGCATTCTGGCTCCCAGATAGTCCCATGCGGGCCAAGTGCTTTTCCCCCGAAGATCGCATTCTTATAGCTGAACGCGTCAGGAAAAATGATACTGGACTGCAGAACAAAGAGTTCAAGGTACGGCCATCAAGTTACCGCACACTATGGTGTACTCTAATCATGATGCTGCAACAGAAACATCAAGCAAGTACGTTGTGCCTATGCACAGACAAGGTTTACTGTCCTAACCTCTCTTTCAACAGTCGAAGGCCTATTAGATCCAACCGTATGGGCTATTACCTTGATCTCTTTCACAAATGGATTGCCTCCTGGCGGTATCGGTTCTTTCTCGAGCATCATTTTGACGGCATTTGTGAGCACAGCGTGTTCTCGTTACCCGAGCTGCCAGTTTTAACTGTTAAAAGGGTTTCACAGTTCTGCAGACCTACTTGCTCGCCATTGCACAGGGTGAGGCTAGCCCATATTTACATCTTCTTCCCACCTAAATGTTCGTAGGTGTCATTATCATGGCATTCTTGTTCAGTGCGGCATATCTGTCAAAGAGATACAACCAAAAGCTTCTGTTAGCTTTCGTAAGTCGTCGTACTCCAATGTTCGGATGGCCACTTAAATGCCTTTCAATATTCAATAGTTGTATACTCTCCCCAATATTGCTGGCACGATTGTATTCATCTGCGTAGAAACGTCCGCCAAGACCAAAGTCGGGCTTCTGATTGCCTTCTAGTAAGACGCCTCTTTTCTTGGTCAAGAACTTTGGACTGACGATGCCCCAGTTGCACACAAGGTTTTGGCGCTGTTGCAGTCTTGAACTTGGCAGTAATGTCTGGAAATGTTGCCGGAGTAAGCGTAAAACCGTGCTCTGTTAAAGATACAAGTTGACAACAATTCACTTAGCGGACCAAACAAGTAATTGCGTCGACACTGGTGTTCATGTAAGTGCTCTTTTATAATTAAAAGAGTAACTAGAGACTGGAACCTTTCCTAGTGCATGGGCAGTCGGAAACTCTATAGGACCACAAGGTGCTTTTTTCCTTTCTGGTGTTACTTGTGTTTCTATATCTGATGATAATGTGTATTTAGTTTTCCGTTCCAATGACAGTCCTAGATACGAGAAAGCATGGATCGCCCACATGGTTATGTACGGGCTGCAGATCGCCGCCATTTTCTTCCTCAGAGTCCGGCTTATGCGACTGAATGTCTTGAAACGCCGTGCACAGTCGCTGAAAGAGAGTCAGGTTAGCGGTGAAGATTCTGTAAGCTCGTCTCCCTCGAAGGCTAGAATTCGTGTTGACCATCTACCCACCAGGATGAGCATCTTGCCCATCTGCACGCCTTTGATGACCTTACTGACCAAGAAAATCCCGACTGTGCGTATCTGTGCAAAAATCTGCAGGTTTCATGGACTGACTTCCTGAAACAGTCCGCTACGTCTACTAGTACTGATGTTTCTTCACGACGCTGGGTCAATGTTCGAATGTTAAATGTCAGCTCAGTATCATGTGACTATTCTCAGGGCGTTTCTTTACTTTACGGTTGAAAACAAGACGTTTATTTCTGCTAAATAAAATACATTGAGATTTATTTTAACCCGTTGCGAATGAGATGGTACACAGCACGACAAAAGGACGGAAAAACACCAGATCAACGTTCTGCATCTGGAGGTTTGGAAAAAGCAATATCGAGTGTTGTTGCGAGTTGGCTGACATCATTTTCAAGTTGAGATATCCTTGTTTGCCTGTGGATCCTGTTAGTCAAGGAGTACGAAAGTTGTTTAGCACCTACTCGAAGGTGGATCTCTTCCCAAACTCGAAGGCCTGAGAAATACCGAGGGTCTGACAGTTTTGAGTATGCTTGGCTTTCCACGACTGTTCTTTCTCCAATAGTGACTTCAAATCAGGTAGTACACGATCATACTCTCGCTGCATCTGCGACATCCAATCATGCTAGTGAGCCCGTGAAACAAGGACAAAAAGACACTTACCATTCCTGCCCTGGCTGCGAGAGAAGATCCATCATACCTTCCTATACCCGTTACCTCTTGCTTCATTCTCTTCAACTCTTCAAACCATTTCGTTTCATGTTCACTAAGTTCGGGGGAAGCATTATCCATCATATGCTGCAGCATACGGTCCAGTCTAGCCATCAAGTTCTTGTGGGTTTCCTGGACCGTCTGAATACGGGCTTTGTTCGCATCAACATCGGGACCCTTCATCTTTTCCACTAGAGCGTTGAGCTCCGCCGCCTTTTCACAGAGCCGCTTGAGTTCTTGAACCTGTAGCACTGCCCGTGTTTCTGATCGTCGATGTGCGAGCTGAATCTCGCGGATTTGATTAGTGAGTTCAGCGACTGTGTTCGCCAAGTAACGCAAAATCTCCGGGGTCAACATCAACTCGCTGCTTGCAGACGGAGGCAATGACAACTGAGGATTTGAAGGAAGTCCCGATGGATGAGAAAGAATGGCTCCTGGCTGGAATGGCTCAGTCCTAAGCAATGACACATAAGCAGAGGGACCCTCGGTGGGCTTGAGCCATTTATCCTTCTCCTTCACCTCGTTTCCATCGTCAGCCACTGGTGGTAAGCTTTCTGCTCGTGATCGAGGTGATTCCGATCGCAGAACAAGATTGAATGTCGTGATTCTCATTGCGGATGTCAAAATGAAAATGCTGTATGTTAGATAGACGTTGTCGGGAATAGTCACTGCCACCACTGGATTTGAGCACCTAGGGAAGCCTGCATTAGCATGCGGTTTAAATACGAGATAAGCAGCTACTTTTTCTCCACTGAAAAAGTGGATAGAATGGGTTGCACGTTGGTGATAGTGGACTGTTGTAACGCTTCCGCTAGAGTGGAATCTGCGTCATCATCGTTGGCACGCAAGGCAGAAGCAAGACTTTGAAGTACTGGCTGGAGGTGCAGGGCATGTACTCCAAAAGCATGATATACGTATATCGTATCATCGTAGATTGGATCGACAACGAATACCGGATGGTTAGCCTGGAGCAAGTCCAGGAGTTGAGGGGATAATGGCCATAAGTTGGAAACCAGCCCAAGATCGATAGTCTCATACACAGCAAGCATAGGCAACCCTCGGCTTGACTATTGCGCGATTTGAGAATAGTGTATCGTAAATATAAGACAAATTGTACAAACCTTGTTGCTCCACCTGGCTTCTACCTTGTCGACGTCGAGACAAAGATCAACTCGCCCATCCTGGTATGCAATCATCACGACACCTAGATGCTCTGTCTCACCTCCATCTTCTTCAGTGCTGCCAAAGTCGTTACCAAAGGCAAGATAGGTTATGTCAGTCGCCTCATCACCATCACTATGCTCCAGCATCCGCGGCGAAGGTTGCAACAAGAACGGACCTTGCCGTGTAGGCGACGCCTTAATTGTAGAGGGCGGGTGCATAGGAACGGAACGCGAGGTAGCGGGGAACATGCTGCCTGCAGGAAGCTGTTTTACCAAAGCTGATACATATTTCTGCTGATAGTCGTAGATAGTGCTGAGGTTTTTAGACGCTGCAGATGTGCTTCCCCGAGACAGCAGTTCAAGTTTTGCTGAGATAAAACATTCCAACGAATGGACATAGGCAGAAGGTATGGAGCTTGATTTCATTTGTTTAAACCAGTAATGAAGATGGGAAATGACTCACGCATTTTTTGGCATGTAGGGACATATGGAATATATATCCCCAGATCTCATGATAGCATATACTGTCAAAGGACCCCAGTCGGCTTTCCCTTTGCCTAAGTCGAAAGAAGCCACTTCGCGGTCTGCTGGGTCCTCAGCAAGATAAGATCTTCCAGGTTTCTTGTCTGGAACAAAGGACAGTACTTGAAGCGGGTCCTCAGCATCGACTGAGATGTCATATTCTCTAATGCAAAAAGATAAACAGAGTGCTAAATACATAGTGATTGACGAACCTAAGCTTTCCGTCGACTGTCATGACCATCAGTGTAGTACCAGCGTCTCCCCAAGGATGCCATTGTATCTTAGCAATGGGCGGCGAGGTATTTGAGGCATGATGATATTGGCCAACTTGGACAGACCTGCGAAAAGCATGAGATCCCTGTTTATATAGTAAATTCAGAATACATACTTGCAGTCCAACTTGTCTGGAACCAGCCTCAAGAATCCTGAGCGCGGAAGTACAATCACCGCGACTTGAGATGCGCCGGCAACGGCAAGGAGCTTTCCACCAGGATTCAGGGACATATGATGTATTTCAAACTGTACGTTGGGTGTATGTAGAGTCTTCCTGAATTGAGCATAAGGATCCACTATACAGGTATTGAAAGCATACCTTGTATTGTTTCTCAGCACTGTGGCTGATCTTGCCGTCACCCAACTGCGTCATCCTAATTTCCCTGCCTGCTGTAACTATGATATCCGAGTCGCGTAGAACCATGTTTTGTCGTCGCCCGGACGCCGTGGGCCCATCTTGAGTCGCACTGTCATTTCTGAACTTGGGCAGCGTGGTGGTGGATAATTCCAACGAAGATTCCGATTGCGCGAGAGGCCCACTGAATTCCTTTGGCAGAGAAAATATTGGGTGACTACTGAGAGATATCAGGGCGTCCTGGTTGCCAGGCATCGCGTTGAGAGAGAACGTGGTGTTGAGTGAGCTCGAAAAAGATCAAAGCCAGATATGGGTATTTCTTCCCACAGGTACTGACGCGTTGGCTTGCGCGTCCTGTAAAGGCATCTGCCCTCAACCACCATGACTTCCATTGGCACGGGTTACGATCTCTCAGCAAGTACTTACTCTCCAGATGGAAGGATATTTCAGGTAGGCTCAACGGCAGCAGATGTCTTCAGAATACTCACTTTTCTGGAAAGGTCGAATACGCAAACAAGGCTGTCGAGAACTCTGGGTATAGCCCACCGATATCTACATTATTCTGAATTCTTACAAATTGGTTTCATAGGACAGCGATTGGTCTGCGTGTGAAAGGTGGCGTCGTTCTAGCCGTTGAGAAGCTGGTGCACTCCAAACTGTTGGTTCCCGGTGCCAACAGACGGATACAGACCGTGGACAGACATATTGGCATGGTTCGTTGTTCTTTTCAGAGGTCACTTCATTAATAAGAAACCCTTGTTTTAGGCTACAGCAGGTCTACTTGCTGATGGTCGTCATCTGGCCAACAGGGCACGAGACGAAGCATCCAATTACCGTGAACTATACCGGACACCACCCCCATTAAAGGTAGAAGAATTTGGCGCCTTCGATTGATCTACGCTTACCTGCTTCTTTCCTTTAGTCACTCGCAGATCGATTGGGTCTGTATGTGCAAGCTTATACCCTGTATTCATCAGTTCGTCCGTTTGGCATCAGCACCATTTTCGGGGCGGTAGACAAGGATGGCCCGTCACTATATGTCGTTGAACCAAGTGGTGTTTTTTATGTATGCCTCTATCTCTTTCGCCTTCATGTCCGGCTTTGGATCATTATTATGTAGGGCTATCACGGCGCTGCAGTAGGCAAGGGCCGTCAACTAGCTAAAACAGAGCTTGAGAAACTCGACCTAGCATCGATTTCCATGCGTCAAGCAGTGTTGGATGCTGCCCGAATGTACGTGTCCATCCTTTCCTTCCATCCTGATGCCAACTAGGTTCTAGAATCTATTTGGTTCACGACGACGCTAAAGAGAAGGAATTTGAACTGGAGATGTCATGGATCGGTGATGAGACGAATGGTCTCCATTTGCCCGTCCCTAAGGATCTCTTCGACGAGGCGGAGAGAAAAGCAAAGGAAGCTCTTGAAACTTTTGAGTAGAAAGCACAGGCTGTTCATTGTACTCTGCCGTCTAGTTGCCCAAACCAATATTGTCTGCATCACCAGCGAAACAAATCAATGCCTTTAGAATTTCACCATCTACACTATTTGCTCTAGTTCCCGGGCATAAGCCAGCGAGGCTGCAATCAGCTTCTGTCTTGGGATTTCCAGTTGTTCCTCGCCATTACGGACAAACGTGATTGTGGCGCCAGTAAGATCTATCTCCCAGCCCCTCTACGTAATTATAAGAAAAAATGACGGATAGTAAAATCTTATTACACTCAACTTGTTGCGCAAATGCCAGAAGCTCTGACTGTGATGAAAAGAAGAGGAGAAGAGCAGCGTCCTTCAAAGGAAGACTGTTGTATGCGGACTCTTCACAGCTTGCGATCTCATTTCTACACTAATCAATGAAAGCTCGTCAAGTCGAGAGGATTGCGTACCGGATGGTTCCAATTAAGCTGTCGACAAAGTACTTGTACTCTTCTGCTGGTGCCTCAGCCCTAGCATTCCACACTTTGCTATAGCTTCCTTCCATTAACCACCGCTCGAGATTTACCGGGTGGCTAATATATGGATTGTCACCAATGGCATCTGCAGGAAGCGGAAGACTTTCAAGGGTGGTGTGAAAATCTGCTATGCGATTCTGAGTGAGAAGACGGATGAGGTTGAGGCCGCGGATGGGGAATTCTCGTTTTGACGGTGGCAGGTAGGAGCTGGAGGAAGATGAAGAAGCAGTCGAGTCGGCAGCCTGTAACACACACCTGTAATCGTTATAAAACGTCTGTAGCTGAGAAAAGTATCGGTCAAAGGAGGATTCGTCTCGTGATCGTATACTCCAAATTGCGCCGATCTCGAGGATGTCGCCTGCATTAGTATCAGCACCACATTCGGGGAACAAAATCAATGCGTCTGACGAGCAATAACTAGGTCTTCGAGGACAAGATCCCCCTGGGGTATAAGCAAGCCCGCTTCAATCAATCCAATCTGTAGCCAGCTCATCGTCAGGGCAATTTATTCCATTTTTTGTCGTCTAACAAACCTTGAGCTGAGAAAGCAAAGTTCCACATCGTTTGAGATCCGATGGTATCGAGTTGAAGGAGCGCTGAAGATCTTCATACAGAGATACGAGACTGCTCGACATGGCAGTCGGGGGTCAAGGGTCACTACCGGTCGACGCGTGTGCGACGCGTCAGCGCAATACCTGCCAAATCAGGATCCATACCTCTCTCCTTCTCTCCCTCAGCAAATATGGACCACATCGACATGCAGCAGCTCAAATCTGGTGAGGTCAACCTTGGGGTATATGTTTTCGACCTTGTAGTCCGTCACTGCGGCTGACGGTGACCCTAGACTTCAATCATGGCCGTCCAATTCGACGGTGGAGTGGTCATCGGCGCAGACAGTCGTACGACCACAGGAAGCTATATTGTACGACAAATATGCTTCCCTTCGCCCGTATCCTCATTGTTTTTCAGGCCAACCGGGTAACAGATAAGCTCACACACGTCCACGATCGTGTATACTGCTGTCGGTCAGGTTCTGCGGCGGACACACAGGCTGTCGCAGATGTCGTGCATCTTCACCTTCAAATGTATACGTGCGTGTCGTATCGGCATTTCGGGGCTCAGTTCAATAAATGTTGTACAGCCAAACGGCAGGCGCTCCTCCGTCAGTGCACGCAGCAGCGGCTATCTTCCAGAAGTTCTGCTACGAAAATAAGGACGCTCTAAGTGCAGGAATCATTGTTGCTGGATGGGACAAGGAGGTCGGTCCCAGCGTCTATAATATTCCTCTTGGAGGTGGACTGTTCCGCCAGCCCTGGGCTATTGGTGGTACGACCTTCCACGCATCTAGTCCTTTCCCATGTAACAAAGTCTCACAGGCTCTGGTTCAACATACGTATATGGTTATTGCGATGCAACGTACCAAGAGGGATGGGGCCGAGACGAGACTGTGAATTTTGTCAAGAACAGTAAGTCGGCTGGTGCATGCTTGCATCTCCGCTGTTCTAATGATCCTTTCCAGCTTTGGCGCTCGCCATGTCGCGAGACGGTTCCTCGGGTGGTGTAATACGGATGTGTGTCATCACAGAGGATGGTGTTGAGCGACTATTCGTGCCTGGTGATAAGCTTCCCAAGTTCTGGGAAGGCCGAGAGGTCTTAGGTGCTGGAAAGACGATACCTATTGACAGTGGAGCTGTGCCAATGGCCGTAGAGGCATGAATGCATGAAGTCTGGCAATTACAATTTTTTTGTACTCAATTTATTTGAGTGGCTACTCGAGTACATCGACTGAGCGGTACTTCCGACGTAAAACCCAGTGGCTACTCTCGTCCCAATCCGTTCCTTCTTCGAACATCCTCAGTCGCCAGAGGGCCACAGCAATGGCAGCTGAGTCACCCCTCTTGATTGTCTCATCATCAGAGTAGAGAAGAAATGCGTGGCTCCCTTTTTGATCGCCCTTAGCGCTTTTCATGCTAGTCAAGCTGTTTGCTTCAGCTCTCACAGCGCTGGATCGGGCCCGGCGTTCGATGGTCAGAATTCGAAGGAGCAAAGCATGCAATGATGCACGCTGAGGCCGGGCGGGAAACAAAGAAACACCATTATAGAATGGCACCTGCGGACCAGAAAGCTGCTGCGACAGATCTGCCGCAGTGATCTCACCAGAAGATGACGGGTACAGAGTAGACAATGGTATGCTCGGCCTGCATTGAACACCAGGGGGTACTTTTTCTTCCTCTTCTGTCAAGGGTAAAGACGACATTGAGCCCTCTATTTTTCTCTTCGACTGAGGGTCGGACTTTAAGGGTGGAACTACCAATAGAGCGACCGCGTTTGGGTAAGGAATGGTTCCTGTAGATTTGACGTCCTTGAACTCTTCACGAGTGAGTCTCCGTAATATTGGCGGTACAGGGTTCCGTTTGGGCCAACACTCCATCTGATCTGCTAGTAACTGTAGCTCTTGCAGGATACGGACGCGTAAAAGATGTGATATCTGCTTAACTACAAGCGAATGCAGATGGGGGTTAGTGGTAACGCGTCGAAACAGATCTGTAATGCCGCAAGATCAATCGCGGACAGCACACGCAAAGACATTTTGTGACTGACTTGGGTCCATATTATCGAAGATGCGTTTCCAGCATAGGACGTACGTGGATCTGCCTGACCTGCGTGTGGCAAACTTGGAATGCTCAAGTCCGTCAGGCATGATGATACTCCTGCTATCGGAGCGGTTGGCTCTCGGGGCAGGTAATCGTAATAATCCAAGGCGTATAAGAAAATCTATTGAATGAATTGGTCACGCCGCAAGTCATGAATATCAGCATCATACCGGTCGGCAAATCTTGTTGAGTGACCATGCATCTCCTAGTTGAAGAAGACACCATTCGTACTGGATGAAAGTTTGCTTTAGCGGCACCTGAAAGAAATCGTCGGACGCGTACATACGGTATGGCGATGACCACCACTTTCGTTCCTCTGCTGTCATCTCTCTAGGACTCTCCATGCTTCCCTGCCGTGGCTTAGCACCTTTCGCGATGAAGACACGAGGCGGCAGAGTTTTACGTCGCACATATTGCTGAGAACTGGTAATCGGATTGTCGGGCAATAACAGTATGGACTCTGAGTAATGCGAGGGATCAAAAGAAGGGCGTGGCGGTACAGGCTCGTGCCGTGAAAATTGTCGTTTTCGCCTTACGAAAAATTGTTGGTGCTGCTGCTGCTGTGTAGGTTGGTCGGCGAGCTTGGCGATGAGACGTGGCAGAATACGTGGCATGTATGTCGAGTCAGGCGGCGTCGAAGTAGTCGTTCGAGGCAAAGTCGGTGACCAATGGCATTGGCCCGGTTACGTAGCCTGTTTTCTTCAACGACGGTGCACAAGGTTGCGGCGCTGATTCTTCGGTTACTCCTGGCTATGCTTTCGTTTATCTATAATTGTCCTCTTGACTGACACGAATCGACCGCATGACCGGCCTTCTAGCGACCTCTAAAAGCCTATGGCAGAGGTCCTGGCGCGCAAAGGAATCTCCCTATCGTTCCGCGATGAACGACCTCGACGAGAAACACTCTGCCGGACCAGTCACCTTGGCTGTAGTGGGATGCGGGCAACGAGGGAAGGTGCACATATTCAATCCATTGTGTATATACGTTATCGCTAAAGAAAGGTTCACTGGCAGGCATACGCCAAATATGCTCTTCAATGTCCAGATCGCTGCAAGGTCGTCGCCATCGCAGAGCCTCGCTCGGAGACGCAAAAGTACTTTGCTGACCTGCACAGCGTCGATAACACACTTGTATTTCGCACCTGGAGAGACCTGCACGCTGCCTCTGCAGAAACACTGGGCACCATCGGAAAACGTCTTGCGGATGCCGTGATTATAGCCGTGCAGGACTATATGCATGTACAAGTCGCTGAAGCTTTTGCGGAGCAAGGATACCATATCCTATGTGAGAAACCTATGGCCACAAGCGTAGATGATTGTATTAGAATGGAGACGGCGATCAAGAAGGCTGGGATTATATTCGGAATGGGACATGGTATGTTCAGTTCTAAACTCGTGATGGCTAAAGATATAAATGTTCGCAGTGATGCGTTACTCTCCTTATAGCCAAGAGATATCAGAGATCGTCCAGTCAGGACGTCTAGGAAGACTGGTAAACCTTGTTCAGGTGGAGCCTGTTGGATATTACCATTTTGCCCATTCTTACGTGCGAGGAAACTGGGCGAAGGAGGCCAAAAGTTCGTTCTCCCTCATGACCAAGAGTTGCCAGTACGTCCTTATCTCCATGCAAACCAGATACGCGTTGAATATGACAATAGTGATATCGACATTATCTGCCACTGGCTCTCCCCCTCAATCCCGGCTCGTGTGTCATCTTTTGGATCACTACAGCACTTTAGAAAATCTGCCAAACCTATAGAAGCCGGTGCTGCTACTCGTTGTATTGACTGTTCAATAGAGAAAATGTGTCCGTACAGTGCCAAGAAGAGTGAGGAATTCGCCGTTGCTCCAATATATAACTGATTTCTTCTCCGAAGTGTATCTGGATCCCGTATCAAAGGGCAACAAAGGATGGCCCGCCGAGACTATCGTCGATGGTATTCCCGACATCGAAAACATAGCAGAAGCCCTGAAATCCGGTCCCTATGGCAAATGCGTCTACGAAAGCGATAACGACGTCTGCGATAACCAAGTGGTCAACCTCGAATTCGACAATGGAAGCACGGCGTCGTTTACTATGATCGCTTTCACATCTCTGATATGCGACAGACAACTCCGCATGCATTTTACGCATGGAGAAATTGTCGGAGACATGAACAAGTTTACGGTTACTGATTTTCGGACGAGATCGACTACTACACATATCCCGAAGGACGAGGGCGGTGGCCATGGCGGTGGGGATCTTGGTTTGATGCGGTCTTTCGTGAAGGCTGTTCGAACAGGCGACCAAAAAGTCCTGGGTACTGACATCGTGGAAGTCGTGAAGGGCCATCTGACTGTCTTTGCGGCTGAGACGAGTCGTAAAGAAGGGCGGATGATTAATTGTGTCGAGTATGAAAAGTTAGCACGAGAACGGGTGACTGCAAATTTTTCAGGATAACAGATTTTTCCATTTCATCTACTATACTTTATCTTGGCCCACAATCTCTACTGTACAACAACCAAGTTCTTTATTTTTATCACTACAAACAACAAGACAATTAACTGGTACGACGAACAGATGTAAAATGGCAGATGGGATAAATAGTTACTGATGTAGCTAGTCTGCCCAATAATGAAAGAACACTGTAAACCTTGTTAATCAAGAGGAAGGAAGATAGATACAGATCCAAACGACACCCTGGCACAAACCGCAGATATATACGATTTGCATCAGGGTTCTAAATGAAGGCCTTAAGGACTTCGGGCCCGAGAACCCACGCTCGCCCAACTGGACATTGATATCTCGCTGCCAAAATTACTGCACAGCTCATCTGAGTCTTGCTCGTCGAATTCAGAGACAGAGCTCTCAGAGGATGCCACAGAAGCGACCGCATCATGGTCGCTGCCATCGGACAGCACCAAGTATTCGACGTGCAAGGCTGGAGAGAACGAGTGGTACTCCCTATTCGATACATTAGAGAAAGGCGTGTCAGGACGAGATGACGGCGCCGAGAGCAGCTCAACACCATGTTCCTGATCGAGGTCAACAGGGTGAGAGAGTGAAAGACTGGGAATCGAGCTTGGTGAGAACGCGAGTGGCGGGAAGGGCTGGTCGGATGCGATCTGTGGCGAAAGTGCAACAGAAGGAGCCGGAGTTGGGAGACGGCCTGGGGGGGACGTCGGAGATGGTGACCGTAAAGTTGAACGCGAGGACGTGAGATGGATTTCCGGCAAAGTGTGGGGGAGCGGTGACGACGTCGGCGACGCTGATGCTCTGCTGATATCAGTCACGGTCGTAGGCGTTGACAGTGTAGAAGAATTGAATATAACATGTGTTGGGATCAACGCAGGATAAGGGATAGCGATATTGGACTAGGTGGAAATACGCAGTAAGTCTCACAAAGGTTTCAGGTAAACGGAGGGTCACTGACCTGGTCCAAGGCTGACTGTTCGGATGCAGCGTTCCTTCTGAGCCGGAGAGTTGAAGAGTTACTTTTGTCCACTTCATTGCGCCATTCGTGGACTTCGTGGGAGATGAGTTTCTCGAGCTCATAGGTGCTCTTATCATCGTCGTCCGTATCGCCACCATCGTCAGACCGCTTGCTCCGAGCCTTGCCCTTCGATGGGATGGACGCAGCTACGGCAATTGGAGATTCCCTTTGCTTCCTCCGAGCCTTGCGTTTCGCAATGAATTCCTCAGCCCATTTCTCCAACCTGGGAGCTATGTGGGGTTCGTAGACGAACTGTGGGAGCTCAGACATATATGCAACGAATGCGATGTAGCGGCTTACCTCCTTGAAAGCGATACCTGCAGCTACAGTACCGACAATTGCGAGAACATATACTGCAGGAGCGGGCATGTTAGGAAGAAGGGGTGTGGTAGAAGGATAAGTACCACCCTGGCTTCGGCACCCGCGCCGGCGAATGGTATTAGCGCCGTCGGCATTTCGTCATTTGCTACAAGCACTGCCTCCTTGCGATTAGGGACATATCGAAACTGGAGAATCCTAGCGACGTCCTTTGCGTTATAGGATTCCTCTTCCTGAGAAGGGCTAGATAATTCATTATTCTTTCATGTGATGTTCTTAAACCAGTACTTCTGGACCGTATCTATGTGCATGTTCCTGGAGTCGCTGCATCTCTCCCAACTTTCATAACCTGCCATATAAGAGATGGAAGGATCAGAGTTTACTTCGTATCGGTCGAGGGAGCCTATCTCGTTTCAAGACCTCCTCAGCGATACAGCGTACACTCTCCCAATCTACTGCGACGCCTTCTGTCTCGCACGCTTTCCGGAAAGTCGGATTCGAGTACATCACCCATGCAATTCTTTCTTCGTTGGTAGGTGCTCCAGGTGGCTCCACCTCAAAATCTGGTTCTTTCGCATAGCTAAGCATTGCCACGCGTATGAGTATTGCGCTAGGGTACGTGTTAAGAAGTGAGAACTCCGAAACATCTGACAAAACACGTACGCAGTTAGACCGAATACAGGTTTGGTGCCCCCAGCCTCGCGGCCGGTCAGAAACCAATGAACACGCAGTTGGCGGCATTCACCGTCAGGCCCTGGAGGTAAATTGTAGTCCTGGTATGTGTGATGGGGGACTTCAAGGGACGCAATTTCTGCGTTCAAAGGATATTCAGAGGATACGAATGCTTTGAGGGGGTGAGAAAAGAGAGAGGCCACTTCTGATGAATTGAGAATCGGCTGTAAGGTTGGTTAGCTGCACTTTTCATAAAAATATGAATTGAAACATACTCGCAATGTGTTATCCACGATGAGCACGACGACCCTAACCATAAATTCAACGCTAAATGAGACAAGGTGAAGATAGAGTACTGACGGGACAACAATCAACTGGTTTGACGCTATAAAAGGATCCAGAACGCAGAGAAGGGGGACTTTGCGACGATCCCGAGGTAAACCAATCTGTTTGATGAGAACCTTTGTAAGGGTAAATAGATGGAAATAACGATATAAAGATACCTCTTCAAAGGCCTCCCTTCGCTATAGGAGGCGTGTATGTAGGTGGGCGACAACTTAGCTTATACTGACAACTCACAGCGGCATCTTCGAAGTTCTTATCTTCTGGATCGACCTTTCCTCCAGGTAAAGACGTATCGCCAGCAAAGGTCCTGAGCGTCGCAGCCCGGCTTCACCGTTGGCTATTAAACGAGCAGCACAAAGACCTAGATGGCGTACATACCTACCGGCTTAACAGGACGTGCAGCTCGCCCGAGCGGCCAACGAATAGGGCGACAAGGACGGCAGCACATTTTGATCTTGGAAACTTGAGACGCGGCTTTGGTAAACGGTACGAAGCCAAGGTCCGTATGCATCTAATTACTACTCTCTGAACGAAGGAGATAATGTTGTGCGATAAAGACATACTGCCGGGATTCCTTGCTGAGATGCGGCACCTCTCTGACCTGGCTGAGTTTCAACTTCGGTCGGTGGTACTTTAGGAGATTGATAGGCTTTGGTCCTCTGTACGCTGGGCGCGACGGCATTGAACGTGGCGGTAAACCGTAGAGCGGAACGCGATACACGTGATTGTCAGGACTCGGATATTATCATTATTTATTTTATTATTATATTACCAGCATATTATTAGCTTTGCACTCGCTCAAATACGTTTTGTTTCACCTTAAATCTCTCCTACTTGCTCAACCATTTTCTAGCGTCGGCCACGGTTAGCAACGATGTCTATGGTTTCAACGTCTCGTGTTGCGGCAGGGTCGTAAAGCTGCAGTCGTAGTGTCCTTGAGCATGAATTTACCGATATTTTTCGAACTTGACACCTGGGGAGCAGGGGTACATGGGCCTATACACGTCCAAACTCAATGTCAAAGACAACTTGGTATGTCCCGAAACAACTCTTCTTACCGCTAGCGCTGATATCCCCTTTAATGTAAAAATTTCGCAGCGCACACATGCCATCTTTGTAAGGACATGAAACGGTAGACTTGTCAACATATTACAAGTGAAAAATTGCAAGGATTTCCCGCGCCTCACAATCACCCCGAGTCGTGTATTACTTGATTTCATGTGACCCCTTCCTGGGAGATCAGAACTGGAGGAAGAAGCAAGGACACGGACGTTGAACATCTGGACCTGTGCATGCCGGCAAACGTAACGACAAGCCGTCGTGGAACCGACGTCCAGCTGCGAACGTTCGCGACCAAAATTATTGGGTACTAGTAGTTGGACGGCGGAGAAGCCATGCGGATATTAGGGGACAGTCAAGCGAAACACCAACAAATCGAAGGAAATGCAAAATGTTTTACTATTCTTATCACGTTGACGGCGGGTCTAGGCAGTCACTCAGGCGCGAAGTCGAAGTAGGTCTGAGGTAGACTGAAATTCCAAGCGTTCTAGCTGGCGCATTCATACAACGGTAACGATGATGGCTTCCACTACCGTGGTAGGCTATCCCTTTGGACGCCGATAGCAAGGGCTGACGGTCTCTATACGCCACAGAACTCACGCAAACATCCCATAATGGGAGCAAGGCCTTGATTATTTTAATGGACGCGGGTATTCTACGGCCTTTGATTTTTCACGCCGAAAAAGATAAGAACCCAATTAATTATTTGATGGTCCTCGTCCAGTTATCTCGTCGTGAGGTTCCGGTACCCGAACCAACGCCCTAGAGCGAGGTCCGGAGTACGGAGTACGAGATATGTGGATGACGAACCCCAATAATTGAAAGTGGTGCGTACATCGCGGCGCAGTTGTCAATATTTTCAATGTCAGAAACAGTCCTTATCTGCGCCCTTTAGAGCCCTTTCATTCTGAGATGCACTGGAGCAGCGAATTTAGGGATGATCATGATCTGCAATTTCAGGTTCGCACTGTGTGATTCGATATGTTCGGCGTCGAGGTGTGATACACAATTATCACTCTGGTGTAAAGTTCTCCCATTCCTACGGAACCTTGTGGCGTTACCTAACTCGTCTTGCGAGTGTCGGCACGATGATGGGAACACGGTCTTGACCAGCCGTAGGGCATGAGAATTCAATACAACGTAACAAAAATTCGACCTCTCGTTTTCCCGTCTGGATGATGGGTCTCCGTCGGCGAGGCTTGGCAGAGGATAGAATTGCTCCAGTTTGACGTATTCCATGCCAATAACATGGCGCTATCTTTGCGGGATAATGCTGTATATAATCCAGTACAAATGGAAGGTGCGCGAAGCAGACCTGTTAAAGGTTGTAGTTCGGGAAATATCCAGTCCGGGTATCCCTTCGATTGTTCGAAGCTCTTTCAATCATTGAAGTAGTAGACTCTTCGAGTCAGGTACAATACATGTGTGAAACTAGGGACGGTAGAGGATACATTCTGATTCGCCCTTCTTTGGTTGACCGATATACATAGGCGTTGGAAATGGTAACTGCGGGTTGAAACTCGGAATAGGGGACTCGATTCCAACACCTCAGTAACCAGACTTTCATTTCGCTTCCACGTCTTGCAGAAAACTTGTAACCCTTAAGTGGTATCTTTACAGTTTGCTGCGCCATCTCCAATCCTCCGCTGGTGAAAGTCCAATATTCTTGTTTCGATGCAGGATCCCCCTCAGGTACTGCTTCGACTTCTTCAAGAGGGGCAATTGCCATTTGCGACGAGTGCGAGCGTCTAGGAACTGTACCCGAATCAGTTCTGACACGTTCCTCGACGCCACAAGAATCAACATCTTCTCAGGACTCGATTCTCGCCCGTCCTGGCACAAACCATTCGAAGCCACTGTAACGTTCATCATTCAGTTGAGCATATATTTGGGGCAGGACAGAGCGCCCCTCGCTTCAGCAATTGAACTGTTTGAACAGGCTCTGACTTCGTGATGAGGATAGTTTAAGATGCAATTTCGAATACAGATTGTGATTGCGTCTCGTATCTTGTGTCCGGATCAGACAAGTGGACAGCTCGGAAATGTCCCGAAGATGTTTCTGAGGTGCTCACGGTTGTACGAACACATGTCCGAAATCCTGGCTGGGACTGGGATGGTCTGTTTTCTGTATGGCCTCGATTTATCAGGAAGGTTGAAAGAGACGGAAATGACAAGGTTCCTTCTAGTACCTACAGATCGATCTAAGAAGACATATGCCTTGGGGTAACGGTCTCTGCCGGTGACGATTTATACAAGCTAAAACCTTGACCCACAAAAACATTACGTACCAGAGCCTCTCAATCGAAACGATCCTTATCTCTCAACCACCACCATCCTTGCATGTAATTGTCCATCCGTCCTTGTTCATCATGTCGCGGCGGATCTGCTCAAGCACACAGTTAACGTTACAAGTACAAGATCTGATAGACTTTTACGGCTCATCGCGGACCTAGTAACGTTCATTGAATTAACGGTACTTGTAGCCATATCTGTATATTTTTCACCATCTCGGGTCTTGTATTAGCCTTCTGGACCGACCGGTTCCAACGGTTTCAGTGCATAATATAAAACAGGTCGCTCCATTCTATTCTATCCCATGATCCCGCCATCACTCTGATTTGCTCTTCTCTGGCACTGCGATTTGGAGATATCCGCAAGCCTTGTGATTGCTGTACAACGTGGTTTCGCTTCCATGGCTAGTCGTCCCATTTATTTCTACACCTCGAGAAACTCCCCCCTTTCACGAGACCGATCTAAGTTCTATTCTGGTCGTCACCGGCACTTTGCTGCAACTCGTCATTCGGAGGCGTGGCGAGCAACAGGCGCCCTTTTATATTCCTGTCACGGTCATCAATTCCTCAAATATGGCATTCTCCGGCTTCATCTTTTCTGTGGGGCGCATCCATGATCTATGTCCAGGACAAACGACTGCCGCTGTCAGGCGGGAGGTCCCTTGCCTACGCTGACAATGGCAATACCTCAAGTTCTACTCTCATTCTCTTCCTTCATGGGGCATTTTCCGTCGGTGATGCGTCTCGACTATCTCCAATTTTGGTCGGGAAAAACATCCATTTCATAGCTCCTTCACTTCCTGGCTGGGGCAAGTCTTCGCCTGTTTCAGACCCTTCAAATTACTCCACTACACTTGCAAGCGACATGTCCACCTTGTTAGCCCACCTACGGACTGATGCTTTGCACCTGAAGATCATAATTTGCGGTTATTCATTTGGCACCGTGGCCGCTCAGATGCTGTATGGTGCCCCCGCTAGCGTGTTCCCTTTCCGTTCACAAATTTCATCTCTCGTTCTCCTCGCTCCCCATACCCCGCCACATTGTCACATGGATTATGCCAAAGATATGTCGTGGCAATCCTACTTCCTGACAGGTCCCCCATGCCGTTATATACCATTTAACATTCCCGCCCGTCTTTCGAGGTATGCTTTGGTGGCAAAACTGAAATCTGTGTCAGCAGCAGAAATCTTCATACGCCGTTCTCTCTTTGACCGTATGACAGATCGAGAGCGGGAGTCGTATCTGCATTGGAAAGAGGATCACGGCTTGGGTGAGGGTCAGTTTGAGCGGGAAATGGCAGCGAATATGCTGCGCAGCGTGGGGCAGACATGGGAAGGATTTCTCCAGATACCGACCATTTACCACTCAGGGTGGGGTGGTTTATCACCATCCACACTTGTCAAAGGGCGCAAGGATGGTTTTTCTCCTCCCGTATACATTGTCGCTGCTAAGCGGGATCATACAGTGTCGCTGAATGCCGCACGATGGTTAGCGGGACAGTATCCGAACGCCAGCCTCAAAGTAGTCGATGGCAGTCACATATCGCTTCTATTACATCTGGACGACATTTGGAAGGAAATCCTGGATTGACATTACAGTACGACAAAAGTAATTAATTGTACAAATCAAGCTAACAATATAGTACTCTGCTATAAACATTTCACAGTCAGTAAGTGAGAGATACAAATCGAGTTGAGAAAATAAGATGAAGCATGGATTAGTCCTGGAGCTCGAGCTCCCGCCGAATGATCTCTCTAACTTCACGCAAGCCACCTGTTTCCTTTTTCACTCGCTTGGGACTTCTTGTCAACACCTCTTCCGCACTGTCAGCCTTAGCCTTACGGGATCCAGGGCTGGAAGGGCTTCCAAAGGTTCCTGGAGTACTATCGTCGACGTTGATGGGACTAGTCTTTGGCGCCGGCATTTCCAGCCATTCTTCCCCAGAAATGTTCAGCTTTTTTAGGAAGAATGGACACAGCTTTAACAACATCTCCAAAGATTCGCTGGCTTCAGCAGCGGATATGGGCACGGGAGAAGACTTGATGACTGCATTTACCACCTCGGACATAGGTAATGCTCGACGTTTCCGCTTTGAGGGTGTAGACGTAGATGATCCGGACACAGGCCCAGAAAACAGCCTAAAGAATAAGCTATGTGAGCGAAATTGGCAGAACCAAGAGGGAAACGCACATCCAAACACTCTCGGCTACACCGCCCAAACGTCCAAGTAAGCACCGTCGTCTCATTTCCTCTTGCCCGAGCTTAAGCATCTGATCGCGTGTCAGCCTACCGCCAATGATATCATTACTCAGAGCCTTTGTAGGAGATGCCGATAATGAACGCTGACGAACGCGCTCATATAAGGCTTGGCGGCGGGCTGTGGTAGGTGTGTGCGGGACCGTGGAGGCATTTCGACCACGCTGATGTACAGGCGTTGACGGTTCCGAAGGAACATCGGATACAGAAACATTAGAAGTTGTCGGCGTACGCGGCGCCAAGGTACGTATACTACTAGAGCCAAAAATGTCGTGTTTGGATGGTGTCTGTGGAAACAAAATGGAGTTTTTGGTTGGAGATTTCTGACGAGATGAAGGGGTGATGGGAAATGGTATCGCAAAATCTCGGCCACGCTTTGTGGGAGATTTAGAGGGGGAACCAGGTGATAAAGGCGGCGCGAATGATGCAGAAGCCTTAGGAGAGATCGAAGCGAAGACACGGGTGAGAGAAGAAGGTTTGGAGAGAGCGCTCAATTTGGGCAAGTCCGCCATGGGAACTGGTGGAATAGACAGCTCATCGGAGTGTAACTGCATATGAATATAATATGTCAACTTTAAGTTGTATCGGACAGCGTAGATAACGGACCTTGCACCACTTGATCAGCTTAGCATGAAACTCTTTTCGCCGTGTTTCTGCTCCTGCCGTCCAACGTGCTACGGCGGCCATACCTCCACCCATGTCCTTGTCAATATCCATTTCAACCTCAATTCCAATCCCATAAGCTGCGACTCGTTTCTTGTCTGCCTTGGAATAGTAGGTGGCGGGGCTGATGACTATGCCCATAGACCCGCGAATCCAGTCCTTGGACTGCGACGCCGGGCTATCCCAGAAGGGATTCTCGTCATCATCCACGTTCTGATGCTTTTCGGGCGGTGAGATTCCGTCCCACTCCCAAAGCCAGCATAGTCTCCGGAGATCATCAGATGTGAATTGGGTAGTTAATCCAGTGTAGGTTGTCAGCGAGAGATGATTCAACACATTACGCACAATACCGGTGTCTGACGATGGAGACACGGCACACGACGCGAGGGCATGTGAGAGGGCGTGTTGAAGGCCAGTTTGGATAGTCTGGAGACGCGACAAATGAGTAGGTAGATCATCCGTTTTCGGTGTTTTCTTCTTCGACACAGTAGCAGGAGGCGTGATCGGTCTAGATACATCAGTTTCAGTTAGTTTCAGCACGTAATCAAGCAGGATACACGAACGCCGTCCGCAATCGTTTAGGTGTGTAGTCAGTGTCGTTGAGCTCGGGCGGACAGCGTTTTTTCTTTGGCGACACTTGAAGAGTGGAATACAGGCCAGACATGGTAGAAAAAGTCAGGATTCACTGCACAAGAGGAGAAAAAACGCGTCCTGAGAGCTCTTCAACTGGGTGTCGCTGGAAGAGATGTCCTGGCCTGGGCCAGCTACGATGTGACCACGCACGTGGCTGCGTGACAATTGACGACCGTTGTTTTGCTACAAGTTTCTCATCTTCTTATGGTCAACATTTCCTTTACACACCATCTCCTGGCAGTGACAGGTTTTGAACAGGCATATTCCTCATTTAATCGGATATCTCTCTTATCGAAGTCTTTGGAGCCTCATAGCAATACCACCTCGAGCAAGACTGGAGACGTCAATATTCTTGTGTTGAGCTAACATGGAAATGCAACACTGGGGCTTTAGTGGACCGCAAAATAATTTACTCCTTGATGCACATATCATCCCTCTTTCAACATTCTCATCACTCAGGTTTCCGACTACGTGTTCGATGCGTTTTCGTGTTGACAATGTGTCCGTTGCACGTATAACTTCTGGTTTCCTCATGGCGTCCAGCTTAAACTGGCTCTGTTTGATTCATTCTTAATCCCTGGCCTCCGCCTTCCACACTCCTACTAGAACTCCCTCGACATGGCTTTAGAATCATCGAGCGCTTCCAGAGATCACATGTCTTCAACAATGCAATCTCATCCGCTGTATGTACTATGTCAACAATGTGTCCGCGATAATTCTGTTGAATAATCTGTGTTTCCCTCTCATAGAAACTCGTACTTCGACCGACTGAAAGGTTTTCTGATTTCCAAATCTATGTGTTCTCGCGTTTACTGAGCTATGTAGACGAGGTCTTCGGTATGATACGGAACGAAACATCGTTTCTAGAGAGAATCCAGCAGCTTGAAACCGAACTAAGTGCTTACAAGCGAGCCTATGCGGACGTTGACGCTGAACACCGACAGTGTGAAAAGATTAAAGCCGAATGTGAGAAGCAGAAGGAGATATTTGCAAGTCAACTACAGGTTTGACATCTCCTTCTTTGTCTGGTGCGGACGGTGATTGTCTCGGCTCAGGGACATCGGGTTGTCACTTTGATTGATGGTGACGGCGCCATTTTTTCTAGTGAGCTTATATCCCAGGGCCTGGCTGGCGGGCACGTAGCCGCACAGAAGTTATCCGACTCTATTCTCCAACATTTATGCACGAATTATGGCGCCAACCAGTACCAACTTTGGGTCTACATTTTCTATAATAAACGCGGACTTGTTGACACGCTGGGGCGCTTGGGGCTGACCACGCTTAAGATTAAATTTGATGATTTTGCTATGGGCTTCAATCAGGCAGCGGAACGTTTCCTCATGGTTGACGTCGGAAACGGAAAAGAGGCTGCCGATGCAAAAATTAAAGGTTCGTTCTGATAAGCCCCACCACTCGTGGATATTGATCAATTGGTGTTTTAGTACACCTTGAGGACGATATCCGTTTGCCGCAAACGTCAAAAGTAATATTTGCCGGTACATGTTGCTTCTTCTCTATCTACGTTCAATACACACCAGTGAAAGCGTTTGTTTAGGCTGTCACGACAATGGATACGTCACCAATCTTCGCTCTCAGATAACTGCAGGGTACAAGCAAAAGCTTATTCTTCTAAAGAGTTATACTGATATGGCGGCCGGTATCTCGGAACTTGATCTTCCAACACTTACCATACCGGATCTTTTCATGCCCCAAAAGTTAGGGCAGCCTTTAACCAGCGTACCGCCTGGCCTCGCCACCGTACGCAGATCATCATTCGTAATAGCTCGACCCGCTGTGCCGCCATTCATAACATCAGACGCTTTAGCCGCAGTCCAGAAGCCTACGGCACCAGATTCTAACGGGACTTGTTCGGCGGTGCCGGACCAAGAACCCATCTTGGTGCAACGCCCTTCATTGCCACACCCTTCTTACTCCTTTGTTATATCAAACGAACAAAGACCAGAGACTCCGGATTTGGACCCGGGCACTACGTCCAGTGATGACTCGGATGACAGTGACGACCTGTCTGTCGAGGCATTCGTTTCGTCTTCTTTCACTTCCAGACATATTGATCCTCACATTGTGAGCATTATTCTTTCTTCTCCCATTGATCGCCCTGTCCCGATGCGTCTGATGGTACAGCCTCTCTCGAAGCGTGAGTGACACCGAAAGTCAGAAATTTCCACGAATAACCTTATTTAACCCCTTAGATAAACCCCCTCCCTGCACGTTGTTCTATTTGGCCAATTGCAAGCACGGCGCAGACTGTAGGTATGCTCATGACTATATACTGGACTCGGAGCATCGCAACGAAATTCGCACGAACGCTAAGAAAGCCCCGTGTCCCTACGTTAACAAAGGTGTCGTCGATTCGTCATAAGTGCGGCGTCCGACTGATCTGATTGCAGGTGAAACGTGTATTTGGGGAGAAGACTGTTGTTATGGACATGTCTGTCCCATGTCTGGCAACTGTTACTTCAACAAGAAGGGGAAATGTAAATTCACTGGAGGTTTGTCGGGTGTGAATTTCCCATCCATGCGGATCTAATTTTTCCATTTCTAGTTGATATGCATAAGGAACCGAAAGTGTTAACCAATGAGTAGAAAATTCCGTTGCCCTAGTACGATGTATGCATGGAGGACCTCTCCACCAGTATAAGTATGCTTTATGTTCTCCACGGATTGTGAATCAAAGAAATGATGCGCGGAGGTATGGGTGCATTTTGGGACCATTGTCCCCCCTTTTCGTTATTCCCCTTCCAAAACAATCAAAGAAGCCATCATCTTTGGTGATTACAACAAATGCTGACATGTATAGTAGCACGCCCGTTGCCGTTCAAGGTCACGACAGTTATGATTTCGGAGCAGGGAGGGTTTGGGTGCTTTTAGAAGCACCTTGCAGGCGCTTGTCATTCGGACCGCCACCGTGACCCGTTTGTAAAGTCGCCTCGGTGTGACTGCGAAGTCGATCTCGCTGCATTACGGCCTCGCTATTTCCCTTTTCGCTTCCCAAGCTGCCTGGCTGGATTAAGAACCCCGAGAAGCCGCTCTGGTTTACCTGATCCCAATTGCTTGGTCGAAGGGCCATGCCTTAAAGGTACCTCGAATTTTACTAGTCCCTTCGTTCATCCTCACCTTTCTCCATTTTTAATCGCTGCCCCGATGGCGACCCAACCTTTAGGCGAGGGTAATCAGCAGCTGTGGTGCGTCCCCCATCTTCCCTGTGTAAGTGGCATTGATTTGACGTCTTCTAGGGATGAAGCTCTCAGTCGGATTCTTAGTGAGTTATTTCCATTTCCCTCGTCATACCAGTCTGAACCCATCCTTTTAGATCTATCCCGGGTGACGGTTAAGCGGAACGTCGAGTTGGAAAACACGGTTGCAAAGCTCCAAGCCGAGATTGAGTTATGGAAGGACCATCACGCGACAATGCAAATGGAAGCAAATGCGCATAAAGTGCAGCTTGCGACGCTCAATAAACAGGTTTCTAATATGGATGTCTTTCGTGGGGTACGTCTTTCTTGCATCCGGCCTTTGTTGTCAAGCCCATTTTGCGCTACTTTAGAGTCAAGATCCACTCATTCTTTGTGTTATTAATGGAAGCGCCTCAATGTTCTGTACAAGCCTGCTCTCGCAAGGCTTTCGTGGCGGCAATGAAGCGGCTAAGCAGCTGACCAAAGTTATCGCGGAGTATCTTGCCAATGAGAGTGTACAGGTCGTACGAGGGCTATCGTTTTGGGTTACTGTCTATTTCAATAAGTCGGAGGTTCTCAATACTCTACTTGGTCATGAGCTCTGCACGGAGGAGCAATTTCAGTCCTTCTTAGCTGTGAGATTTCTGTCAGAATGTTTTTTACGGCTTATTGACCTTCGGCTTTCCAGGGCTTTAGCCATGCATCTCCGCGTTTCATGGTCGTTGACGTTGGTTATAATACCGAAGATGTCACTATGAAAATTCGAGGTACGTATCGGCTACCTATCTTCGGTTAATATACTTTCTGAACGTAGCCTTAGAATATCTTCAGACTTATGCTAAATTACCTCTGACCCTTCGCATGTTCTTCGGTGGTATGTTGTGCTGGCTATAGATCTGGGCCATGATGGTTTATCAGTTCTATGCTAGGTGTGCAGGAGCGGGATATTGCGTTTCTCCTTGATGACCTGGCAAAAGAGCACCTCCTAGGCAAACTGGTGACGCTCAAATCTGCAGGCGACTCCGGGATGGCGCCGACCTTCTTCCTCCCTTCTTTACAAGAAGACAATTTATTCTTTAACATGAACTCACTCCGGACTATTCAGAAGCCGTCTCCGGGGCCTCTAACTGTGGGCCCCTTCAGCTCGGTCATAACGAACGGAGGTCTTATCAGCCCGCAGTCCCCCGAACGTGCTATTGGTACAAGACTTATTGATCCGTCACTTGTATGTGGTTATCTTTGTTTCATCTTATTCACTCTTGACAAACCTGATACAATGTAGCCTCTGCATAAGCGTATGTCTGGTCACCCTGGAACCCGCATCTCATTGACTGGTCACACAGAGTCACCGCCACCGTGTAACGAGCACTACCTAATGACCTGCTCTAAAGGGGTGAGTATCAGGGATGGAATAAATGATATATATTCACTGATAGCCTTGCGACAGATTGCGGTGTGCAAGTATTCGCACGATTACATCTTGACTCCGGAGCAGCTGGCCACACTGGCTAGCAATGCTAAAAAAGCGCCATGCAATTGGCTTAAAAATGGTTTGTCCGACATTCCGTCTATCCTTGGTTGTGGCTCATCAAAAGGTAGGACTTCCATGCCCATACGGCGAGAGCTGTTGCTGGGGCCATGTTTGCCCCAATGGGCCCAAGTGTTTCCACCTGAGCAAGGGCAAGTGTTGGTTTAAAGGAGGTGTGTAGTTGAAACATTTGAAATCGTGTATTGGATCATTTATTAACAAAAATTTCAGAATCGATGCACTCGCCTACATCGCCTCGCGCATAATGAGCGAATTGGACAGCAGGTTCTGGACAGCAGGCGGTCAACATGTTTTTACTATCTATTGTTTTTTGGAGTGATATACACTGGCTAAGTATCCCGGATCTATTTGTATACATTGATACCGACTCGTTATGATAACTATTGATCTTTGTTGTTTGAAATTCAAGAATTATGACTCAAAGGGTGGTACAACGTTAGCACCGGTCGGTGTTTCTATTGCAGCGATGATAAGGAACGGAGCAATGCAATACAATCCTTGGGAAATTGGAGGGGACGTCTCTTTGGCTACAAAGGCTTATCTGGAGTCGGTAATTGCTAGGCGAGTGCTGGATAAGTCGAAAAAACCGAGAAGCATTATATGTGGACAGTGGCAATTTGAAGCGAAAATTCGTGTGGTTTCAGTGTCCCTTTCTGTTCTCAACTTGGACTAATCAAATGGTCGACGAATGGTATATACTGACTCCGCTATGCTCGCGAGCGAACTTGAAGCTGAAAAGAATTCTAAATTCGAAAGGGATTGTCGGCGATTGGCGGACTTTGAAAAATGTGGCAACGGTAATCGCGATCTGTTACTAGGCCTCCCTGATTTGAATACCACCTTGAACGATGTCTGCAGTTCGTCTCATTCATACGTTATTTTACTTCTACCCTCCGTTCTCATGCTTGCCTATAGGAAGATGAGCATGGGGACTTGGTACCTACCACCACCCCTGGTGAGGCCTTGGATCCTTCTCAGCAACCGTGTAGTTAACGACCGCAGGCTACAAGCCATCCGCTGCAAAGACTGCTGATGAATATGCGCAACTCGATGCCAATGACGAGAGCCTCGCCCGCTGGAAAGCATCGTTGGGCATTGTTCCTGGTACGACATCGGGGGATACGAGTGGCCCAAAGGTAGCGCACCCTCTTGCTCGCTGCTGATTGGAATCACTGATCTCGTTGACATAGGTGACTGTATTGACTCTGGAGCTTCATTCAAGCACTCTCCCGCCTGGCAAAACGCTCATCTTCCATCTCGCCGACAAGGCGAAGCTGGCTGACCTGAAGAAGAACCCTGTTACGATCAAGGAGGACATTGAATACAAGTATGTGCCCACCCTCATGCGGTATTGAATACGACGTGTTCACGATATGCTCTAGCGTTCGCATCACGTTCAAAGTCAACCACTCCATTATATCGGTATGCATTGTTCCATATATTTGCCACGGTGACCCGTTTATTCCGCCAGGGGGTTCGATATATTCAAGTGGTGAAGCGTGCAGGCATCAAAGGTACGTATACTTTTCTGCCAGCGTTGTCCGTTGCGTTTTGATTCTAGGATCATCAGTGGAGAAGTTTGAACAGATGTTGGGCTCGTATGGTCCATCGCCAACGGGAGAGCCGTACACCAAGAACTTTGACCCTGATCAGTCGCCATCCGGGATACTCGCGCGGTCTGGTTCTTACAACGTAAGGAGCCGTGTTGTCGATGATGACGGCGAGGTCTACGCAGGTACTGTCTTCATTAATCTTGGCTTTGTATTTCACTCATTAATAACCGTAGATTGGGAATGGGCCTTCAAGCTCGGAAAGGAGTGGTAGTTCAGTTCCACGCCAGTTTCTCACTCGTAGATGTCTCGAAGCTCGACTCAATTAACACCTCATGTATTCGGAATCATATGTACTCTTTGGAGAAAGCAACTGCATTTTTTTGCTTTTCTATACTCGCGCAATTTATTAGCCATCGATCGAATTGATAAGGAGCCTCAAAACGCGTGAAACTAGGTAACACCGGCCTGCGGCAGTGGACGTGGGCGCGTCAGATAAGCACGTGATACCTGCCACTCCGACCCGGACCGGTTCCCGTCTTCCCTTTTCAACCATGTCTTTTCCAGCATTACGGCTTTTTCCACTTCCGCGACGATGTGTGCCCTGCTGGCTTGCCCAATCGTTTCCGAAGGGGCACAGGATACCAACTTTGAGCAATACTCGCTTCGTTTCGAGCTCTCGAACTCAATCCATCCTTCCCGTCCAGAAATCCTGGGTTGAAAACTTACCAACGAAAATGAGACCGTATCTCTATCTGAGTAGAATAGACAAACCTATTGGCACAATGCTTCTCTTTTATCCCTGCGGTATGTTCCTTTTTCCTTTATCTCAGTCTGTGATACTCATGGTCTCCTTTCGCAAACAGCCTGGTCCATTTCAATGGCTTCATACGCGCTTCAGGTACCCTACACCATACCAGTAACCTTCATCAGTCTCTTTGGCATAGGAGCATTCATAATGCGGGGTGCTGGGTGCACGATAAATGATATGTGGGATAAACATCTTGACAAAGCTGTGGGTAAGCTATCGTGTCTGTATTCCTTTCTGCCAAACTTAAATTTCCTAAGAAAGAACGCGGGAGAGGCCCTTATCACGAGGAGATATCACTACTCCACAAGCTGTGTGTTTCCTTGCAACTCAATTGTCAGCCGGACTCGCCGTGTTGCTACAATTCAACTGGTATAGGTAATTGTCTATCTCAATTATCACGACGACGACACTGACCGTCCTTCACAGCATCCTCCTGGGAGCTGCGTCTTTATCTGTGGTTACAATATACCCCCTCATGAAACGCGTTACACATTGGCCACAGGCCGTTCTCGGTGGGTTCACTCGCTTTGGCTCAACGTCACTCATTAAAACACCTTGTCAAGGTTTGGCTTTCAACTGGGGAGCCCTCTTGGGCTGGTCTGCTGTTGCAGGCGTTACCAATTGGAGTGTTTGCATACCACTATATGCAGGGGGCGTCTGCTGGACCCTAGTCTACGATACCATATATGCTCACCAGGTGCATCGTACTATTACCTCTGTGTCTTAGGTCTGTGCTAACGAACCGACTCCAGGACAAAAATGACGATATCACTGTTGGCATCCGTTCCACTGCTCTTCTGTTCGGTGACCATACGCGTTCAATACTTGGTAGTCTCTCGGTTGCCTCGGTATCTCTAATATCCTACGCCGGAATTCTTAATTCTCAAGCCGCGCCCTTCTACTGTGGTGTGGGTCTCGGCGCTTTACAGTTAGCCCGTGTCCTATATGAGACGGACTTTGAGAGTCGATCTAGTTGCTGGAAAAGTTTCGTTGGCTGTGGCTGGGCCGGTTTTTGGATATGGATAGGTACTTTGTGCGACTACGTCTTCTCCGTAGCCGGGTTCTTATCGTAGCTGCGGGTAAGCAAAGATCATGTCATTACATGGAACCCATTACCGTATATACGTCATAAGTAGCACAAAAAGTTGGAACGCTATTTAATTGTGGTCGTGATGGAGTGATATGAACAAAATATAAGAAATACGTGAAGATACAGTGTTGAATAGAATCGGGCTAATGTGCAGAACATTAAGAAGCTAAAGGACAACAAGAATGTAACAAGACGGTGGATAACAGGATCATTACGATTCATCGACAAAGCCGAGACGGGGATGGGGATTACATCGCTACAGAAATAGAACAACGTAGAAGGCAGATAAATAACACGTTAAAAAGAGCTAGGCAATCATGCAGAACTGTGATACGACACCTGGGGGTTGAGTCGTGATTTCAAGTAGCCCTTGAAACCGACGACACAGATCGTCCAGGTGAATGCCAGGCATGTCATTGCAACAGCAACATTCATGAACATCATAACATCTATAGAGAACATCAGTATGCCTGTGAGCTACCAAGATCATGATCATGTTAACACACCATCACGACCTCTTCGCATAGCTGCGATGGTCAATTCTTCTGTCGAGAATTGGAAAGACAGTCCTCCGCAAGCGAGGAAGAAGCTCCCCAGAGCCTCTGTTGGCGGCCGAGAAGGAAGGATGGAACGAGGGGGACCAAGCCAAACGAAGAAATAGGTCAAGCATCGTAGGACGGAGAAAGCAGCCAAAAGGTAGCCCCAGAGCATGTGTATTTGCACCTAGAAAGGTATGGACATCAGCACAATTCCCCCTTGATGGACGCCAAAAAAAAAGACCCCGAGATGACAGAAAGTTCACAGACCGGAGATAACTGATGTAAAAATAACGGTAAAGATGTGTGACGTACTTGGAATACATATGTCTGTGCGTGTGCCGACATTGCAGCTCCCGTCACTCCGATAACTAAGGCAGGGAAAGGGTTAAAGCTCGCAATGTAACTAGGCGGTTCAGCAACAGCCTCTTTAGAGGCACTAGTGGGCAAGGCGGCGATAGTCGAAGAGGCCATCCACTTCCTGATTCTCCTTGATTCAAGAGCCATGCCCATGAGACCAGCAAACCAGAACATTACCTAAATTCGCACATCAATCAAAAATTGGAGATTGCACGGGAAAGAGAACACGTACAGCGATACCAATATGCTGAATCTGTTTTGTGGTGAATGGGTCCCCAGGTTTGGCGCCAAAGCGCTCCATCCAGGTGTTCGTAATACCGTAAGAAAATATAACCAGCGACTCCACAAATTCCGCGGTGACATACTCCTTATTTGGAGCTCTGTTCCACGCCCAGCCAAGGTCGGAGTAGGAACCCAGGAAACGAGCAAAGGTGAGCAGGCCGTAGCACCAGAAGATGCCACCCTCTGTAAAGAAAATTAATGAACATATGGTGATGTGAAATCACTGCAGATGCATACTGATGAGATGCGCGAGACATCCATTTGTGTAATTTCCTCTGCAACCACCTATGCGGCATTAATACCGGATCATTCCTTCGATCAAAGCAGGGACGCACCAGTGTAGATCACGACACCGAGAACCGCTTCGCCGTATGCGGCAATTACGATTGATCTTTCGACCGTCGCAAAGATACCCTGGCCTATCCGCCTGAGCAAAGTCACCCTCGTTTTGGGAGATTTGAAATCCACATCAAGGAAATCGTCTGAGTGAGAAGAACGGGCGCCAAAGAGCGTACGATCTGAGGCTGCTGAATGAGAAAATTCTCTGTGGTGACGATTCACGTTGTTAGCCCATTCCGCTGTATCTCCGTGGATGGTCTCGTCGCCGTAGTGGACATGCCTATCGGTCACTAGGCTGCTTGAAGGCTTTGGGTCGTCCAGTTCATACTGCTCTGGCTCCTCCGTGACTAAACCCGTGTATTCGTCAAGCAAACCATGGGCGATGTCATCTTTACCCAAAATAGCGATGTTCCAGAAGCGTCGCAACATAAATTTGTTACCGCCCTGGAAGAACGAGACAATCCGATGGAAAACATTGAGTAAGTCGATGCATGTCAACAGGATGGTGATAGCCAGTATTAGATAACTCTGCATCCCATGAACGGATCCTAGAAAGATAATTGATTTTTTTGATATTAGGCATTATCTTGTCGCGGCAATTGCGGATAGGTCTAACCTTGGTACCTGTGACATAAGGATGAGGCATTGGGTATATGTCAGCAATGATCGATCAGCTTACATGTTGGGAGTGAGCTTTTTGTACAACGCGACCGAGGCGCATCCTAGAAGAGATAGCCCATAGAAAAGGATCATGACAGCACCATGCCATGAATGCTTGACGGACCGCATGATGATGCCTGCTTGACCATGAGAAGAAAGCAGGGGGGAAATAATGAGGTAACGCACCTGCCGGAAGCGCAACGAAGAATGCGAGACACATCATCACCACATGCATAAACATGAGCCCAGGGTATTGACGGTCTGTTGGGGGGTCGTTCTCAAAGTCGAGTGTGTACCATGATGGTGGTATGGCGGCATGATGGAGGGTCACTTCTGTCTCGTTGAGTTCTGTAAGGGGAGCACCCATATGGTGGTGGTGGTGGTCATCCCGTTTGGCCAGCAGCATGTCTACTGGTAACGCATCGTTGACAACAAGAGACGCGTCCGCCGACAAAGTCGCAAGTAGAAGAAAAAGAGCGACGGTGGGGATAGCAAGGGAAAGAGCGCACCAGCGGGAACGCATTACTGAACAAAAGAGGAGAGACCCAGAAAGTCCCGAGGAAATGACAAGTACCCATTATAAGGATTCGGATGATCTTGGGAGCTTGGGAAAACCTTTGATTAGTGATGCGCGATGAGCCGGAACGGCATCTCTGACTCAGGTTTTCTTATTAAATAAAAGTCACCTCCATATACAGTAATCGTAGCCGAAATTGAACAGAACGGGTATGGTCCAGGGTTCTGCCAGTGTGCCCTGTATAATTTTACAAACCGAATATAAGATTCGTTGTTTCAACGCACAGTGCCAGTATGTGGGTTGTGGGTACATGTACTCGGGACCGCTAGAATCCCATACCACGTTCACTGCCGGCGGCGGTGATTTCCTCCCCTGCGTCATATATAACGTCAATCGGAGAATCGGACTAAAGGGTGAGACAGGATTAATAATATAAAGTTGTCCGGGGGATGACGGATAATGGATGTATTGAGAAAGAAAAAGAAAACGAGACAGGACTTGGTTGGGGGGAGGGGGAGAACCTTTCTCACCAAGAAATGATGACAGAATCAAGTTCCAGACAGCATCGGACTTGCAACCACATCCGCGGGAAGAGCAGGTTCCATGTATTCGGCACCCGAAGGATTGCGATAATTGCTGAAAGAAAATTAGCCAAGTGGTGCGAAGGGGAAGCTGTTGAAACGCTTAATGGCCGACCAGACTCCGACGAACTACTGATGACGTATCGTGGGCCTATCTGTTCGCCATCTCATCCATCAATCAGCTCGTTCATTGAAATTCTATGGTCTCGTGTTGCCTCGCTCAACGTCGACCTTAAGTCTTCCCCCAGGACAGCAATGCTCCCCAAAGTGAGAACCCTTTTGTTGGGTGACATCCCCCCCATGCGCCAAGAGGCCAAGCTTCTCTGGAAGATCGACTGGTTCATCCTCAGTTATTGTTGCCTCCAGGTAAGTTCCCCTTCCATTTTCTTTCTTACTTCTGAGATTCAGAAGTTTACTAACCGTGGCGGCTGCTTCATATAGTACTTCACAAACTGTTCGTGCCTGTCTTCTCTCTGCCGGGCGCATTTCATTCGGATCCTTTCAGATCTAGATCGAAGGTAAGCATGTCCATTTATCGTTCACCCGAAAAAAGGAGGGCGCCAAGAGGTTGATCATCCAACTTTCAAGTAACATATCTAACGCCTATGTGAGCGGAATGAAGGAGGAGCTTCACATGTACGGGAATGAGTACAATGTATACAGCCTTCATCCAGTTGCATGTGCTTTCCTCGCTCATCTGATTCTCTTGTAGAAAATCAATACCGTCTTCACCTGCGGCTATATCGTAGGAATGATTCCCAGTAAGCGATATATTTCCGTGGTTTTAGATAATACCTCGCTCGTCATCGTCTTTTATTCCGTGTCTAGAACGGTCGTGTTGAGTGACCTGGACTGACTTACTGCTGCTCATATAGACAACCTGATGCTCCAGATCGTTCCTCCACATATTTGGCTCCCATGCATGCAGATATTGTGGGGTGTGCTGACTTTCTGGTACCGTTCTTGTACTCGTGCTCAAGTCCTCGCTTAATCGGCCCTTCTCAGCACCAGCGCTGTGCATAATGTTCAATCCGTCGGTACCCAATCCGACTTCGTGTATTGCAAATACTAAATTGACTGAAGATATACGCAATCCGATTTTTCCAAGCTATGGCCGAGTCATCAACTTTCGTAGGCACCCACTACATCCTAGGTTCATGGTACAAATCTGGCGAACTAGGTTAACGTTCTGGAATATTTACAAGCTCAGGTTTGGCGGGAACGCTGCAAGTCCCCTTTTCGCCGCTATTCAGCACGATTTCTGACTGTTTGAATGCGGTCACAGGTTTTCCGGTGTTCTCCAGGCTGCGATATACAAGTAAGTCATTTGTCGCTTTGTCGAGTTGTGCGGTTGGCTCTGATGGATTACACAGACATCTAAATGGGTATGCCGGCCGAAGCGGATGGCGCTGGTTGTGCGTACAATGATGGTGATCGACGTACAAATCCACTGATGAGCTGACATGGCAGATTCATCATTGATGGGGTTATTACCTTGCCCATTGCAATCTACGGTTTCGTTATTTTTCCAGACATGCCCTTGACAACCAAGGCTTTTTATCTGACTGAACAAGTACGTACATATATATATCAATTATTGTTCCGTTGAGATGGTATTGATAAAGTCGTAGGAAAGAAAATTAGCCTCAGACCGGCTCCAAGACGAGATTCAAGTCGTACGGAAGCCTGTGTCACGGGCTACCGTCAAACGAATCCTTGGAAAATGGCGATGGTATGGATGCAGCCTCCTGGTAAGTATCATATCCGCGCTTTAGACGAATCACAAATTGTTCCTCAATTAGTTCGCAATCTCCGGAGAAACCGAGAGCTTCGGATCGAACAACATAATGGGACAATGGATGAAAGCTATTGGAGGATACAGTGTGGAACAGATCGGTTCATCCGCCAATATTATATTGCGTCTTCTTACTGATTAACATCAATGTTCTGTGTAGATTATTATCCGTCCGGCGCCACCGCTTTTGCCATTGCATCAACTCTAATTTGCGCCTCCTGGACAGACTATACTCGCATCCGATGGCCAGTGCTAGTGTACATGTCGGTCGCGTGTTCTATATCTGCAACCTGCCTTCTTATTTGGAACAGTCCCACTGGCTTGAAGTTTTTCGCTTTCTGTGCGTATTTTCTGCGGTCGGATTGGCCCATCAGAAACTGACTTATCACAGATATAGCTGGGGCCTCTTATGCTGGTCAAGCGACCACATTCGCGTATGTACTTCTTTATTCTAATCTACGACGCCCAATTACAACAAGCATTCAGGTGGGCGAACCAGATATGTGCAGACGACGATCAAGAGCGGGGCATTGTGCTCGCCTCTATGAAGTACGTTTATCTATGCTTGACGGTTTCCTTGGAAATTTCTAACCTCAAGTGTCCAGCATGTGGAATAATGTGATCAACGCATGGTGGCCTCTTGTTTTCTATCTGGCGACAGATGCGCCTAGGTTCCACAGAGGCATGATCGCAATGATATGCGTTAGTGGCGCGACGCTAGGTGTCACAGGACTAGTATGGTACTTGGAAAGAAGAGAAAAGATAGCGCAAAAGAAGGTATCAGATGATTATGACGAAGGGCTGCAGGGAGATAGAAATTCTTTGAATCATCAGGTGACGAGTTGATGAATACACGAGTATACATGTAGTCGATCCAGAACCAAGCTCACTGTAAATCGCCGCCTACTATGACGTTTTTTACTTGCTGTTGTCTTGTGTCTTCTGCAGTTAACGTCCATGTCAAAGAAATCACAAGGGATGGTCGTTGCCCGCTGCATTTAGAATGGCGTTTTTCTGATTTACTAGGTAGGTTCTTCTCATGTCCTCACCACTACACAATCAAGGTAGAATCCCCCAGGAGCTTGTCAATGCCGTCCTTGAAGAGCTCCGCGGTGATATATTGACCCTGTGCGCTTGCTCACTTGTTTGTCGACCCTGGACCAACCCTTCCCAAGCACTCATCTTTGCTCCCATCTATTTACTTCGGGAAGATGGAAGAAATAATTTTTTCTCGAAAGACCGCCCACATCCTCAAAGTCTCCTGTCCTTTTGCAACTTTCTGGAGACATTCCCGCATCTGGCGCCGTTAGTCGGAACGTTCAAACTGCAGTCCAAGGGTCCAGCTCTTCCTGGGCCTAGCAGCTCTAGGGCAGCTAAGACGAGGTGGAACCATTACGCGACACGCTTGCACGTCTTTTACCTACCCTCACTCACTTGAAGTCTCTCGAACTTCGGTTTGAGGGAATATACGGCCGGGACGCGTTTTCAGAATGGGAAGGAGCTCATGTCTTCACCCAAGCCTCCCCTTTTCTGGCCCAACTCGAGCTGAGGAAGATCACATTCGAAGACTTGCGTGTGTTGTTAGGTTTGTTGCAGAGTACCAGTTCACTCAAGGTGTTGGCGTTGCAGGAAATTGCCTTCATGCAGAATGTCATCCAATATTGATATTAACAGTCCCCTCGTGGGTGTTCAGACGCGCAGACGGTCTCGATTGACGACCGTGTCCCTTCAACCGATGGATGCTCATGTGTTTGATACCATTGTCAGGGCCCTCACACATCCGCAGTCCCCACTTGATGTCGGTTACCTGCGTTACCTCGATTTACAAGGAGATGGTGCTTCTGTCGGTGGTGGTCTCGCCGCCGCCGAATTTCTGCTCATGAACCAGAATTCTTTGGAATGCTTCTCAACATCTCAACCATTTGGTGTTCGTACATCTCAACCATCATCCTTCAAGTCCTGCCAGTTGCTTATACTGTTTAGAACATCTTCTCCCTCTTCTCAAATGCTGGATTTTGAAAAACCTGTACATGTCTGCAATAACCTCTGCATCCGCCTGGCTTGATCGTGTGTGCCCAATATTTATCGACATCTCGTCCGTTGCGCTGGAGTCTCTAACCGTGGAAACATCCGGGCATTATTCGAAGCACCGGTTGCATACCGATAGCTCCAAGTGGAGAGAGCTGGACAGCCTGCTTGCTGCTTTCGCACTGCAGCAATTCACCGTATTCTTTGCGCGGTTTGAAGGCGACTACCAGCACTATTGAGAGCTGGATTGGGCGGAGTCGGAGGACTTTGAATCAGTCCTCCCAGAATTGTACCACAGCGGTCGCTTGGAAGTACAGCTGGAAAGTATGTTGCCCATATCTCCTCTGAATATTTGATTAATGCTATATTTCTAGTCATTGTTTAATGCGAGGGCTCTCGTTGCAACCTCGGTGTCGACCCAGTTGTGGTCCATGCTCAGCCAATGCTCGGCCTGATTATAGCTGTTATCTTAATAGCCTATTCTCCGTGATGGTTGGGTTTTCTTGCTTAAAAAACTTGAGCGTGAACTTGTAACACATTCTAAGAACTTCCTATACGTAGAATCAACCTATTCGTAGAAGCCATCTAGGGAGAATGCAAGGATGCTGCCACAGGTTTTAGATAATGAGCAAAAAGGTAAGACAGCAACGTATGTACAGAAAGGTTCAAGTCATTTTTCACGAAACCCGCGTAATGAAGGGTATAAGTTGACGTTAGAAGTTAACTAGCAACCTACATTCAGAGATGATCAGAAAAAAAGGTAATTCATAAATATGAATGACAGACCTTCAAGCTAAGAGGTCCTATAACCATAATTCTGACCAAAATTGTTCGAAGCAGGCCCAATGGCAGGGACCTGCGACCTTGGAGGAGACATGCTACGGTTTTCAAAAGCTAGACTTCCCATATTATGCGCGACACCAAGGTGGTCATAAGTCGCGTTAGGCACCTCGGACCTGGTAGGTGCGTAACCCGCATAGGCGTACGCGTTGGCAGCTTGACCATAGCCTGCGTCGTAAAAACTATGGGGTGCAGACGGCATGTACATGCCATGTCCAGTGGAACTGCCATTTTCGCGTGTACCAGACGCAGAGCCTCCGATACTATGCCCACTTCTCTGATGGGTCAATTTCTCTTCCAAGTCATGATCATGATGATAAGTGCTCCCTTGGGGGTCGAACGAGATGGCCTCGTTGAGCAACTTATTCTCGCGCCTACGACGAAGCGTAAAGGTCACCACGAGAAGAATGAGAACCAAGCCTACGATTCCGCAGAGGGCGAAGACGAAGCCAGAGAGAGGTTTGTTCTGGAGAAAGGATTCCTGCGTCGTAGCCATTTGGGTACTGGCAGCGGACGAGCTCGAACCGGTCGCTGACTCTTCCGCGGTACTCACAAACGCTGTGACTGTGTGCTTGACACCGTCGGAGGTCGTCTCATACACGGATTCCGAGACGGAAGGCAACGAAGAGGCAATAGACTCGGAGCTGCTACTACTCAATGCCACTGAAGACGTTTCAGAAGTAGACACAGATGATGTGGAACTGGAAGATGATGACGACCTTGTCGACGAGCTGATCAGGATAATACGTAAACGCATTTTGATAGTACGAAAGTCGACTTTACTTACGAGTCACTCAAAGAAGACGAACTTGAAGTATCAGAAGCGCTTGAAACGGAACTTGTTCCAGACGCCGACGTGGATCTATAAAGACGATAAGAGGTATCGGGATGATGTACTCAAAAAATCACACTAACGAAGTCAGGATCACGCTTGAAACACCACTGGCCGCTGAACTGACCGCATCACCGATGTCGCCACTTTCATAGCTGTAAGTGTTGTCTTTTCGACGAAAAACCCCAGCACCTACATTACGCTGGTCGCACTAGACACTACTACAAGACAATCGTGTCAGCAACATCATTGATTATGAATGAGAATTGGACTCACTTCCGCTTAGGACCTGCCTCTGCGCAAGATTTTGTCCCTCCATACAAGTGGAGATTGGAGAAGAATCAAAAGAATGTGGGTTGGAGGTTGCCGAGGATTTAGATATTCCCAAGTACGAGGATGTTACCTCGGAAAATTTGAGTTGATGGCGGCCTTTACATTCGCATGCAGAGACGAAGGGAAAGGAAAAACCTAGCAAAATGGTATAAAAGAGAAAGGACGAATGCTCGAAGCCGGTCAGAACCAAGTTCTGGCTTTCAATTACATCATGATAGTCCCTAACAAGTCGTTATTTTTTAGCATAAAATATTGCCCCTGCTTCATCGGATCACCCCATTTTAGTACTCGGTCCCACAAATTGATGCATGTATGTTACATTTCAAAAGAAAGCAGTACTTTTATCGCTACAGCGCGAGAGATTGTACGAGACAACTACCTAAATTTTACTTCCGTCTATTGGAATCCATAGAAACTTACATCAACATGAGATTTAGCGATCATCACCATGGCAACTTGCCAAGCCAAGAGAAGCATATACAGCCCCCGACAGGCCAAACGGCGACTACAAAAATTGTCGACCCATTTTCTTAGCCAGAAAACCAGGGTCCAGGCCCGTATTGTTCACCCGCTCTTCGCTCCATCAGGTCACGAAGGGGACCAAGAAGTCTCGTAAAAGCGGGGGCATCCAATGCCGCCACTTTGAGCTTCGGAAGAAGACGATCACCGCGATGGATGGCGCAAACAGTAGCAGCTCGGGGAGCCATACGCAAAAGCGACAGTTCTATTCATAAAATCAGTAAAAGATCAAGAGAAAATAGGATATAGAAAACTTGCCTCCAAAGTAGTCACCTTTCTTGTAGTGTCCAACTTCAAATTCTCGGATTTCACCGTCCTCGCCCTCTTGGGTTTTTGTAACGACAGCTTCCCCTTCTTCGACGAAGAAGAATGTATCGCCCATCTCTCCCTGTCTGACGACAGCTTCCCCGTCCATGTAGATCCTGCTGACAAGGGCATCGGCGATTTTGCTTCGTTCCATAGAATCGAGCGAGGACAGCAGGGTCACGGTTGATAAGAAATGCTCGTACATCGTGCGCCGTCGATGAGCGGCAGTCAAAATAATGGTCCGGAACGTAATGCGATCCAGAGCCCAGAGCATAGATGCTTCAGTAGACACTACAGTCGCGGCACGGGGATGTCCATACATCAACGCCAACTCTCCAAAGGACGTCCCTGGTGTGCACTCTGAGACTTGTTTGCCAAACTCAGGGTGGTATCCCGGTTGAACGAATATATCCTCTGCGCGACGAATCCCCGCTGGAGGCAGTGGTTCAGGTTGTATGTAGCAGGTCAGCAAACCCGACTCGACGACGTAAAAGTAGTCACCGACGTCTCCTTGTCGTATGATCACTTCCCCCTTCTCAGTGGCCTTTTCCTGCATCGCACCAATCACTGCCGTAATCTGCTCCTCTTCCAGGTCGCGGAAAAGCAAATTACCTGTCATTGAAGCCCTGATGCGACGAAGCTGGTCGGAGGTCTTGGGGTAGACCGGGAGGGTTTCGTCTGCAGAGCCATCGAGGGGGATAGATTCTGCTGATACAGACGTGCGTCTTGCAAATATTGCAGAAGTTGGGGGTACGAGGAAGCTACCAGGAGTCGGGGGCGGGACTGGAGTATCGTCATACATTGGGAATGGTGGTGAAACCGACAAAGGCGAAGTAGGTGGCAGAACGCGCCCTTCCATCTGGATAGTTGGTGGTGCCATCGGGTTATTGGCTAGCAAGGCATTTCCTGGAACGTTGAGGGTACCAAATGGCCCTGGAGTGAGGCTGACGCTGTTCCTCAACGATGAGCGGTGTGGTGCTTGGGTGAAGGGAGACACTGATATCGGACCCGGCCCAGTACCAAAGGGCGTATCCATGTACATTTCGCTAGGTAAATCGCGAGAAAAAGCAGGTATTCGACGAGCAAGAACATCGCGAGTGCGCGACCTCTGCTCTTCGAGCCGCTGCTGGAACCAATTGGCGCAGAATTGCAGGGCATCCTTCGGCTGGACACGATTGGCGTCGCGAGTAAGGTCTGCAACGAGTGAGTCAAAGGTCGACATGAGTGGGAGTAAGGAAGGAAGGCGAGAATTCGCTGATATTTAAGAAGGACGGTCTAACAAGGGGATACATCTTTGCTCGATCGACGCAGAGTCAAAACGGCATTCAAAATCCCTTTGTCTGCCAAAAAGGCCTGTCGGTCTTCAAAATGGCTCTCTTTCTTTCCTTTCTTCCTGCGAATCGTTCCTTGATACCAACAGATGGGACATTGTTATAACATAAAATGTATCTAAGGAGTTCCATTGTTTTTTGTGCATGCGAGACACTGGGACAGCCTCAGGACTACCAAGCACCGTACGAAGGCGTACTACAGGACAAAGGGAAATAGAAAGGCAGTCGGAAAAAAAGATTAAACAATAAAGCTGGTAGAATAAGGCTCCGGGATCGATGATAAGGCAATGCAAACCAGACTGAAGATTTCAAGTTACTGGTAATTATTATAATTGTACATAGGCAGGCGTGTTGATCGATGAGCGACAGTGTTGATAACAAACGCGCTGAAGAAACAAAATACGGGAAGGTTGTTCGAACACAGGACTTGATTGATGGGGTCGCAGAGGTCATCGATGAAGACGAAACAACCTCTGACGCAACGACGCCAAATTATTTAACCAATCGATGGCCTCCCCCAAATATTACCGTAGCCGTTAGCGGTGATGGTGTGCAGTAATATCGATGTAAACACCGGGGCAGAAGGGAAAGAATTGCCGACTTTTATCTGGATTATCAACTGCGCAAAAGGGAACTTAAGGTTAGATAGTGAGGATCCCAATGGAAGAAGAGCTTTAAGGAGCATTGCAGGCCGAGTTCAATTTGGCCAATCTCACGTAGCACAGACCCTTTGAAAGTCCAGGTTCGAACCAGATAGCTGGCTTGATGGGCGAATAATCGAAGAGATTGCTACCGGATTTTCCGATCTACGTCCAGTGGAATGTCTGTGAGAAGAAAACAATAAAATATCCAAAGATGGCTGACACCAATACAGTTGGTATACATCGTCGAACACATGCATAACAAAGTGAGTCATCGACAACTGTCCGTCATCCCTTCATGATCTTTTTTTCTTAACCACCAAGAAATAGTACGCTGCCAGCGATACAAGTACAACTCCAACAACACTGATGCAAACTGCAATTGCGATTATTGCCCCCTTGCTCAACCTGTTGGAACCACATCCGTCCTTGATCGCAGCATCGCACGGCGCGCCTTGTGGTCGAACATATGCTCCTGCTTGTAGAGCTGTGAAGTACGGATCGTTTGTATCATTCAAAACATGCATCGCAGCGAGTGTCAGCATAGGTGCATTGTAGTCCAGGGCGATCTATATATTTACAGTGAGTGTATTTGTCAACACATACGAAAGAATCGTACCTCAGTTTGCACCCAATCACTACGCATGTCGTGAAAGGTATCTTTCTCATCCGGTCCTCCGACGACGGCGCCGTACAGCACGTATGCCTCTACCTCTGGCGAGTTGTCGATGTTAGTAATATCGTCTCCACCACTAGCCATGGCCGAATGAGGGTTTGAGGGGGAGTTGGGGTTTGAACCGACAACATATGGAACTACAGACAAAATTGACTGTCGTCGTCTTTCAAGGAAAGGAACATAACCTACCCGACATAGGATTCTTTCCGAGCGCATAATCTAGCTGTTTCTGTGCATAATTCTAGGAAGCCCATGAGACAATTGTTTCGAACACTGATGTGTCTTGATAGTACGCACCATATATGATGCCGTCTTCCCGGATGAAGAAGCCATGGGTGCATATCTAGTTAATAACATTGCCGCATTCAAAGCAGGGTTGAGGCTTGCTTCATCAGAATCTCCGGGATAGTACAGCAATCCACCTTAGTAACCAAAGTTGACTAAAATGAGTTTACACAATGAAACGGTCCTAACCTTTCGTTTCAACCGCCGGTCCGCCGTTATTTACTATCCTGTCAAAATAACGTTCGGCCTCCTCTTGCCACCTAGAGGGATTACTGTCGAGGGAAGAACCGGACTGAGCGATCTGAGCGAACAGAACAGCCAGCCCAGGGGTCTTTGAATCCCAGTTGAAGACGCCATCCTGCCCCGAAAGTCCAAATGAGGAATAATAGTTCTCTGCTTGTTGGTACAAAGTCGTTGAATTAGTTGCCCAAGCCAGGAACAATGCAGCTAGGGTCAATTCATCTTGATACGATGACGATGCATAGCTTTCAGTGACGGAGGGGACAGACGTTTGATAGAGAGCTTGGCCACCAGACGCATTGACAGCAAAGGTAAACAAGCTCTGTGCATGATTGAGGAGGATTTCCGAATAGGTGGTGTCGGTCAAAGCCGCAGGGGACTGGTAAACCCCACCGAAACCGCGGTTGGCATAAAGATTGGAACACGCAGAGAAGACTGCAGAGACACCCGCAGCAACGTCAGTCCCAGGGGAGGTATCGTTGATTTGGAACGAAGGCCGCGGTGTTGGTATGTCTTCGTCGCCGCCCCAATAATTATTATCGACACTGCCTGCAATGAAAATTTATTGAGCACTGCAAAGGTGAAGAAAAGTGACAACTCAAACCATTAGCAACCTGCACATATAAAGTATTGTCCAAGGGATGCGCCTGTGGGAAAACATCATTATGGAGTGAATTACTAAGTGTGGAGAGGCTTACTTTGATAAGCCAGTCCAAACCCCAACGTAGCATAGAGTCCAGATAAGCCGTTTGGTTAGAATCATCGTAACCTTGGGTTTGGGAATCAGCACTCGAAGCGAGGAGAATGGGTCCACCAACCTTTTCCGAAATCCGTAGCGCCCCAGCAGATTGACGTGATCGTAAAGGACTATCTATGCGCATGAGCCTGCGGGGTTAGGACATGGATGAATTTCACGTACTAGCGGAAATGTGGATTTTATGTAGTCTATGGATGGCAATGACCGTGAGCGTCAGCCATGGTAGCAATTCAGTGATAATACTCACCCCCAGCGTCATAATATCCACCTATTGAAATTATGTTAGAGAGAAAAAACGATACAATAATATAAAAGAACCAGTTAAATCAATATTGACGTCAGATCCATCCTGTAAAGCGCTGTCATTTCGCCATCCCACACGATTGTCCGAAGGTAATCGCCCACTTCTCTGAGCCTCATAAAAGTAAATTAGATTTCCCAGCAATGTACTCCATTGTGGGTTTGGGGTTCCTGATGAAGGGATGGTCCCGTTGGAGGCAGCAGGAGGTATAACTGGCGGATTCGGGAGGGATAATTGTCCAACGACGGTACTAAACAGAGAGCTCGCAAGAACAGTAAAGAGTCCGTGCATTTCCCAATGTTCTACGTGAGAAACAGTGAGGATAGAAGAAAGGCGAAAAGAGAGACAGGGGATGTTCAGGTCCTGGACAACATAATAAGGGAGTGAGTGAATCGCGTTTCATCCCATTACGTCAGGACTTGGTTCATTTACCCCGGACCGATGATCCGACACAGGACGACTTCAAGAACACATACTGCTCGAAATGGCCGACTGAGTCAATTTCCAGCCGCATTCTCTGTAATGAATTATATCTCACTCAACATTTCTTTCAGTTATCCATTTTCACTCTATTCCAGAAACTGGCGGAGTGAAAGTCTATGGTCGATCCGTGGCACTGCCAGGGAAGTGGAACCTTGATCGTTGGGAGAAACACTTTACTCATTCCAAATCATCTCCGACATTCAAGAAAACTTGATTCACACAGATTTATCAGCGTTCCTGAAGCTGAGTTAGTCCTTCGATAAATTGTTCTTTTCAAGAAACAGAGTACTTGAGGCTACAAAACAGCAAAACCGATGTGATATCATATCTCTTGATTTTTGCCTCTTCGAGACCTTCTGGATTTCCCAGGGGAAAGCAGTCATCTTTATTTTATGTAACAATACTATGTCGAAGCTGGAATTTATTTAAACTTTAGTCATTTCCGGGCCACACAAGGAATTGGAAAGTTGGATTAGGAGCGTGCCAATCGGCGGCAATGGGTTTCGACCGTCAGCGAGCGACGAGCCATACACTATTACCGCCTCGACACTTTGTATATCAAGTAGGCTGTGGGCCGTTCACCTCACCTACGCTCTGTACGTACTGAATACCAGGATGTTTTTGGTCAAGAGCCAGAATCCATGTGGGGGGTTATGCGGAGCGGTGAAAATTCTGACAAAGGTAAATGCATCCTATTGAGTACCATTTATTCCGGTATGTCTATGTACTATCTGCAGACTCGGTGGCTGGCAGACGTCCTTGACGAAAAACTACCAGACCTAATAATGGCCCGTTAGGTCAACACATTACACCGTTGCCAGTGCTTTGATTCTCTGCACATCCACGTCCCTCAAATTTTACGCCAAGGTAACATTGATGAGACGACTTGACAAAGAGGCCGAGGCACGGTTTAAGCAGTGGAGTTGTTCCTGGTACCAGTGAGAAATGTGCTTGTCGCCACTGCAAGAATCCAACGAGAACCGCTCACCGGATCGCTATTGCAGTCCTCTCCGGGGGAAAAAAGGCAAGCAAGGTCTGGATTGAAAAACGAATATATCACCATGATGAGAGGTTGTTTCGATTCCAGACACGAAAATTTGCTGATGGGAAAAGTCCCCAGATCAATCTCGCTTAACAATCGGTCAAGACCAGGATTATACAATACAAGCGCCAAGATATCCTTCTTGATAGCCTCTTGTAGATATTATTGGTTTATAGCAATATGGAGTGCTACGACGGACGGCGCTCAAGTGACCCCAGATAAATTGTAGTGCCCGCTGCAAATCTCGGCAAGATCCGAGATGAATGTGTTGGAAAAACCTTAGTCACGATCACCATGATCATGGGTGCGACGTAAACTTTCATACCGACTGTGAAGATCACCACGTTATCAAGGAATGCTGGCGATGAGGTGTTAAAATCCATGGCATCTTCTTCCACTTACCGTCTCATGTTGAAGCCCTCGCCGAAGACTTGCACATCATGCAGGTCAGTATCCATTTCCCGACCCTCGTACACTTCTCACCGTAGTGCCGTTGATGAACAGGGCTCGAAAAGTAGTGAGTGACCTTATTTGGCGGAATAGCGGCATTTTAAACTGCTCCGGAGCGCTGTGATGGTGTCTATCCAACTTGCGGGTCATGCTCGAAGGCGCGCAAGTCAGTCAATTGCGTCTACGTCGACCCCGTTCCCACGGCATCAAAAGGTGATCTCCTGCAGAAAGGAGCAGCTTGTGTACCGTGCCGGTAGGCACTTTGTTCCTTGGCTTTCACCCTTTGCTTAAGCGAATATATTTTGTAGACGCAAGAAGAAGGTAACTGGCGTGCCAACATATTCAAACAGCGAAGCCTGATCAACAGTCATTTAGAAATGCGACGCCAGCCGTCCCTTCTGCTCTACATGTCGAATTGCAAACAAGGAAGACGATTGTCAGTATGACGATGGCGTGCATCGGAGTATCAAGGCTGAACTCTATGATCGCATAAAGGAGCTTGAGGATCGTTTGCGAGTCTACGAATCCCAGGACAGGTGTGCTTCGGACTCTGGCTCTTCGTCTAGTCGGTCTAGCTCGGAAAGAGCTCTCGGAGAATCTATATTACCTACCAAGGACGAAACATCTACTACGCTATTTATCGAAGGATCTACCAATCAATCCGTCACTGGAACAACCCTCGATATAATCCCAGCATACGCAGATCTCCTAACAGGCGACACATTCAGCTTGATGGAGCCTATACCTAGAGAGAAAGGTGGGATGGAAGTGTTCCATATGTCTGATCTCTCTCCGATGTGCGCGGACAACATTTATCTTCGCGAACAAAAAATTGATCGTTCTAATACAGGCGCGAAATATTTTTTTCCCACAGAGCCCAGCTGGGAGTTTGCTTGTCAGACGAGAAGTTGTTCGCAGTCAGCCGTGGAGACCTATCAAATTCTGTTGTACATCCTGTTATGGTCCATGTCGCCCAGCTATGGGGCTCACTGGTACAGGTGCGTCAACGTCTGACCTATGCGCTTTCGCTGATCTTCTCCAGGAGGAATCGTCATATTTCAGAATGCTCACTGAATCCATGCAACTGCAAAGCGTGCTCGATTATCTAAATGACTCCCGAGAAATCCTCCCGCCTACAACATCCTTACAAGCACACGGAATTATATCTTTGTATTATTTCACCAAGGGTGACGTTTTCAAGGGCCGGGAATACCTACTCAAATCGGCCCATCTCCTGATGCGACATGACCTTCATCTAGTAAGGTCATCACACCCAACGTTAAGCAACGATACCATTACTATACCAGCTACGGAGGACGAGATCGGGGCTATATTGCAAGTATTTTACATGGACAAGGCGGCTCATGTCCAATTCCGCGTTCCTTGCCTCTTTCATCCAGAACTCGATTCGGAGCTGTACTTGTTGTCGGTGAGTCCATGTTCAATCACTGTGGTCTCTCATTCGCCTCAATCCATACAAGGAATTCCATGCCTCCATGCCGATTGATATCTTTGCCGTCTGTGCAAGGACGACTGCTGCAACATATATTCAAGAAGTCCAACAGCTAATTTGTCTTTGGGATGATGAGCAGTGCTGTGAGTGGACATAATAAAGTAAGTCTAACAAATATGAATGTGTTCCACAGGCTCGATACGTTCAAGCCGATGTTATACGAAGTATTGGGACCTTATGCGAAGGATACAGGTTCATCTATCTCGTGTCAAGCAGCGTATGTTGAATACAGGGCTCGATGTAGATCATCATTTTTCTCGAGCATTGAAGCTGGCGGAGATTGTCGACTTGACTGCCCTGACAGAGCTCCATCTTTTGCTAGCGTCGACGAATCTAGAATCTCGCCAGGCATGTTTTGACACAATGGCCCAGATGGCCAACTTCTTTGCAAACCTTGTGGATGAAGACTACGGTCGTCTGGACCCGATACTGACGGTAAGCAGACTGTTACATTGCATTTATTATATTCATCACTACATCCTTGACGTGATGTAGCTAGCACTAAGGGCCTGCATCAAAGTACTTCGGCAAGAGTTCAACATGTCCCCATCCCTAATCTCTGTAGAGGTAATCTATGAAATGCGCGCGGTCCTGCAGACCACAGCCATTAAATTGCAAAGAAAGCTACCGTTCATAGATGGTATGCCCCATTGTTCTTGTCTAACACTTGGTCTAACCCAAGTTCTTCGCAGTGTCCTTTGACTTGTAATTGACTTGTACATCGTCTTGTGTTTAATGTAGATTTCTGTAATTACCGTTACTGTTCATTTGGATTATTTTTATTCTCGAGTTATATCTGCGTGTTTGAATGCTTTAGAAAGTCCGTGCGCTGAGTCTTGTGAGATGAGATACAATCATCCGTAGGAATTTTGCTTGTCCTTTGCTTTTCAAGTAAGTATGTCAGCGTCTAATCGACTAATATCTGAGTCCGACGGTCGCGGTGAATTGCGCGCCGTGTCGCGATCATAACACGTGACATCAGAGACTGCCGGGAAAGGACCTCTCCACGTAGGCAGATAACACTTTCTCATACTTCCATGTCGCTGGTCGAGCTGCACGTCGAGCTACCCGCCTATGCTCACTCATTCACGGTCAACGTTGACAGTGGGTCCACAATCTTGGCAGTCAAAGAGCAGATCCAGGCAGTTTGTACAGGCCGACCTCGTGTTGATGGACAGAGACTCATTTGGCGAGGCCGAGCATTAGCTGACCACGAGAGGCTTGATGCCATTTGGACCGTGAGTCTGCTGTACTGCTGCTATTGTGATAGTTGCCTCGAACTTTGAATTAGTCCCCTGATGAATCACGTATCGTTCATCTGGCGGTTCATCCTACGGCTTGGTCAGATTCGCCCCCACTGGTCCCAAGAACAGAATCTTCAATTTCCCCTGCTTCGCTCGCATCGTCTTCAGTTGGCCAGCTTCTTCGTTCAGTATCAGAAGCTCAATCGTGGACTCTTCCTTCACGGTCGTCGTCACTGGGATATGTGATCTTCCAGCACCGCAATGCGCTGCTCGCACTTATGCAGTGTGATGTCGTTCGAATGTCACATCCAACCACGCCGCGGAGGGAGGCTGTGAGATATCTTGCTAGTCAAGGCTGGTCGTGGCCACCTATCTTTGACGCAGACTATCCCCCTCGTACTTCTGGTGGCGTGAGGTACAAGCCAGTTATCCGAGAGTGCGTATCAGTGGCTGTTCTCGTTTCCGGCGTCTTATTGATTGTCCTTTCTAGAGGGAAGAATTACTTGAGCTTGGAGGATTCATCGCAAGTCCCTACTGCGACACAGCAGCATGCGCTTAAAGTTCTGTCTTATACGCTCTCCATCCTGAAATCAGATGCCATCCCCGTGCCAACACGCACCGTTTCTCAGACAACGCAGCATGATACCATTCCTCCCCAAGTTACTGCGCTTCTACAGCAACTTAGGCTTCTGAATGGTACTATTCAGAACCCTCAGAATGTCGTCTTAAATGATGTACCCGTGGGTAACCAGATGCCAGCACCTCCAGAACTTCCCCAACTTCAAATACGCCCTTTCTTACTGCCCCTCACATTCCTTTTACTGCGAACACTGTTATTGCTTTACTTTTTTGCACCTGCGCGGAAGCCGTTCATTGGCATTTTGATAATGGGATGGGCCCTCTATGAAATATGGACTCGACATGGTTTTAACAGATGGATTGCCCCTGTGGCTGAAGATCAACGGCCCGCAGCTGGAGATGCAGCACCTGCTGATAACCAGGTTAATCGTCCACCTGCAGCGGTTGTCGCTCCAGGTGCTGCTGCTGCTGAGGTCGGAAGAGTAGACGGAGCACAAGTACCCTCTATGGGAGTATTGGATACCCTCGCCAATCTAAACATACCAAATGAGGAACGTATGCTTGAGGGAACAGTAACAGAGCCTCCTACGTTTGGTCAGAAATGCATGACGTTCATGATGCTGCTGGTGACGACAGTTCACCCCGCAGTTTGGGATAGACGAAGAGCTGTTCTACGCCGGCGAGAAGGGCGAATACGGACGGAAGCCAATGCGATGGAGGTACGGGGTGACGGTGAAGATACGGAAGAAAATCGACGTAGAGAGCAGCGACGCGAAGAACTCGCTGCTCAACATGCGCGTCGACCTGGATGGGTGCGGCAATATGTACGACGCGTCGTTGCGAACGACTGGGTGGATGATGATTAATGATATCGATGGTATCTAGAAATTTGTACGATAAACTGAGTGGATGGGTCATTGCATGTTGAAACGGTAGACAAAGCCCTGCCAAGCTACACCCAGACTCTGCATACTTATGAGCTTGCATTTCTGTCATTATGTCTACATGAATAGCAGAAGGTATAATTTGTACACTACTATATAAGCAAGGACACAGATCACTATTTTATAATCTCGACAATAGTTGTATCAGTTGTATGGCTCTCAGTACACCTAGAAAACGGCTCAGTCAAAAGAAGACCGACATGGAAGTAATGTCATACCTCGAGTACATATCGCTCCTCTTCCTTGAGACTTTCAAGATATTCCCCGGCAGACGCAGCATCTTGACCCTTGTATTTCACGAGTGCGTTAACAAGGGCTTCATACACGTCAGGCACGGGCCATGTAGGCCCACAAAGATAAAAAACACCCTTCTGGTCTTGAATCATGGTAGCCAACGCTTCCGAATCTTCGAGCATCTTGTGCTGGATGTAGACCTTCTTGGGACCATCCCTAGAGAACGCCAGGCCGGCGCGAGTGATGACACCATCGAGTATGAAGGATTCAATCTCTTCTCCGTACAAATACTCTGCTGACTGATACCGAGATCCGAAGTAGTAGTAGACAGGTCCGACTTTTTGGCCTTGCTGAAGGAGCCAAGCGCGGTGCTGTAGGAAGGCTCGGAAGGGGGCGGCTCCCGTGCCTAGACCGGCGAGAATGAGTGGTTGCATATTGTCCGGCGGTAGCTACGGAAAGAGTCAGTTAGAAACAAGGCAGTCAAGTTTATGTACGACGCACCTTCATGACACTGGGCTTGATGGACACGGTGACTTTTTGGCCAATCTTGAGACCAGCTAGATACCGTGTACACTGACCGTAGCGAAGAGAGCCTGGATTCAAGGGCCATCAGCGGACAGTACTTTTACGGCGAAACAGTTGACACTCACCATTCGGTGCCAGCCAATCCACAGCTACGACGAGTAGATCAACGCGGTCCCCCGCGACACTCTGAGCGCTGGCAATACTATAATGCCTTGGCTTAATATCGCCCACAAGTTCACACAAGCGCTCGATGCCAGGCTTGGCACTGGGGTACGTTCTCAGCACATCTGAAAAGGTAACGGTATCCTTCTCCGACAATTTCTTGAAAGTCGAGGAGCCTTCTGCTGACCCGATGAAGAGAAGAGCATGTCTGTCGACGGATGAGGTGGTGAAAGGCGCGAGATCAGTGTAGAACGACTTTGGTGGACGGCCGAAAAGATCGATCTGCTGTTGCAGCGCTTGAAAGACGGTGCGTGTGTGCATGTTATCTTCACCAGCTACCACGGGAATAGTGACAAGACGATTAGGGTCGACATCATACCACTCGCAGAAATCAAGGACCTCCTGTGCATCGTTCCAACCATGCACACCTAGTGCTTCACCAATCTGATACTTAAGCCCGGTACCTGAAGTATCGAATTCGAGATGGAAGACATTGCGATCGTACTCCAGAGGTGTAAGTCGGCGATTGACTACGCACGTAACAAGGAAAGTATCATCGGGAATTTCTGGGCGGAGAGAGGCTTCGGGGGCCAGTCCGGAAGGGGTGAACGCGTCATGGAACAAGAGGTGCTTCGCCGCATCATGCCAGGTACCCACATACGCATGAGTGACCACTGAATCACCGTCATCACTTTCAACGAGGACTGCATTAAACTCAATCTCCTTCTGCGGTGCGCCTGAAGTGGCATCCTCGTTGGAGACTGCGGGAGTCTCAACATCGACCAAGCCCGACCAAGCAGCAGAGTTCACCGCTTCGAGTGAAGCACCCTGTACAACACTCTCAAAGGCACTTTTTGCGACAGTAGCTACAAGTTCTTCCCGTGCAGCACCTCCTAGATACAGCCTAAGGAAAGCGAGGGTGACAAGGACGTTTTCAATGGTGTCGGTGTTAGAGGCGTCAACAAGTTGAGAGGCGATACCCGCAGCATCCAGGGTGTAAAGATGCACGCCTTTCTGAGCCACGGACGCGATTGACTCCGAAGGCAAATTAGCCAACAGTTCTGCAGGCGACGAGGACGTGATGACAAGGATCACAGAGCCGGGTTTAGCATATTTGACAAGGGAATGGGATTTGAGGAGGCTTGGTTCCAATATACCAAGGAAATCAACTTCGTCCTTCTCGAGAGGAAGGGCGATGGGAATGGGGAGGAAAGGCGTCACACTCTTCTTGGGCGAAAGAACCATACGGTTAATCGTAATGCCCCCAGACTTGGAGAATGCATCGTGGTCCGTAAGGAGACGCGCTGATACGCCTTTGTTGGACAGGAAAACTTCCTCCAGGACATGCGAAAAGGATGTCAATGCAGAATTGGGAGTGCTGAAGAGGAACAACTTCTTGGCGGAGAAGGGCAATAAAGCTGACACATTTTTGACAGACGCAGGAACTAGTTTCGAGAGGAAGCGGGTGAACGCGTCTTCTTTCAAAACATACGACTGAGTCAGGGCGGGAGTAACGGGATGTCCGTGAACGGCGGACACAGCCTCATAGTGGAGCAGTGCGCCGAAGACATCAGCGTACAAAAAGCCCTGCGTCAAAGTGGTCGGCACGTCATCCAAAACATGAATGATACGTGCTGTCTTTGGCAAGACGTCCCGGAGACTGTCCTCATCCCAGGGTCTCAATACATTCACAGAAATAACCCCAAAGCCTGTAGATCGGCTGGCAATGGCTTTGGCAGCTAATGCTAACGGGCCATTTAGAAGAATAACGACGGTCTCTGCCTCCGAGTCGCCAGTATAGTCGAAAAAGCAATATCCGGCTTGAGCCAGGATACGTGCCACTGAACTATTCTCTTTAACAAGGAAGGGGGACAGGGGAGAGACAGAGTGGCCTATCTCGCGGGCAGCTCCATAGTGGTCGAAGATGTGTACAACATGATGGCAGGTGAGCTGATAGGATATATGCGCAAAGTCAGCAGCTTCCTGAGGGGTCGCGGAGAGAAGAATGACGAGGCTGCTTGGAAGAATGGGTAAGGAAGTAGCAAGGGGGGCGAGAGACGGTGAAATCGACAGGGCATCGTCGGCGAAAAGAAGGTTGGGGACTTGCAGGACTAATCTGCTAGTTGGGCCTGCCTCCGGGAGGTAGGATAGGGAAGAAGCCATCAATGAAAGGCCTTTAGTCGATGTATATGCAGTGATAACACCATCCTGGCTGGTACCCTCCGACAAACGGCCGACAAGCGTCAATCCAGCACCAGTCCTCGTCTGCAAGTCCACGACGGGAGCTGACACCTTGCCAGACCTCACCCAGGACTTGGTTAGCGTGCCAAAGCCGGTCTGCTCTGCTAAATCATACACAAAAATCGTTGAGCTGATCTGCGGCCTCGAGGCAATATATTCTATTAGGTGGGATGCCGGTATTCGGGGATTGAAGAAAAGGGGTTCGAGCCCATTTGCTTTTAGCTTGGGTGAGGCTGCCGTGGACAATGTCTTCGTCGATGAGAGTGGGGTCGAGGAGCCAGACATCATGTCGCTGGATAGAATCTATTCATTCCGTTCTGAAAAAAGCGTATAGTCATTGCTCGTAAATGAGCAATCTCTGCGCAAAATCACGTCTTTCATTTCAAATCAGTCCCGGCCCTAGCCGGCCCGACCTCACTTGGGCGTTCCAACGCATTTACAATTCTACACAAAGTCGCGCACAGAAATCCATCGAGCTCGCTATTACTTGTTGGCGGCCTGCGCAAGTTTGGCATATCAGAATTCGGTTGATATTTAGAACACATACATCATCATCACAAATGATGGATCCAGCCTGTTGACTTCTCTTCTCAAATGATAACTTAGCCACTTACATATGGCAGACTCGTTTCTCCAACAACTGGTTCAACCTAGCTCAAGTCTATGAATTCTTCTCAAGAAGTCCAATCTGCCTGATGGAATGGTCAAACTTGGTTTGTTCTTTTCAGCATGTCATTCTACGACAATCAATAGGTATATACAATCTATCCTATAGTAATCATGCACGGATGGTGTTGAAGAGGCGGTCACCCTGAATTATCTTATGAGCGAAAGAACGATCAACACCACGGCGAACTTACGGTGTCTCCGAGACCCGGGCTTATGATACCTTGGGGTGTCAACTCATCGTCAACGCCAGCCACCCAGATCTAACCAAGAGCTTGATAAACGTTCCCAACATTTAGCACAAGTGCGGTTACCTCTAATTCAGGAAACTCGGCCTGGACATGTTCCAATCCCGGTTTTGAAGCCAGGACGCAGAGAAGCTTGACGTTCTGGACTATTGATAGAATGAGAATAATGAATCGACATTCATGGCAACGGCTTACTAGGAATACCCCAATCCACGATCATAGATAAGGCAGCACAAGCCGTTCCACCAGTCGCGATCAGAGGATCGAGCAAGAAAACTTTGTCAACTGAAGGAGACGGAGGGAGCTTGGAATAGTCTGGGAATGCGATCAGCCGCAGGGAAGGCCATTATAGCATGGCACTTTACATTCTACAGGCTGGAGAGTAACCTTCTCTCTATAAAGACCGAGATGGTAGACGGGCGCTGATCTGGAATATGCGGCGTGCCATGACAGTTGCATTTTGAGAGACAAAGAACGTACGGGAAGAGAGTCAACTGCCGTTCGATGTCAGTACAACGTACAAGCACAGGATTGTGGCAACACGTACCAGGGCGTCTGACATTCCCAAACCAGCACGCAGAATCGGCGTCAAACCCACACGAGGTTTGATAACAGTGCCCTTGAACGGTCCAATGGGTGTTTGCTACGGAGTTCGGTGTCAGATCCCTTCCTTTCTGACGACAATTGAATGAACCAACTCCATCAAAGGACTCTTCTTCAAGAGATCGTGAGGCTTCAAGCCCTAGTATTAGACTAATGTGGTTAATGCCCTGAAGAATCTGAGTGAGAATGACAGAGAGGCTGATGCGATGGTCGAGCGTACCTCACGGAACTCCTTCGAGGACGTCGACGACTGCCTGAGCTTTGAGAGCTCTGCGTTGACGACGGGATGCGATAGCTGATTTACTTTGGAGGACATGATACGAAGTCAAGGTGTGTCGTTGCTTATCGGCCGGGACGGTAAGGGTTAATAGAGGCACTTTAGTTGACCCTTGTTGTAGTCCAATTGACCGACGGTCGATCTTATCTCTTTATCGCCTATTTGTTTGGTCACCGGCATTTTCTGAACGTGCCCTGTGCTTCTTCCACTCTTCCACCTCAACCACCACCACCGCTCATTGTCCTCAACCGCCATCATGCCACTATTCGATGTTCCAGGTTGGTCTGTCAAGTCTGACCCAGTACCAGAGGCCACCTCATCCTCTCGGAAGCGGAGAAGAGCATCCGAAGATTCCGATAAATTGCTCGCCGCCGAGGCCAACTTGGGGAAACTGATGAACAGGTTCAAGGGAAATTCATCGAGCCAGCGGGTCAAGGAGCCGAAGTCTGCTGACAAATCTCGCAAACCAAAGTCTAAAATTGACACGCATGAGGACAAAAAGAAGGCTATCTCTCTTCCGCGGCCGTTGAAAGCCGTGGACTCACGACAGTCGTTGCATCGGCCGACTAAGAAAATAAAGACGAAATGTGCAGTGGAAGAATCGTCGCCTAGTGTTAATGTCGTACAAAGTAAGGATGGTCTTACCGACCTACAGAAAGAAATGAAGGAAAGTTTGAATGGGGCGCGCTTCAGGTCAGAACCCGCCACCGTCTCGCGTATGCATATTCATGCCACAAATACAGGATGATAAATGAAACGCTGTACAAGTCAAACAGCTCTGAAGCATTCTCGATGATGCAAGGGGACAAGAATGGTACGTTCAAACTTCAAATTTGATGTCGTTGTTGGTCCCGATGTTCAACCAAACCTCTGATACGCAGTATTTGAAGAAGTGTGTCGTCACCTCACAAGACCCTGTTGCTGTATTGATAAAATTTCTAGTATCATACCGGTTTCCGTCACCAAGTCCAATCCTGGCCGACTAATCCCGTGGAGACTTATATCGCTGCACTGTCAGACTATCCTCCGAAGACTGTCATTGCAGACTTTGGATGCGGAGATGCCGCTGTCGCTCATGCTCTTTTGCCGAAAGGATTCACCGTTTTATCTTTTGATCTCGTCTCGACAAATGCCTTCGTTGTGGAGGCTGATATCTGCAACAAGCTTCCTCTGCCTGGTTCCGAACCACTTCATGATAAGGGAGATGGCCAAGGCCACACCGTTGACGTCGTAATATGCGCATTGAGTTTAATGGGAGTTAACTGGCCTAATTGCATAAGAGAGGCGTGGAGAGTTTTGAGACCTGGGTAAGAATATGCCTCAAATCCGGTATCATGTTATGCTGACGTCCAACGCTAGTGGTGAACTCAAGGTAGCCGAAGTTGCAAGTCGCTTCGCGGATGATAAACAATTTATTTCTCTTATTACCTCGATAGGATTTCGACTTGACTCTAAGGTAATTATCCGTCATCTTACAAACCTGTCATCCTTTAACACATTCTACCTTAGGATGTTAGCAATACCCACTTCACCACATTCGAATTCAGGAAGGTTCCCAGGAAGCCTAAAACTGACAGGGAGTGGACGACTATTCTCTCAAAGGGTGATGTTCTTAAGCCATGTGAATACAAGCGAAGATGAACATCAATATCATTGAATGAATATACAGTATAGACGGGCATGTCTCGTGTAAGAAGCGCGAATTCTACCTAATATACAGTATGCATCCCTAGGGTCTATGGTGCTAATTTCGCGCTCCAATCGTGCAATATTTCATAGGATTACACTTTGCCATCAGGTTCGTGGTGTTCACGAATTTCCCGAATGTCCTCTCGAGAGGACATCGCACTGGTAAATCCAAGAATTCTGTCAGCTTCGGGAGTTCCGGCGGCTGGAATGTCTTTCCGTAACGAAACAGCCACCGGGGAGACCTTTTCGTTGTAGGCGATCGCGAAAATAACATCCATATCTGTTGAAACAAATGTATGAGCTATTGGTGATGAATAATATACAAGCTGAACGCGCACCTTCGAGTGATCTTCCCGCCGTTTCTGGAAAGAAGAGATAGACGATAGGGACGATCATGGCGTTAAGAGAAGCAAATACTAGAAAAATGATCAACAAACTAACGTAAGTGCCAAGTCACAAATAACACACCAATATATGTTCCCCAGTTGATGTTTTCAAAGGAGGGTCCTACAATCATGACAACTAAAGCAACATGAGGCAAATGTTAATACTGATCAATGGGCTACACTTACCCAAGAAGTTGAATATCCAATTGCTCGCTGTACTCAGAGCGTTGGCAGGGCCTCTCATACGCAGACCAACAATTTCGGCGGGCTAAGCAGGGGACAAGATAAGCACACTCCAAATTTGTGGAAACCATACTCACATAAAGCCAAGTCATGCCTAACCAACCAAGGGCAAAGAACGAATTGAATACAAATAAAAGCACTGCACTGATGATTTGTGCCGGTGAATTGTCCACCTCTCCTAGAACGGCTAACAGAACCATAGTTATACATTGGCCTATGGCGCCGAAAAGCATAAGTTTCCTTCGTCCAACCCGATCGATCAATACGAGGGGTAGAAGCGCGATGAAGAAGTATTCAGTGCCGTTGCAGGCAGCCAGGATGCGCGACTTGACATCCGAGAGACCTAGACGCTCGAAAAGTATGGTCTGTTACAAGATAAGGAATTATATTGCGACAACTATAAATGCAGAAAACCCACAGCATAGTACGTGATCAAGTTAATGCCGGTGAGCTGTTTGGATGGAAGCGATCAGAATCTGGAGATAAGGGCGTATGTATGCAAAGGCTGACCTGTTGGAAGGCTTGAACAACAACACCCAGAATGACCCGCCTCAAGTTCTGGCCACGTCCTCCAGTAAATATTTCATTGAGCGCTACTTTGCCGGTGGGTGTATTTCCGTCTTCAAGTTCAACGGCTTCACTGATGGCCTTGAAAGTTTGCTGCACTTCTGGGTCATTGGCGGGCTTGTCATCAAGGGCAGAAATGACGGCTAGGGCTTCGGCTTTACGACCAACTTTGATAAGCCATCGGGGGGATTCAGGCAGCTATGTGTAAACATCTCGGTTGCTGTCGAGGCAACATAAGGTCAGATACTCACGAAATTAACACCCACGGCCATCACCGCAGCAAAGAAAACTTGGAATGATATTGGGAAACGCCATTGGACAGATGAATTGCCAGCCCAGAATCTGCGGGTTTGTGTAAAATAGTGGACATCAGAAGTAAGGGAAATGAACTAACAGCGCAAAATCGATCCACTGATCACACAAACCATATTAACGGGGGGCCGTTCACGAAAACGTAAGACCCAAAATTACTCACATATCTGGGAAAACGATGAGTACATTCCACTGAAACGGATCGATAAGGTAACATACGATATCATGATGCCAAAGGCAATGAGTGCGCCTTCAATCATGATCAAGCTTCCTCGTTTAGCAGCAGGAGAACATTCCGCATGATAGGCTGGTACAGTGGATGTCTAGAATGAAAGCTTTTAGTTCAGTTTTTAGTGTGAGGGTCTCTGAATGCTTACGTTGAGACCGTTACCTACGCCGGTTATAATCCGGGCAACAACCATTTGGGCATAGCTGAAAGACGCTGTCTGCAGGATAGCACCAATAGTCATGATGATAGCGCCAAGAACCATTGTTCTGCGACGACCGAGCTTGTCGCCGAGCCAAAGGTTGGACAACGCTCCAATTAGACATCCAATCTCCTGCGGCGCATAGTAAGTATGATTGCCTGCGGACCGAATAGTAACTTTAAGATGACTGACATATATTGCCACCACGAAACTTTGTAGTGTCGCGTGTTTCGGATGAGCAGAGTTAACGATGACCTGTGGGAACACTTTGTCGAACTGTAAATGGATTTGAGTTGATTGAACTAACGATTCAAAGAAAGGTTCAGCTTACCTGGTTGGCGGTCAGCAGGGCGGACATAACCTGCAACACACACCTATGAGCAATGGAAGAAAAGAAGAACGAGAACGAGACATACACCTTGATCATAACCGAAGAGAGTGAATCCTGTGCCGCTGATGAATGCGATGGCGGCAGTCAATTTTCTTCCCCGTAATTTGAAGTCATAAGAAGCGACATCCTTCTCGAAGTCGGAAGCGTCATGGTGAACATGTCGAGGCTTCTCGTTATCAGAGGCCATGAGTGACACTGGCAGCGTGATGTAGGAGAGACAAAAATAGACTCGGTACGTATACAACGAGATAGCTGTACAGATGCGGGGGTGGAGAGAGGAAGCACAGGGATAAGGTGCAATTTGGAGGGTCCTCTTTATACATTCCAGCGCCCGGAGCGGTTTTCCGGGGATCTCACGAAATCACCACCCTAAGGCGTCGGCAAGGCATTTGGTAGTGGGTGGAGCAGATTACGATGGTACTTTTAAAGTAGAATGCGGATACTTTTCCCAAAGAACAAGCGACAACAGAGATCCTGTCCTCCAAGTCCAGAGCGCCAACAGACGATAGAGAATAAGCGCGAAACACTCCACTGGTGGCCTGTTCGAGTAGCGTGAACGTAGTTCTATAAATAAGCTGGACCTTGGCTCTGCATCGTGTTTGTTCGCGATACTCTCCACAAATCACAAACGCGGCCAAATCGGGGGGGCCCCATAACCCCGGATGACGTCATCGTTGGGCCAGGTACGACGCCGAATCGCCGACTCGCCAGGTATTACCTAATTTGAAATCACCTGCACCAAAGTTGAGCGGTCCGTTTCTGATTCTTCCATTCATCTTCCATTTTAATTTGAACTACTATGCCTGGACTCGCCGTGCATCTTCATTTTCTCCTTGGAGCTCCGTCCGAGTATCAGGACAATCATCAGCTCATCAGCAGCTGGAATACTGGGTCAGTTTCTGCATTCTTTGGTTGGATCCGGTAATTGATTCCCCCGCAGTCAACATGGTCAGATGAACTGTGAGCCATTCAGTTGTCATTCGGAAGAAATACTTCTTGCTCACCCTCGCAAAAAAAAATAATCAAAGCAGCCGAAGTCGCCGGAGACGGGGACCTCATCGACGAGCCCTCGAATTCGGTTCTTGACATCTACCGCCACGCGGAACAGAAATCACAATCCGACGTCCTTTCAAGTGTCCTATTGTGTGTCTTCTTGTTCAACACCTTCATATCTTTGTTCATGCGCTGTCAGAAAACCCCATGGGCCGTCGATCGCGATTTCTTTGCTGTCCGTGCTCTCGTCAGGTCGCCCAAGTGATCAAATTTCGGGGGAGCTCGCCGATATTGTGGGGTTTCATGATATCGACCTCGTCGTGGAGATCCTCAACAACCGCGATGTACTTGCTCGAGAGGTAGACCCGTTCTGTCATTGGTGATAGTGAGGTATTTATGTGCATCAAGCTTCAAGACTTTCTCCACGGACAGCATGTAAGTCAAGAGACCGACCATGAGAATGAACGGATACCAGGTGGATCCGACATCGATAGTATCCTCTCTTCGACTGATATGTGATCAGATGACCTTTCTGCAGAGTCTGCGCGTCTGCGCACCGAGAAGACCCTCAGAGAGAACGCAGCTCGTCCGCTCTTTACTGGTGTCGCGGTATGTAGAGGCAGATGCATTCAGCGTCCGTTCTCACATGTCTCTGAAAGCAACCTGAAGCCGAAGTTTTGCCTCATGTATACACATCTTCATCCATCAGTCAAGGCAATGTGTTGTCACATCTGGGCGGCAAATATATACTACCTGTAGATACCACACGGCAAGAGTACGAGGCAAGTGCCAAGTAATTTAGATCATCACCTCTAAAACTTGAACACAGGAATACCATGAGGTTGTGATTCCTCCTTCCAAGCCTATTCCTCCTCGGAGTACAGAGCGTTTGATCCCCGTCTCAGAACTGGATCCAATAGCACGAGGGTCTTTTCCAGTGCGCCGATCCATTTTCCTTGCCTGTTTTCGCTTTTTTACTCATTTCTTTTAGGGTTACTCGTCACTGAACCGCATTCAATCCATTGTCTATCCCACGGCATATGGTTCCAATGAAAATATGCTTGTCTGTGGTAAGCCTTCTTTTTGTTGACAAGAATCTTATGAACCATTTTGTCAGCTCCTACTGGTGCTGTAAGTAGCCTCACTTTTGTCCGGCAGTTGCGCTGGATTACTCAATGCCATCAAGGGTAAAACCGACGTAGCCATGATGACCATTTTGCGCGTCTTGGACCAGCACAGGTCCAAGAATGATGACAAAAATATACGCGCAACAATTGATCGTGATTCATTCAAGATCATATATGTGCAAGTGTGTTTCATCATAATTCCGGGCCCGGGCTGATATCGGTCGATAGAGCTCCTATGAAGGCATTGGCTTCAGAGATCGTGCGAAAGTTTAGCAGACGGCTTCAATGGCTATCTATCCAAGTAAGGGAATTGACTGGTCTGTCTGCCTGCTACCCGTCCGGGAGCCCATCGGACTAATGTACGACAGGCGACATGCAGATGACAAAAGCTGAAATCGCGCAGACCCAAATCATCGTCACCACACCGGAGAAATGGGATGTCGTTACACGAAAACCGACGGGGGAAGGAGAGCTTGCTTCAGTGAGTACGTATGTTCAGGGCAAACGAATTCATAACTAAATATCACTGCAAGTAGCTGCTTAAACTACTGATAATCGATGAAGTTCATCTGCTGAATGAAGAGCGTGGCGTGGTCATCGAGACCATCGTTGCCCGTACTCTACGACAAGTGTGATCTCTCCCTATTTTCCGAACGGACTCCAAGTTGACCATCACTCGCAGGTAGAATCGAGTCAATCTATCATTCGAATTGTAGGCCTTAGTGCTACCCTACCTAATTATGTTGACGTCGCGGAGTTCCTCAGGTATTTTCGGCATCCCTTGTAAGTATACACAGCTAAACGTTCACAGCGTCTCACGCTACACAGGACTGTTCTACTTCGATTCATCCTTCCGTCCAGTCCCTCTCGAACAGCATTTTCTCGGCATCAAAGGCAAACCAGGCAGCTCTCAATCACGCAAAAATCTCGACCATGTAGTTTTCCAGAAAGTATCTGATTTAGTGGCGCAGGGTCACCAGGTTATGGTATTTGTCCACTCACGAAAAGATACTGTTAAGACTGCTCTGTCTGTCAAAGACATGGCCAATCTTGAAGAAAATATTGACGATTTCAGTTGTCAAGACCACCCTATGTGGAAACACTTCCGCCGTGACATAGGTCAGTCGAAGAATAGGGAAATGAAGCAGCTTTTCGATAGCGGCTTTGGTATACATCACGCTGGGATGCTAAGGTCTGACAGAAGTATGATGGAACGCATGTTCGATGCAAGGGCTATCAAGGTTTGAGAACATGCTGTAGCTAAACTGGTCCTATGACACTAACTCTACTTACCCTAGGTTCTGTGTTGTACGGCTACGCTTGCTTGGGGTGTCAATCTTCCTGCCCACGCCGGTAAGTCGGAGCTCGTTCGAAGTCAATTGAATCTCATCACTTCTTTTATATCACCAGTCATCATTAAAGGAACACAGGTCTACGATAGCTCCAAAGGTGCTTTCGTGGACCTTTCCGTGCTAGATGTATTACAGGTATTTGGCCGTGCGGGCCGTCCTGGGCTGGAAACTAGCGGCGAAGGCTACATATGTACAACTGAGGACAAGCTCACGTACTACTTGAACGCAATAACTTCACAGGTAACCAGATACCCTGAATTGATCAACATCTATCTGATCTGTCCTCTACACCTAGAATCCCATTGAATCGCAGTAAGTCAGCTGGCCACTTCGACTGGGAACGACATACTAATTGCATAAGGTTCCGGCGAGGTATCATCGACGCTTTGAATGCCGAAGTGTCCCTGGGTACTGTCGCCAACACACATGACGCGGTACAATGGCTAGGCTACACATATCTCTTCGTCAGGATGCGGAAGAACCCTTATGGATACGGTAAGAAGGTCCCGTTACCGGTGGTTTTGATTCTCGTCGGGATTAAGTTGGATTTTGCAGGGATACTGCGGGAGTCCGCATCTGATGACCCAAACCTTGGCAATAAGCGCAACGAATTGGTCGGTTTAGCGGTGCAAAAACTTGCGGAAGTGCGCATGATGATCTATGACCGAGAGACGGGTGCCTTCACGATAACGGACCTCGGACGGATCGCTGCTAAGTATTATATTCGTTTCGAGTCTATCGAGATTTTCAACAAGGAGTTTCGTCCGAAGATGTCTGAGGCTGATGTTTTGGCCATGCTGAGTATGAGTACTGAGGTAGGAAATTCGTATAGTCTGGTACCTCGGTTTACTTGTTGACGACTTCTTTTTAGTTCAATCAAATCCAAGTCAGGGATGCTGAAGAGAAGGAGCTCATATTGCTTGGGGACATCGTACCCTGCGAAGTCAAGGTGTTTAAAAACTTTGACCACTCGCGTAGATCGTTAATTCCATTGACAGGGACGGGCCGAAACCAATCCTGAGAGAAGCATCGAAACGAGCCAGCAAAAGGTGAACATCCTTCTCCAAGGGTATATATCCAGACAGCCTGTCGAGGATTTTGCGCTCGTGTCAGACATGGCATATGTAGCCCAGAATGGCGGCCGTATAATCCGTGCATTACTAGAGATTGCCATCAGTCGGAAATGGGCGACCGTCACGACCGTCCTTATGGGGATGAGCAAAGCTATTGAGAAGCGACTATGGCCCTATGATCAGCCTCTGAAGCAGTTTGACCTCAAACCAGATGTTTTTTATGCTTTGGAGACTTGGGCAGATCAATGGGCGCCGGCAGAACTAGCGACCTTGGGTGCGGAGGAACTAGGAAAACTCATTCACATGAACGAGCATCACGGAAAGGCATTGTTGACCGCGGTCAAACAATTTCCGACCGTCAAGATTCTTTATAACTTACGACCTCTTGGACCTGACGTCCTCAAGATATGCGTTCAGGTAAGACGAGCCTTTTCCTGGAACGATAAAGTGCATGGAAGTTCAGAACCGTTTTGGCTATGGGTGGAAGATCACGATGGGTTGAATATCCTACATCTATCACATCTCCTTTTCCGGCAAGTCACTGAAACCCTGAACGTGGACTTTGTTATCTCTATACCCGATGGTCGACCACCGCCTTCCGTTACTATCCGGTTTGTTTCTGATAGGTGGATGGGGGCTGAGGACGAGGCCAATGTATCATTGGAAACTTTAACTATGCCAGTGGTATCCAACAGCCACACCCCCATTCTGGATATTCCCTTCTTGGCACCTACCGTCCTGCAAAACCCGGTTGTCGAATCGATTTTTGCAAATCGTATCAATAATTTCAACGCTATTCAAAGCCAAGTATTTTGGAGTTTGCTCCACACGCAGTCTCACGCATTGTTGTGTGCGCCGACTGGTAGCGGGAAGACAACATTGCTAGTGGCTTTAGTTTGGTATGTGCAAGTTGCTTGACGTCTTAGGGATTCTGATGAGTCGGGTTCAATAGGACTACGGTGCTACGACACCCTGACGCGTCTGTCCTGATAGTCGTCCCATCAAAAGGTTCCCTCGCCGAGATTTCCTCCCAACTCCGAATAGGATCCAGCGTTACAGGTGTTACCGTGGAAATTGCCAAGGACGAAAATTTCCTGCTCCCCCCAAAGAAGCGTCGACGAATGCTCTTGGTTCCGACCTCTCTCTTGCTACACGCATTGTCTCATAGAGACCCCAGGGCACCACTCACAGGGTATGACCTCATTATATGTGAAGATCTCGAACGCTTGGACGCCACCTACGAGCTATCAATTTCATTATTGTTACATGCTACGCAGACTTGTCCCACGCGGTTCGTTTGTGCCTCGAATTCACTCAATGACCCAGGTGACCTAGTTGCGTGGCTCAATATTGATCCCTTCGCGTTGCACAGTTTCCGGCCCCGTGATCGCGGGCAAAGTCTCTCCACACATATACAAACGTTCAACATACCCCAATCCGCATCTTTATTCAAGGCAATGGCGAAACCCGCTCATGCCGCCATCACCAGAGCAGGATCCGAAGACACAAGTGGGGGAATCCTCATCTTTGTGCCATCCCGCGCACAATGCCGCATAACTGCCCAGGATCTTATTACTCAATGCGCGCTGGAGATGGAGACGGAAGTGGGGTATCTCCCTGCAGGGATATCACAAGAGTTTCTTGATCAACACCGCGTGCAATTGCGAGATGCTTCTCTCATTGACTTTATTCTTAAAGGGATTGGGTTCTTCCACGAGGGAATTCGGAGAGAAGATAGACATCTGATGGTGGAGTTGTATGCCGAAGGGGTGCTTCGGGTTCTAATCGTGCCGCGAGAATCTTGCTGGAGTGTTCCTGTAAGGGCTAGAGTGGTGGTGGTACTAGGGACGCAATATTTCCATGCCGAAGATGGGCTGAAGGATTATGATGTCACAGAGTTGGTGCGTATGCAGGGTAGGGCGGTCCGGCACTTGGGAAGCGGAGACTTCTATTTGTTCTGCCAGGGTGAAGCAAAGGATACACTAATGCGGTTCTTGAACGAGGGGTTACCTTTGGAGTCGCGGCTTTTGGAATCCGATCAGTTGGCGGCATGGCATACAGATCAGACAACCCGAGGCAGGCTGCAGAGCAAACAGGACATGGTGGATGTGTTGTCATTTTCATTCCTTTCACAGCGGATCTCGACGAATCCAGCGTACTACGATTGCTCCTCGGATTCGAGAGACGGAAATCTGTCGCGTATCGTAGACGGGCTTACCAATCAGAACTAGCGATATTTTAGTGTGGCATCATGCTGACTGTGCGCTGGTGGATCTCAGAAACCTTATTTACAATACAAAATCCGTTGGGTATCATGGCTAACCCATTTGCGGACTGTAGCGGGCGAGGTAGAAAGGCTCGAACGCGGCGGAAAAAATCCTGGAGAGGTGTCCTTCGGAATCTAACTTCAGTTCATATAATTCTTAGTTCTAAGTTACAGCATGAAGATCAGCGCACGTTGAACCTGAAACAAGGTCACCGTGTATCCCCTGCGTGCATGGTTGCTTCCATATGGATGCTGCATTGCTGACCCCGATTCTTGTCTGCTCTGGCACAAGGCAGGAAGAAATGGAATAGAAATGGGCCGAATTACTGCCTGAACATCACGACGGTGGCGATAAGTTCCGAAAAGTCCAAGTGCGGACCGGATGCCCGAATGTCCTTTGCGCCGCCGTCGGGTATACCATATCCAGAGTCCCCCCGACCCCCGCTCCATCAACTGACGTCTCGCGTACTAGATCAAAAGTCTAAAGTTTATTTCCGACTGAACGCATTGGCTATTGTAGATACTTCTTTATACCCTGTAACCTCTCAACTGCTCTGTGCAGTGTGTCTACGTCTTTACAGAATGCAAAGCGGAGGAAGGCTTCACCAATGCCGGCATGCTCTTCGCAGTAAAACTAGGTAAAATTAACGTCTGTAAACCAATGACAATCAATGAGGTTGGCTTACCTCGCTGACAGGAATCGATGAAACGCCAAGTTCAAGTGCGAGGAACCAGCTAGCCCTATTGTACTGTCAGAAGTCAACAAAACTGACGAATTTGATGACTAACTTGAAATCCCTTCCCCTTCCTTGGACACTCTTCGGGAAAGGATAATCATCAGGAAATTTAACGTTCGATATGTCCAACAACGCAAAGTATCCTCCCTCGGGGAAAGTATAATTTAACCCAAGACTGTCAAAGCAGTCCGTAAGCACCTTCCTACGCTCCGCATACTCATCCCTTTGGATCTGAAAGAAGTTGTATTTGGGAGCTAGTTCGAGCCCTACAGCTGCGGCTTCCTGGAGGGGAGAGTTGGTGCAAAATACGATGCGGGTCGTCGCTGCGAGCGTGGGGCGGATGATGGATTCCGGTCCGATAAGCCAGCCTACGCGCCAGCCGGTTGCTGCGAATGCCTCTGGAGATAAGAGCAGCTTTAATAAGCATGTTACGAGGTAAGAAGAGACAACTTACTTCCTGCAGAGCCAACAGTCACGGTACGATCCCACATTCCCGGAAGAGTCGCTATTCGGACATGCTCGTTGCCATCGAAAACCAAACCGTCATACTAGGGACACGTCAGATACAAGAAACGTAAAGATAGGATATACGCACCACTTCGTCCGACATTACAAGCAGATTAAACTCCTCTGCTAGGCTGGCGATGCCCTCGAGTTCAACACGCGTAAAGACCTTACCCACGGGATTATGGGGGGTATTGAGGATGATGATCTTTGTTTTTGGTGTTATCGCTCGTCTCAGCTCGTCAAAATCAAGGGACCAATCGTTACTCGTTGACTTTCCCTCCGCTTTGGGCGGATGTAGTGGGACATAGACGGGAACGCCGCCGTTGAAGATGACAGACGGAAGGTACTGGTCAAAAAAGGGTTCAAACATGATGACCTCGTCGCCCTTCTCGAGGAATGCGGTGAAAACACTATACTGTCCTAGAAAAGTGGATTACTGATAGTTATCTTTCCTCACTGATGAATTAGGTACCTTCATTCGCTCCACTAGTGACGAGAATCTCTTTCTCTATGTCGAGCTCCCGACCGAACTGGGGACTGTAGAAGCTCTGGATTGCCTTGCGAAGACGTGGGCGTCCCTTGGGATGGGAATAGTGGTTTGTCTCTACCCGCGAAAGAGATTCTTGGGCTGCTTCCCTGACCCAATTTGGGGGAGGAAAGTTCATGTATCCCTGTCCAAGATTAATGCAGTCCGCTGGAAGGTTTGCTGCGCTATGGGAGTAGAAAGAAAATTCATTATTAGAGTTACAATAAAACTTCCCCGAATGTACCTACTTGAAGATAGACCAGACATCCTCAGCAAGCGCCCGACCGTCTCTGAGTCTCGAAGCAAAAGGAATGAGGTTGTCTCTGTTTTTGGTTCCGTTGATGGAAGCAGCCATTGAGAGAGGACGTCTGAAGAGACAAAGGATGTGGTGAGTCAAACGATAGCTGGATAAGGTAAACATGGAAAAATTTGTGAGTCGGCTTCTTTTTCGGAAAAGACGGCCGTATCAGAGTTCCTTATCGGCCGTGGTGTATTGCGAGAGTGATTCATTTAAGACGCCATTCAGAGCATTCAGACGCAAAATAAGAGAAATGTAAAATAATGGTTTGATATTTGCAACGCGTCGCGTAAGTACAACGCGCTCTGATGCCCTGTTCCGGACTGTACCCCAGATCCGTCCGTGATTGATGTCGTCAGTATTGGTAGCCTGAAGGACGGCTACGAAAAGAAGGAAAGCAACTGTTGAAGAAACAATGTCTATCATACGTTGTAGTCTCAACTGCGAGTCCGTGCACCCTAATACTTTATTAATATGCTGAACAAATCATTCTGTTCCCACAACATGAACGTTACGCTTGCACGAACATGTACGCTTCCCATTGATCCCACCTTGCCACATAATTTCGCGCGACATGCAAGATGGTGCCCAGATGGATCCTCGCTGATCCTAGTCCAATCTGAAAACCGTGCACTCCACGTTGTTCACCTCGACTCAGAAACGAAAACGTTCCCCCAAGCCTCACCGATCCTGTCTTGGGCATGGTATCCCACCGCCTCACCCTCGACACCGACAACATTCTGCTTCGTTACTGCCATCAGAGATTGTCCAATCCACCTTTTTGACGCCTCTGACGGCCGTCTCCGCGCTTCGTACCCCATCATCGACCACCGTGAACGACATGTTGCCCCACACTGTATGGCATTCAATCTTACGGGAACCAAGTTGTATTGCGGACACCCTGATGCTGTAGAGGTGTTCGACGTATCTCAGCCAGGCCGTGAAGGGTTTAGAATCCCTACCACACCGATGAAGAAGAGCAGGGACGGGCTGAAGGGAATCATTTCGGCAATCTCCTTCACATGGGGCTACTACGCTGTCGGGACATTCACTCCTTGCGACTTCCCTATTGCTATATATGGCGAGGAAGATGATGAACTGGTCGGTTTCATTGGTGGGGGACCCCACGCTGCAGTTATACAGCTTGCCTTCACACCTGCAGGACATCTCCTGGCTTCTTTTCGCCGTCATTCAGCTATATATGCTTGGGATTTATCTGCTCCTGATGCACCGGTGGCCGTGTACGACTTTGGTACGCCTACGACGTCGAACCAGCGACGGTACTTTGATCTACATCCCGCGGGCCGGTGGTTGGCTGTTGGCGACGAAGGAGGCACTGTTCATGTCTTTGATTTGACGAGCGAGTACCGAACGTCTTTTGCGGCTCATGAGGATTCAGTGCCGTCGGTCGCTTTCCACCCTACAGAGTCGCTTCTTCTCACCGTGGCAGGCTCAAGACATTTTGGCGACGTTGATGATGAGGATTATAAAGAGAAGATGATGATTCCCATTGTTAAAGACGCGTCTATCAAAGTCTGGTCCTTCAATCTAGAATAACGTGCGTTGCTTTATGTCCTAGTATGCCCACCGCTTATGTTGAACCTGAATAGTTTGTTGAAAGGCGCGTACATGCTGCTCATCAATATCGTTCTTAGGCAGACATGAAACCTTCACCTGTGAAAACACTAAAATCTTATCATCAAGTAATAACTCTCCAAAGTCGCCTTTCTCCTTCCCACTCTTTACCAACAGGAGCAACCGTGTTAGCTCGGGTGCTGTTATTCCATGAACGAGAGAACGTAGCGGAGATGGTGGACAGACTCATTATAAACCGCTTCACTGAGTACTGCATGGATCATTGGAAAATTGTAATTAAAGTGAAGGAAACCAAAAATAGTTGCCGGTAAGATCGGCCCGACCTTGCTTATACTACTGATAATGTTGGTTTTTGTTCGATGTTGACTTTGTATCTTGGACGCAGACTGGTAGTCTAGAATGAAGTACGGAGAACAGCAGAGTAGGCAGTCGAGTTACTATCTCGTATCCTTGGTATTTGCCACCGTGCGTTCCTTGTTCTCCTGCAGAGATTGCTGAACATGGAGAACGTAGTACAGGCAGCGTGGATCATGGTCCTCATCGCACAGGCACTCCTAACATCAACTGGTATGTTTTTTTTGTGTTTCTAAGGAGGACATTGCTGTGACACGAAATGTCCACAAAGTTGGACATGAAGCAGTTGGCGCACTATGGTTCGCTATGATTATCCAATTTTTTGTCAACGTCGCCGTCGCCCTTGCGTTCTACACCAGAGGAATGTGTCCTCATCGGCACCAAATAGCGAATTTCTCCTCTATGGCCGTGGTTTTGGGTGTCATTGGGGTGGATAGGACAGTGTACTCGAAGGATCAAAGTCGACGTGCTATAGCAGCAGGCTGGATCATCCTGTCGGCCGTGGATATTCTTTGGGTTCTCCACTTCTCTAAAGACGCTAGGGCGTCCAACGACTTATCTCGAGCCCTTCCGGAAGAGGAGCCTCTGTCCACGAGATCCCGTTCCAGCTCAAGCCAGCCGAATGCCACATCCAGTCAGTCGGACTCACCTAACGACATCACGGTCAAGAATCCGCTTTCTCCACTACCGTCCATGTCTAGGGCTCGTCCTGAGGTTGATCGTGAAGAAAGTGTGCTGATGGCTGAGCAGGACCAGGCTCCTAGCCAAACACCGAACGCGGCTTCTACCGCCAACAGGAAGTCCATTGGCGATGCCCGTGACTCAAGCGGTGCCACGGGATTTTTGCTCCCAATGGTGCGTGCAGCTGATGCTAAACAGCGAACTAACAACACAGTGATCACACAGCGCTCGTCTTCTGCAACAAATGCCAGTCTTAATCATGCCTCATCTCTTTTGACTGTTTCGGCGAGTTTTAATAGTGGTATAACCACAGCTCCAAGCACTACTGTGTCATATTCAAGTCGCGCTCAGGCGTGTTGGACGTGTGCGTTGCCTATTCTTACCTTAGATCTGAGCTTCACGTCATTTCACAGATCAAGCGTCACCGGCTGATGCTGAAGAGCTCAGCTTCACAGCTGGTGACATTCTTTATGTTGCAAGGACACCTCAAGGAAAGTGGTGGGAAGCGAGAAAGGTGGATGGATCTAAAGACAGTACGTTCGTTTGACTGACCCTCAATAACCGTGTTCTCATAAAATCAATTATTTCATTAGTCGTTCCCTCGAATTATCTTCGCCTCTTGGCGTCGTGATTTACACAACTGTGTAGGATGTGTAGGATATTGTATTTAAGAGCGGACGTGTAGAAGAACTCGCTCCAAGTGCACGGGGCACTGCACTTCACCCATAATGCTGTATTGAGAGCGTCTGCAAGCTCTCCGTGACATAAACGAGCCCTTTTTTGGTCCATGTTTCTGATCACCCGGGTTTAATCAACCTCATGTCAGGTTAACAGAAGATAACGCTGTACGTTAAGCGCCTTCTATTGCACAGCTTCTGGATGGTCAAGATCCCCTGCCCTCGTTCCAGCACCCCATCTAAATTTCGATGAACTCCACTCGTCGACTACGACCAATCAAACCGCGGCCCGATCTTCACTCCGCCTTTTCCCAGGACTCTGCGGTCGGTCAACGATCACATTGCAACGAGTCGACGAGTAACCCCAGACCTTCCATCGATTCGGATACTGTAGATAACAAGGAGAATTCTTTTTCTCATCGAACACCGAATCACCCAGACGAAACGAGGGAGAGCGTTCGTGTACCTACGACGTATCTCTCAGTAGATCCGATTGATGAAGAGAAGAAGAGGGAGAGGAAACGATGCAGACAGGCAAGGAAGGAGAAGTTGAACAAGCCGCTCCCCCCTCCGCCGGCGTTAGCATTTGTGCAGATGCCCTCTTGTGCGTCCCTAACCTAATGAACTGATATATGAGACTTATATTTACGCAGATCTACCCGCAAAGGCAAGTCTGTTTATCTTGGTAATGAAGATCTTTGATGGATTTTCACATATAGGTGTACCAGGTATGCACCTTTCTATATCTAGCTATTCCACCCTAAATCGTATGCGATTCTAGCATCTATGTCATTTGGCGGAACAGGAGTTTGTTAAGAAAGGAAACACAACGAGATACGAAGAATTGTTACGATCATTCAGCCAAATCTGTCCAACCACTGCCATTGATGAGGTTGTCAGAAGTTATAGGTATCGCCGTAGCCTGGAGGAGGTATTATTCGACCTCACTCCGTCGAACCTCTTGCTGATGCTACTCGGATCACATAGTTGCTATCCAAACTTGAAGGGTTCGATGCGCTGCAAGTGCACAACGCTATTTCCAATGACTACCCGCAGATTGTTGAGCTATTGAAGATAGTCATCGGATCTCCGGAAGAGAAGGATGTGATGCTTCACCTTGCAGATGACGACTCAGAAAGGTTTATGGACGCAGTTCAAGAAGTTTGTCCGTCTACCGAGCTTTGGATACCGATGGATTGACGGTACCCTAGATCTTGGACGATCAAGCACAAAGTGAACAATTTAATGCCGATGCACGTATGCTCCTAGTCTCTGTGGTTAAGACCATCTCTCGGCTTCCTGAGTCTATGTTTATATCTGGTGTCGGCCTTGTACGAGACAAAAACACGCTAGGAGGAACTTTCGGTGACATCTACCGGAGCATCTATGAAGGTAAATCTGTAGCCCTGAAGCGGTTGCGTATTTTCCGGATCTGCGAAAGATCGAAAATTTATCGAGTACGTGTTTTCACTGCCCTATTTCATTGAATCAATCTCTCAAACGGACTTGCAGAAATTTTGTAAGGAAGCTCTGGTTTGGCAGCAACTTTCTTTCGAATATGTACTTCCCTTCCTTGGCATCGACGCAGAAAACTTTCCGAGGCAACCGTGCATGGTATCGCCCTGGATGTCGAATGGGACGGCCCCTCAGTTTCTCAAACAGAATCCCAACGCCAATGTCGATAAGCTGGTAGGCGCTGAACTGTGATTCATTCCATTATTCTCGTTGATACAACCTGTCAATCAGCTCTTTGAGATTGCCCAGGGTATTGAATATCTCCATTCTCAGTCAGTCGTTCATGGGGATATTAAAGGCGTAAGTGTCGTGCCTCACCCTCATATCTGTTCCTGATGATCCTGGTAGGGTAATATACTAATTGATGAACATTGGCATCCTCGTCTCGCAGATTTCGGGCTGACAGTTTTCGGCGATGCTACGAGACAATTTACCACCGATCAAGGGGGGACTCTGCGCTGGATGGCTCCAGAATTGTTGCGCCCCTCGGAAAGCTTCAAACGAACGTTTTCCAGCGACGTTTATGCATACGGCTGTGTTTGCGTAGAGGTATGACCTAATTTTCAAGTCTGGAATTTCGCTAAAATAATGTGCAGCTTTACTCAGGCCGGATTCCATTTTCTGATATTAAACATGAAGTCCGCGTCATAGAACTAGTTCTGAGCGGAGAGCTTCCTACTCGGCCGGCCTCCATGAAAGTGGATTTGTGGGATCTCGTTTGTGCGTGCTGTGAGAATGGAGCTGATACGCGGCCCCGAGCGTCAGAAATCGTCGAAATGCTCAGAACGTTCTTGCGTGAATCAGCGACAGAACCAGGCCTGATGAAAGGATACGTCTTTTCCAAGTTGAGATCCAGCTCTTCGCCGTTGACGCGGGAGAAGTTCACGTTTGGTCTATCTGGATCGTCGGATGGCAACAGCAGTCCTGGGAGTTTGAAGCCGTTGCCGTTTCGTCCAAGATCGCTTCTCGGCCAGACTATAGAAGAGCGCAGTGAAGAGCGCTCTGCCACCCATCAACTATCACCTACAGCCGAATTATTTAAGGAAGAAGACGACTACAGAATGCGGCTGTTGCAGATACGAATGCACGCTGATCCAATGAGGTCGTATTGTAAATTCGTCAGGGTTGAGCGAGGGTAAGTGCGTTTTGTATGCCAAGTTTCGACGTGATAACCTCTTTATATCCCAGCTTTTCTGTTGAAATCTACCGCGCTTCAGCACAGTCCGTAAAAAACGAAGTGACCATCAAATGTATTGATGTTGAGAAACAAAAGAGAGTCAAGGTCATTCAACTCATAGACGAATTCATCGGAATGCGATGGCTACACCATCCCAACATCATAAATTATATGGATGTTTTTCGCTATGAGAATGACCTTTGGGTGGTTACGGAAGGGATATCGGACATGATGACACTTCAAAAGGTTGTAACGACTAACGCTGGCATGTCGATAGAAAAACGAGAATCGTTCATTGCTACCATCCTTCCTCATATTGCGCAGGCTTTAGATTACCTTCACAGACATGGCATAAGCCACAGAGGTATCGATATGGAGAACATCCTCTTTAGCAAAATGGGACATGTACGATTGAGTGAGTACTTCGTAATCTCGTAGATGTGTTCTCACCGATCTCTGACCACAGAGCTTTGTGCTATGATACCTGATCCCCATAGTTCGCGAAGAAGCCGTTTCTTACCGCCGGAAGTCACTGCTGGCCAGGCTTACAGTTTTAAGTCAGACATCTGGAATCTAGGGGCGCTTATAATCGGTACGCGGCATTTCAATTGTTTCCTCTATTAATAATTTGCATTGACCACCACACTATGGCAGAGGTTCTTGACACAGAGAGGAGGATAGAAATGCAGCAATCGGAGGCCCTTCTCCTAGCATTTCGTTTCCATTTGCATCCTTCGGCAGCGATAGCGGAATCAGTTGCTAGGATGCTGCATAAGGATCCAGGGAAGCGGCCTTCCGCGGCAGAATTACTGAAATCTTGCCCCAGTTTGACGCAACGAGCCCGTACTTGCATGTATTGATACTTTCAAATTCAAGGAGACAAGAGTCGTTTTCAGAATTGGTTCAGTTGATAGTCAGCGATAAATTGAACAGTCCTGTAGTACCTGTTCCTTTTGATCCATTCTCTGCGCCTCTTGTCAACTAGTATAGTCACTATTTCAAAGCTTTACTACAGCTCACTGTCTTGTCTTGTCATGAGCCAAGTATTTTGGGGCTGCTATCTTTGACCTCGGAAACCTACATTCGCATTGTCATTGTCGCAAATGGATATTTCGTTCTGAGTCACCGACTTGACTCCCAATGTTCCGTTGAATACCTTTGAGCTACCACTCGCCCTTGGTACGCGCTGCTATCTATGCTGCTTGTTAAGCTTTCAAGCGCTTACTCAGTATTTATACTCGAGACTGAAGTGACACGTACGTGATGTCAGAGTCACTACATATTCGGTTAACGCGACACTTGTGAATATATCTTGTAATGCTTACTAGCCTCCATCCAAATCGTTGTCAGTATAATCCCGCTGCTGCACGATTCCACTTCCATTCTCTTATCAGCGTGGAGGGATCTTATCGAGCATCGTCTGAACTCCTTGAACTCGTTTCTATATCCCGTAAAAGGTGTCCGTCTCGTCTTTAAATCCAACGAGATTCCCTGTGATGATGGTGCTGAAGAGCTATCATTGTTTCCCTACATCATGACAAGTCTTTCAAATCTCACCGCCTTCTCCATCAGAGGTAACAGTTGCACCATCCCTTCCCGCCTCTGCCAGTGTTTGCCTTCTTGCCCCAACCTCCGGAGTCCCAGTATCGGTTCAAGGCTACGTCCTGAGTATCTCTGTTTGCGCCGAATGAAGGGTGATATTCTGAAATATATCGACACCTCGAAGTTGAAGAAGATAAGATTGACAGCTGCTTCTGGGCACTAGCTGGCTTCATACCATAGAAAGAAGGAAGTCAAGGTTGAATTTGAGGAAAGCACTAGAATTATGAGCTGTAAATAACTGAGAACTTGCTTGGAGGCAAATCGGGAAACTGCCACCTCGTGACGATCTGAACCCTACCCCAGAGTTCTCATGTTGTCCTACCTCGATCTACCTCGAGCAGTTGTCCTGTGGAATCCACTCTATGAAAACTTACACTTTAATGGTGAGCCTTAGTGCTGATAATCTGCTTCCTAGAACTCAAACAAACTGTACCCAAGATGCGGGACTTTCCTCCTGAACTTGTTGTGGCCATTTTCGCCCATCTTACTTTATCCGAGCTGGTAACATGCCAGTATGTCTGCCATAGCTTCAGAGACATCATCACTGGCTCTGTGGAATTGCAGTATCAGATGGCGCTCGAGAAATCCGGCATGATTCATAACCCAAATAGTGGCATGTGCGCATCGGATTGCCTCGAAATGCTGAAGAAGAGAGAAGAAGCTTGGACCAAATTTGAACCAATATTCAAGAGGAGAGTACATGTAGATCATCGGGAAACAGGCATCTATGAAATATCAGGTGGAACATATTTCCTCGGCGAGTCCAAGCATACCAGCATACCGTTTCTACGACTACCCTCAACTCTGGATGGTGACACTGAGTGGGACAAGCTCCTCGTCGGTTCCGAAATCGTTGATATCGGGATCGCACTTTACGAACACGATCTGTTCACTGCCATAGTTATGTACGGCTCCCTATCGTCTTCCCATTTCAATTATTCTAAAAGCTAATCAAGGGATCCTTCGCCTCACCTCAAGGTGAAGCTATATCAGCTCTCCACAAAGAGCCCTCATCCCCTCGCCCTTAATCACACCATTCCTGTCCACTCTTATCCCGTTGGTAGGCTTTCCGTCGGCGTCGAGATCGTCGGCGACCACCTTGTCCTCGTCACGCGCGAGCATCTTCTCGTGTTACCGGACAAGGTATACATCTTCAATTGGAAGAAAGGTACACTCCTACATGTTATTGGAGCACCCAATCGATGCTACACCTCCTTCGTCTTCCTCGACCCACTGACTCTCCTCCTTCCAAACGCCCATAACGCTACCCTTGAAATATGGGAAATTCCCGAGGGGCGAATGCGTGCCGCTCTGCACCTTCCTCAACTCAAGATTAACATGAGTATCAGCCATATGGCTTGTCGAAGCTCACCCAACCCTGGCAGTCTCAGTACCTACCGACCATTTCACCCAAACCCTGCCGAATCGCTACTTATCTTCCATATTCACATCAATAGCTTTCATGGGACATCTACCGTGGTGTTCCTCGTGCATCGAAATGCCCTTCTCGACGTTCATGAGCAGGGGAACATCGAATGGGATGCATGGGGTCCGCCCTGCACACGGTGGTTTCCAGCCGACCTGATTGACTGGATCACGACGACAACCGGGCATCGATATGTCTTATGTACGCGGCGGGAGATTTTCTTGTTCGACTTCAATCCATGGAGTTTGCGTAGGGCACGCGTTGCTAAAGACGAACTAGAGGCCGTCATTGACTCAGTTGTGCCTGACATGCTTCGCATGGACTTGCCACTTTTCATGGAGCCAGTCGTGGGTAATCTTCCGTTTGTCATGAAATGCCTGTCCCACCGTCACGTCCACGGGGTTCTGATGGATGAGGAAAGGATTATAGGACTGATACGAGACGGCCGCGGTATCACTGACCTCGATGTAATGTATTTTGGTTGATTTGTATTTAACTCTGGCAATACTATCTTTCTTCTCCCGCCACATTCCAGTCATGCCATATGTCCATACTAAGCTCTTTTTAGCAATGGAAATCTTATACCCGGGAAGAAAGGACTACATGTTTCAGTCTCAGAGGACAAATGTCTGCACCGGAGACAACGCCAACGGAGGTCGTCGCGTTCTTTGTACCAATCTAACAGTTTCCCGTCGGCATCTGACATTGGGACTGCTTCAAAATCTTTCTGGGTCATCAAGGTCAAGATGTTGTTCTCCACGTGAAGCGCGTGCTCATCACGGAGATGTCTTATCTGGAAGAAAACAACAATCACAGATAGCTGAGTAGACCGTTTACTCACAAAAGCACGCCAACCATATATAACCTTACCAGACACGAACAGGAACCCGTTGTGTTCACATAATGAGCATTGATAGAGCTGCTCTAGTTTATCCATATCATCAACAGCTGTTTGCTCTGGGTCCCGATCCAAGGCTGTGATTAAGGCGGATACAACAATGCTAGCTTTGTTATTCAATGACAAGTGCTTGGCAGTCCACGCACATCTTCTCCAGCACCATAGAGAGATAGTTGAATCTGGGGGGTCATCCTCATGGAAATCCGACTCAATCACGCTGTACTGGCGCGCTAGGACTTGCGGATAATAAAGCTTTGACTCCTTGCTAACACCGATCCAGGAGTAACGACATCGCGACTCGCAGAAAAACACGTTTCGGGCGAGCTTAAGGAAGGCGACTTTTTGTTCCGTAGTCTGGAGTGAGGAAGGATCTGGATGTCCTACAACTTGAATGAGCTCGTCGTGAATACGGTCACACCAAGCCTGGCACGATGCATCAATTTGTGGTACGATGGATGCAAAACTATGTTCGTCAACGTTAACCTCATCCGGCAGATCAAGAAGTCTTCTGACCGGGTCGAACTTGTAAAAGTCGACGACGTTGGGGAGGATGGTGGTGTACGGCGTGCCAGAAGAAGATAATTTGTATGTTCTTAGGAGAGAAGCTGCGACGGCTTTTCGGGAATTGATCATGGCAGTATGTTCGCGTGCAAGGTGCTTGCCTCGCGTCTGCTCCATGAAATGAATCATTTCTTGACTGATGTTACGCCAGCCTAAAAAATGCTGAATATATCTGCAATACAAGATTATGGTATCTGACACACCTTCTCGGTTAAAGCCCGAGGTTGTTTGACTAAACGATGTTGGAAAGTATCAGGCGCCTTGATGCTTTGGAGGTCTTTCTCATAGCCAAGGTTGACAAGCTTCTTGAATATGCTGCAACGATGTTAGTTGCAATTTGACGGACCTTTCTTCAGTCCACTTACGTCGCAGCTCTACCCATCCGCAACTGGCCCAGCTCTTCTTCTCGATTACGAGTCTTCCTTTATACCACGCTTCACCAAGCTTGACATGCTATGGAAAGAGCACGGCAATGAGGACAGTAGAATATAGATTGAAAGGATCAAGTTGCACCTTCGCCACCTCCTGAGGAAATAATCTCCGCTCTTGACAGAACGTTTTGCGCCGCTCGGACTAAAGAGAAAAATAATATGCTTTCACTTGATCATAGTCTCGACGCAGGTATATTTCCTGGCCCTTGAATGGCTTACGAGCTGACCCCATATATCAGCGCGATTCATAATGGGGTAGTAAGATCCTTTACATGAACGTCGAGTAGGTAGACAGTTCAGAATTTCACTGATACTCTCGCCCTCTGGCATAAAGATTACGTTGTATGGCAGAGCCTCTTGGTAAGAGATGAATCTAGGAGGTTCCAAAGGAATCAGCCGTATTGGCAAATATCAAAAAAACCATTGGCACTGACTGATGTTGGATACATTTACCACATGCGCGCACTCGAAATGCAAAGTCGATTGCATGCACGGTGCCTTTGACACAGAACTAATTGCACATCGGCCACACGTTCCAAAGGGGAAGAAGAAAACATACATGACAGTTAGGTTCAAAGAGAAGGCTGACCCATGCCGACTCAGAAAACCCAGTCATCGGTTCCGGAAAATCGGATGACAATAGTCGGGCATTCTTCCAAATGGCGCATGATGACCAGTTCATCAGCACTGAGCGCAATTGCTTGGTGGAGCGAGCGAGATATGGCAGGTCCAGTGGGTGTAGCAGTTCGAAAATCTAGGACGCGCCGACATGGCTAGGACGCGTAATTACGTGACATTCCTGGGCGCACCTCAAGCCATATGTACAGTGGCATATCCATCAGTCCCTGCAGTTTACCACGTCGTCCTCTAGTTCTCTGCGGGCGTTTCTCCATGTCCACCTTTAGCTCTTCAGTGTTCGACATTCTGCGGCGCTTTGGAGGCATGTTCTGTGGGTGATTGGCTTGTGAGCGACGCAGAAAAACAAAGAAAGCACCTGCGTACAGACGCGTTATTCGCCGATTCTTGCAGTGGATGATGATCGATGATGGTTAGATTCCAAGTTGTGAGAAATCGACCGCGAGAACTGTTTTGTCTCGCGTGGCCTGAATAAGAAAGGCGCCACTTGCACAATAGGTTAGCTTCAAAAATAATAAGTACACTTATTAAGTGGCAGTATACGAGCCCTATATCTACCAAAGTATTTCTACAATAAAGAAAGCTTGCTCTCAGGTTGGTCAGGGTAGGAAAGGTGGTTAGCAAGACTACCAATTCTGAAATATTGGTGCCACAAGGATGTCTATTTGATCTCTTAAGTTAGACATGAAATTGCTGTGCACATTCTTCGGAAGCTTTTGTAACTATATCCTCCCGTCGCTAACCCACGAATAACTCTTCATGTCTTCCTTCGAAGCAAAAAATAGTTTCTTCAAGCGCTCCCCTTTCGGAAGGTCAGGATGAGTGCGAGACGCCAACATCCTGAAAAGCCAGCCTTTGTCGACTTCACTAATCCTGCACGAGAGAAGGATGTTGAGGTGTTTGAGACGAGGAAGGATAACAGCCTGATCATTGGGAGCGATCGCTAGACACCGCAAAAGCTTCTCGATTATCCACCTTCGAGGAGTCAAGACGCTAGGAGATGGGATGTTTACGCCCGGGTAAAGTTCATGAAGAATAAGAGTGGTGATGGTGGGGAAGTTCTCGAGGACCTGTAAGAGCTCGCCTTCGTTGACATTGATGTTCTCAATGCGAAGAGACTTGAGCTGGCACACCGACCGGATGATGAATTCAGAAATCGGTTTTAGATTAAAATTTCCGTTCAGCTTCAGACTACATCCCATAGGGCACTCTTCCGGCAATGGAAGTGCCACCTTCAAGTCCTGCAGCGTGGGAGCTGAGAGAAAGACAGAGCTTTGGCTGCAACGACAGGCGCTGGAAGCAGCCCTCTGCTTTGGCCATTGCTTGTAGCAGTGATTCGGATGTGTCTGAGATTTATGGTTTGAGCAATACATCGAAGAATGCTGGCTGGATTGTCGTGATCAATCAAGCTAAGCATTCTGATCCTTTCAAGGGGAAGTCCGGGGTTCTGAGGATGCTCTATCGCCTTTTGAAATGTCAGACTATTCAATTTGCACGCCGTCATCAGGGCGTCACACTGAAAGGAATCAGGGATGCCGTCAAGACTGGGCCCGTATAGCTTGAATTTTCGAAGATTGGTCAAAGACCGGCCCTTGAGAGCATGAAAGAGTATGTAGTATCCTTCAGTAGTGAGGGAGAGCGTTGCTCTGAACCATCGGTGGGAATGCGTTGCAAGCATGGAGAGCAAGGTGGCATCCGGTGACCCGTATGGAAAGTCACTAACATGGAGCCGGATAGGCATGTCCTGCGAACGATCGAGGTAGAGCTGCACAAAAGCTCGAGTACGTTCATCCGCGTAGGGAGAATTTCTTGGAGTATTGATATATGTCCAAATCTTAGGATAGGAAACTGCGACGCTGCGCCACCTGTAACACACGGAAGCAAGAACAAGGGGTTGCGCTCTATCGCTGAATCCAATGTTTGAGCACAGATAGTCGAAAACGAGGAAGAGGATCTCGGTTGGCACGCTTCTGATTGGGGAGAGGAAGGCATTACTTTGGTCCAAGAAAGCTTGGAGATATTGGCGTCTCTGTTCAAGACGTTCCAAGGCATCACGGTGTTGACAAATTTCGTTGTCATTTTGCTGTAATGGCCTTCGTATAGTATGGATAAGCTCTCGGAACTCAATTTCTGGCTCCAAATTCAACGAAAGGTTGTCTCGATACAACTGGCGCAAATCCGGTGGTAAAACGTGAGAATGAGATGGTTCTTCTCCTCCACAGACGTAGGAAAGAATTTCAACGGTTTCGGTGTCTGAGCCTGTCAAAGTTCTACAGTCAAATAGAAGCTACTCAAGAGAAGAAAATCCTACAGAGATGCTTCATAAAGGTAATGCAGTTGGAGAAAGGGCCCCATCTCTCCTAAATCAGACCCCGATATCTCACTGATTGATTAACAGGCACATTCTTCTCGAAATTAACGCGCCCTGATCTGTAAGGGGAATGAAATGAGGGGATCTACCTCTTTTCGTAGATCAGCCACTAAGGAACACTTGTCCAATATGCCCTCTTTGAGGCGCGTATTAATGGTTGACTGGCCTTGAGTTACTGTAAGGAGACCAAGTGAGAGGCTGATGCCAGGCCGTGACGGTGATGGTTGTATGTGAAGAGTTCTGGCCATCAATCAGAAATTTGATCGAAATTGTTTGAATTATTTAAACTCATTTGCAACTTTTCGTCCATCTGATCCACTTTCGCCTACCGTCGCAACTACCTAGTCAAGTATAGCCTAACTTAATGAAAGTCTCACGGCCGAGTCGGAGTCGATTTCAACCATTTCTTCTGTCATTTCAAGCCCTAAGTATGTAGTACTTGTGATTTTTGTCACAGCAGCAGCTGGGCGATGTGTTGTCGTTGATCAGAAAGCAGACTACTTACGCTTTGAGGCATGAGGCCTGCTGTTTCCATCCTGGTACCAGAACCGCGGTCGTTTTTTTTTTGAGTACTTCGCGGCCTTCAAGATCGCCCGCATCTCCCAGGTTTTTCCCCGCGTCCAAATTGAGGAAGGAAGTTTTTTTTTCTCGCTGTGCCTGGGGACGAAACCAAGACTTGTTCCAGACCTTACATACGTGTCTATAAAAGTGAATTTGTACTAACTCCTTGGTCTAAACTGTGAATAACTATAAGCTCCATTGGTACATTTTGGTCCAAGGCACTAGCTTCGACCTTGAAGCTAAGATTCAGAATGATACAATGCAATATATTTTGGACAGTGAATGCAACAAATGAAAGCAATACATGCGAGCGACTAACCCAGAATGAGATTTATCATGATGAAGCAAAGCAGCCTACGGTGCATTCATCATCTCCGCCGACCACAGCACTAGATCATCCCTCAGCAGCTGGAGGATCATGAGTGAATCCCGCATAGTCGCACTCATCACCGTTTCTTCATTGAACGACGACACAGCATCATCCAAAGCGCTCTTGGCAAGATGACAAGCCCGTTCTGGACTCTGTTTTACATCTGCGCGTAATTCAACGTTTGGAAGACAATTGATAAGAAGGTGCACACCATGGTAAAAGACAGAAAAGTTCAAGGCGAGTCCAAGCCGTGTTGGATGGGTAGGTTCCAGCACGGAGAGTGCATGCATGTAGGCCAGCTTGTACGCCGACAGTGACTCTTCAGCGTATTTGTTCCTTGCCTCTTTCTGTCCTGCGAACTCTGCCAAGTATCGATAATAGTCGCCCTTCCTATGCAAACATCAGTACATCGAAAAATGCAAGGAAATTTTGGCGCAATCACATCTTGAGATAAAACACTCTTTCCTCTCCTGCCTTGGCCCCACGCACCAACTTTCCCTCCAAAAGCCCAACGATATCCTTACACACGCGCTCCAGCTCTGCCTCGATCTTCCCTCGTTGCCGACGTATGAGCTGTGCCTTCCCTCCCTTCCGGGTCGCCTCCATCTTCTCCACAGTATCAACGATGCGCCAACTATTCCTCAGATTGTTGGTGATGTTCTTGTACGCGACAGAAAGGAGGTTGCGCTCATCGAGCGTCAGTTGGGCACCAAAGTGTTGGACGATGAGTTTGATTTGGGTGGTTACATCTACGTTGACATGATTGACTAGCTGTCGAGGATAAGGATACGGACGCACCCTCATACCGCTCCGCCTCTCCAGCTAGTTCGGCGATGAACAGATACTGCATCCGTTTGTCTTGAGTTTGCGCCTTTGAAGGCGACTGTTTTCGGGTGCGGATAGCGACCTAGAGTATAGCAACGAAAATGTTCAATTTTTTGGGGATGTCAAAGAGGGGAAGGGGGTATACCGGACTCATGATATCGATGGGAGGTAAGTTTCGAAATCGAACACATGTCGGGCCGCTTTATCTACGTACGGTACGGTGAGGCGAGGCGGATGTGCACGGAAACAAGTCGAAACTTTCGAAGGTTTCCTTCCATTCATTCCACATTCTCCATTAGGAAAGGGAATGTCCCGGTCATTACCCTTCGTCGGGCGTTTTATGTGAAAAAAAAAAAAGAAAAAAATGCGAGGGTTGTGTGAAATGGACAAGGGTTTCCTCACAGGGACAAAGAGCATAATTTTGAACAAGAAATTCCATTTTACATAGCTGATAACTGTGAATGGACCAAAACTTGGTCTAATTAGTACATTCTACTGATCTTTCATAAATTCCCTGAAGACGAGGGCAAACGTCGATGCGGCCTTCTTCATGGCGTCATGCTGAAAGGGTAAGCATGTCAGCCACTGACTAGGAGACGACCACCAATCAAAGTAGGCACATACATCAGTCATGCTAAAGCTAATACGGAAATGACCATCTCCTTTCGTCTCGTCGGTGACCTCAGACGCAGAGAACATGGATCCTTGGCCTATCCTTCAGAAGCCATCAGAGTTTACTATGACACAAGCTCACCGAAACCGAACACGACGCCATGATCTGCCAACGCGGACCAGAGCTTCAACTCCAACGGCTTGTAGCCAACCGCCGTATATGACGGGTGGTCCTCGAGGTGAAGTTTCAACTACACGCAGATCATTTAATACAGGTGTACAGCGAGAGGCAAATGTGCATACCCAGACGAACATCCCTGATGAAGGGGGCACAAACGAAAATAGAGGCTTCGAGTACCTCATGCTCGATTTCTCACTAAATTGGCGTTCCGGCTTCAAAGAAGCGTGATAAACAAGGGACCCCTTGCGGTGTCCGTTCATCTCAATGGCCATGTCTAACTGGAAGGCATCTGCTAAGGCGTCGATGAAGGCATCTCGTCGCTGTTGGTATTGAAGACGGAGTGCTAGAAAGATTCTAAACCTTATCGATCAATAATATACCGGGTGCAACAAACCTCGCAGCCAACGGATGTAGCCTTCATAGTGCCAGTTGAGAAGAAGCGAAGTCACCATGACCTAAAATAGTGATCAGACATAAAAGATGCAAGGACTATGGTAGTACCTGGGCAAAACCACATGGAGCCTGTGTACTAGTCTCGCCAGCCCTCTCCAAGCGTTCAGCGAACTGGGGACTACAAGTGAACCAACCAAGACGGCATCCTGGCGCAATGGTCTACGAAGCATATGGCTTAGTAGATTAGAGCAGGTTTTCTGACCTTACCTTGGAGAAGGTATCAAGACGGATGACTCGACCTTGGTAATCGAATCTTTAAGATAGAGAGATAAGGGTTAGGCGATGTCATGGAGTCAGGAATCCTACTTCAAAAAACTCGGTGCGAGTTGAGCGATGAACTTCTCTTCTGTTGAAGTCCGAGAGAAGGCGTCTTCGTCTGCACGCTGGTCCTTGGGTACGTAGGGACTCTGCTGGAGGAAATAATATGGGTCGTCCTCGACGATGATGACGTCTGGAGAAGTTAGAGCCATCTTGCATCATAATGGTTATGGAAGACGTACCGAATTCGACACATATGTCATAAATTTCTTTCTTCCGTTGCGCTTCCATAGTCTATAACGATGCATAAGCACGCCATTCTCGTAGGGTGTCTGAATCCTCACAGCACCAGTGGGGTTCTGTCCCACGGGGACGACATACATCACATGAGGTCTGAAAATAGGGCGTCGTTAACATTTTCAGATGTGCTGATAGTAGTTTAAGAACACCTCTTGAAACCTCGTTCAGTGTCATCCCAGGACGCGAGTGTCTCGCGAAGAGAGTCGCTGCGCATCCCCTGTCCATCCATAGCAATTGGAACAGTCTTGATACCCCATGGTCTGATGCCCTAGAATGACGCCAGAATTAGAAAATGCTCGTGATGAGCCGTGACAAAACTGACTGCCAACGCGCTAGGATATGTCCACTGCGAACAAAGAACGCCTTCGCCTTGATTGAGGAGAGTCAATGCAGCCTTGCCCCATCCGTCGGTATTTCCGGCATCGATCTACAAGAGAAATTCAACTATCGGTTGACTATTAAATTGGCATAGTAGATGCAAATATCCACACCAATGTCGTGAAATTCTTGTAACCAGGTTGATAGACCTTCTCACTGAACTCGTGTAAAATCTTTTGGAGTGCAGCAAGGCCGGTGGCAGGACCTATGATGCTATAAGCATGAGATATGACCCAGTTAAATGCGAAAGTGCTCAACTGTATTGTAGCGCGGTCGCCAAGTTGAGGTCTCCGGTGTGAGTGGGCCATTTGTTGATGGTGAAGGACGTCGTCTTCTCCTTCTTGCTCGCCCCAGCGCCGAAAAGTTTCCAGAACCACGAAAAAGAGGACGACGACTGCGTCGTGAGAGGGAAGGAGTCAGGAATTAAAGTTTCCCCAGAGACTGTAGAGAACGGAAAGTACTCGGGGCTAGGGGTGCCTGCACATCATAAAGAGTGAGCTGTTGGACAAAGAGAATATCAGTGACAGGCAAACCTCCAGCCATCATTATGAGCCCTGGCTTGGTCATATACTTCTGCAAGCCCTTCAACGGAGAGACGACCCTGGCTCTGGAAACATCGGAGAGGTGATGGGAAAGGTCAATGGCCTCTGGGGATTTCTCGGAATACATATCGTGCGCGTCGTTGGGTGGAAGAAGATACGTTACACGCCCTTGACTCGCTTATAAACGCTGATGAAGGGTTGATTCATAAGCACATGTTGCCAACCGCCGATAAGCCAAAGATAAGTTCTTTCCCGTCGGCATTTCGCAGCACAGGGAGCCATTCCGATATATCCATTCCCGGTCTTGTATCGTCGAGATATCGATACTTGGAACTTGTAACGTGTCGGCCTGAACGATAACGGAGGCGCTATCAGATGCTTATGATTGGTGTATCGAAATTTGAATATCCAGTGACAAGGCTTCAGTCTGCAGAAGGTCGAGAACTTTGATTTAAACGCTCAGTGGTCCGGTGCCCCAAGGCGCAGATTTTCAAAGGGTAAATTCACAGCAAATGCGATGAGGCGCATACTCAGAAGTCAATGTCAAGGAGCGGCAGACGTACAAAGGACCTTGCAAACAAGATAACCGGATCTTGAAGACAAGCTGCAAACAAAGGCATGCCGTCACCGCCGGCCAGAGTCAAGCTAATCAAGCTCGACAAGTTCACTGGACGGGCACTTTGAAGCAGAAACGTATGTAGACAAGAAAAGGTAAAAGTGCACTTCGCGTATAGAAAGATTGGGATAATCTAGTAAGAAAAAGATCACAAGAAAATAGCGAATCTTATACAGCAAAAGATTCTACGGATGGTTTCATCCAGTGGGAACGGATACGATCCAAGAACCAAAATGGACGTCGGTGGATCGTCCACATTATAGAGAGCGTGTGAATCGCGCCTATAACGGTGGTCGCAATCAAAACAAATATGGCCAGGGTTATCCAAGCAGATGCACGTAGTGAACTTTCATCATAGTCACTCGTGCCTTGCAACGTATACACAACGATGGAAACAGCGAACGCAAGAATTGCCCACACTAGCAGTACGGCGGGAAGACTCAACAACATGGCGTGTCCATAGATTCCAAGCCAGTTATGTTGCGCATTTCGCATATACGTGTACTTTCCAACAAGTTACGATTAGAGCCGTGACGTCAAGGAAGACGAAAATGGGACTCACCGCATCCGTACCTCGTGTATTTCCTTGGTGTCTCCAAATTGAAAACACGCCTACAATGATGCTACCTAACGAGGTGAAGACCGACACTGTTGTTGCCATTTGGCATCCTGGAGAAGCACCCGGGACCGCAAGAAATGATACTGTCGCGCTAACATTACGTCAGGCATACCAACAGAGATGCAAAGTAGAGAAGGAACGGACGAAAGCAATACAGTTGCCTTGACAAAATTGATGGATTAGCGGACGACGATACGCAAAGACTAGGATATTTACAATGAGAAGGAAACTCGAATATTCTCTGACTAGCCTTGAGATATAATCTCCCCAGTTTTGGCGCATGTTATCAAGTCTTCCATTGTATTTAAGGGATTGTCGGAGATACGCAACATACGTTTTCGGGATGCCGAAAAACACCACGTTGATGAGCAAGTGGACGAGAGGAGAAATATAGGGAGATGGCCTTTCTAATGCTGGAGAGGGATTAGGGTGCTGTCTCTCCGCTAGAATGGTATTAGCAGTGCTTTCGGTATAAAGTCCGTGGTATTCAGCATCACGAAAACTGCACACTTCTCGCAGAAACCAAGCAAGAAAAGCAGTCTTTGCAACGCTGCCGGCGTTCTGAGCAACTGTATTTGATAAGTCATGCAGATGAAACGACCAGAGTCAGAAGCGCCTTACGCGTCATTTCATTCAAAACGCCACGAAGGTCCTCGCATTCTGTTTTGGAAAAGGGCACTGTACTCCTAGAGCCGCGTACCAAGTTGTCCGTCTAGAAGGTGTTACTCTGATGTTTCTCAAGTTAAAGGTTGATGGACTGACATAATACCAGGTTAACGCGTCTGAAGCATCTGGAATGGCCCTATCTGGACACCGTATGTGGGAGGGATATCTGCAAACGAAATTCCAATACAATCGACGGTGACGATTTACTGTAGGTACTGTCATCCAGGTCGCTCAGAGTAGAAGTGCCGAACACCTACAAGTGTATGGATCCGTGAGAGAGATGACGTCGTTTCTGACTTCTTGTAACTGATAGGATGCGACACAATGCAAGTGATTGATGACCAGATTCAAAGCAAGAGACTGCAGAGACCCCGGATTGCGATGACCAGACATCTGTACTTCCATCGCATCTTCGAGTTCAGAAAGTGGATACTCGGCGGAATTTAGTGTGAGAATCTCATAGACGTCGGGATCTCGTATATCATAGGCCGTGACAATCTTGAGAGATGGACAGGAAAAATAAAGCCAGCCTTGAGGGTGAATATGTTGTATCCAGTTCTCGGGTATCTTATCTTGGAGTGAAATACCAAAAGCCGGAGACTCTAGTGTAGCACAACTATTAACAAAGCGTATCAACACCAATATTGTTGCAAACCGTAGAAAAACACAAACGAGAGAGGCATTACAACTGTGGGAGTTGTGCTAGAATCAGTGCGAGACATTGTCATGGTATAAGAAATCGTTAGGGAACAAAGCCTTCATCGCGTCTCCGTCAATGGGGCTGTCCGCGATACATAGCCTAAGTGCCTGCGTGTTCCATCAGAAGTATTACTGTCGAAGGTGGTAATCATTATGAGAGGAATAAGCCTAATCTGCGTTTTACCTGCATAATAAATAACAAACAAATTCCCAATTCGGCTCTTGATCACGTCTTTCAATCGTTCGCAAAGCCTAAGAGTACTCTCTGCTTAGCTCTTTGCCTATATTCTTACAGGGAAACAAGTCAGCATGAGTGCGTTTGGTCAGGGCAATAACTTTTTTGCTGGAGGTGGCGCGCCTGCAGCATCAGGCAGTGGTACCCCAAGTTCTTTCGGTGCAAGTGCGTTGCTGTCCTCGTCTCGCCGTATATCTCATTGCCTTTGTTTCTTAGCGAAACCGAACGCCTTCGGAGGTGCCTCAACGAATGCTTCTACAGCTCCTGCTAGTGGCAGCCTGTTTGGAAGCGGAAGTACGAATACTACGACCACGGCGCCTGCCGGTGGGAGTGCTTTCAGTCTCCCTCAGTCAGCTGGGAGCAGCACGACGGCGACCCAACCAACTTCAACCTGTGAGAGATAATTGTCTGTAATTTTGAGTGCCGTAATATGACCTGTTTTTTTTTTGCTAGTCTTCAGCCAACCAGCTGCATCTAGTGGGACTGCCGGAGGAGGACTGTTTGGATCCACACCGAAACCAGCTGGGGACACGTCCGCTGCACCGAAACTGAGCGCCTTTGGAGGAGGTGGTGCTGGTCTATTTGGGAACAACACGTCTGCTGCCACTACTGCTTCAGCTCCTGCTACCTCTGGTGGTGGGCCAGCGCCAAGCGCCACACCAACACCCAACGCCTTTGGTGCGAGCCTATTTAACAAACCCGCAGGAACCGCTAGCGCTGCCTCTGCTGCTACTTCGCCTCTTGTCCCCCCTCCTGCAGGTACATTTACTGACTCCAATGCACCAAAACCCAACCTTTTCGGCAACAGCTTGTTTGGTCAGACACCTGCCCCCACCAATGCTTCGGCAGCGTCATCATCTACGCCTGGTGCTTCAACATCTACCACACAGCCTACCGCTTCGGGCAGCGGTCTTCTGAAGCCAGGCCTTTTTGGTAATACTGCAACAGCGACTTCAACAACAGCATCAACCTCAACGCCTGCGTCAGCGTCGGCCACTACTTCTGCTGGTTCGTTCCTCTTCAGAATGCCTGTGTTTCCTAATTAAAGCAATTTCTCAGGTGGCTTATTTGGTGCTAAACCTGCCGACAAGAAAGAAGGTGCCCGTACGCGTGTCCTTCATGTTGGTGGGGTCTATTCTCATGTCACTTAGCAGCCGCATCTGCCTTTAGTTTACCGGGTTCAAAACCTGATGAGAAGAAGGACGTGCCTGCCGGTAAGTCATTTACAGTCTTTAAAACCTCTCTGATACACAAGGAATAGCGTCATCCTTTGGCTTAGGTGCGAAGCCCGCCGAAAAAGAATGTGACAAACCTTCAGGTAAGGTTTCACACCTTGTTATTCGATCCTCGCATTAACCTTCTCAAAGGACTCACTCCCAGCACGTCAACTGCACCCGTCGCGGTGGAGCCACCTTCCATGCTTAGGGGAAAAACTATCGAAGAGATCGTCAACAAATGGTCAACGGATCTCGAGACACATGTTCGCGAATTTAACAAATTTGCCGGGGAGGTCGCCGTCTGGGATCGAGCTCTTATAGAAAATGGGAACAACGTATGTGCTCTTCACTCGAAGTACATGCTGTCTAACGTGATGTCTACAGTTGGCAGCTCTGTACGGTCACGTCCTGGCTGCGGAGCGAGAACAGAATGAAGTGAACCAATCACTCGATCACATAGAACAGCAGCAAAGAGATCTTGCTGCGACATTGGATGCGTATGAAAAAACTGCCCAAGAGATATTTGGCGGACAAGGGGCAAATCTCAGGTCTATTGATAAAGGCCCAGCTGACATGGAACGGGATAAGAAGTACGGTTCTTCTTCGTTATCTGTTGAGGCCGGACTTTACTGACATTGGATCATAGTTACATGTTGGCCACGGACCTACAAACCAATCTCGACGATCTCTCGGGATCGCTGACACAAATCATCGAATCGGTTAATTCTTTGTCGTTACCCTCAGACAACTCATCTCAGGATCCGATGACTCAGATAACCCAGATTCTAAGCAGCCATTTGGAGAGCCTGCAATGGATCGATAACGCTGTAAAGGAAGTCGATACGAAGGTTACGGAGGTTGAAAAGAAGGTCCGAGAGTCCGGTCATGGATCTTCTCTCAACAGCAATACCAACTACAAGTCAAGGGGCTTTAGTCTTCGATAAACTTTACATGAGGAGTCATGGTCATTGCTGTATAAAACATATGTCTCTCTATGATAATAGCAAAGCGTATGTTACATAATAAAGTCTAATAGGTTACAAGACGCTGTATCTTCCCATCGTGGCAGTAGGATTGCGCATCTCTGCCTGTAACGCAGCTGCAGATGCTTCGATGAGCAACCGCTTGATTTCTCTCACGGCTTGTTCGACCTAACAATCGAATTATTAGCTATCCGTTCGGGCAGATGAGAACAACTACGACGAACCCTGTACTCCTCATTGGATTCAACCAGAAGATGCAATTTCGGCGGGCCTTCCAGAGGCGGCTCCTTGCCACTCTCATAGTAGATACCTATGATAGCGTTAGCATGTGCAAGAAGAACCTGAACGCCCAGCGCACCTTTGTTGGTTACTGATGCTCCCGTCATATCGATGAGCTAGAGAGGAAGATGGATTAGATGAAAGATTGCGAAATCGTGCATCACACTTACCTGAACCATCGTCTCCTTGTTAGTAACCCGCCACCTCGCCTTTTGAGGATAATCGTTGATAGGTATAATGGCATGGAAATCAGAAGAATCGGAGCTGCTAGTAGGAAGCTTCTTTGGACCCCCACTTTCCTCCAATTGAATCTGGGACTGCAAAACCAGCCTTTGCGCCCGTATTTGGGCGTTCAGTTTGGACACAACGCTCAATGCTTGCTTTTGAGCAGGAGTATCCTTGCCAGCCCGAGCAGCAGCCTCTTCGGCAGCGCGCATCTGAGCCTGCAGTTTCTCTTCCTCCTTTGCATGTGCCAAACGACGAGCAGCGGCCACCGCACCACCAACCCCAAGAAGACCTTTCGACGAGTCTGGTGCAGGGCCCCTCTTGATCTCGACTTTGAAGTTACCAAAGGTCATATCGTCACCATTGGAAGCAGTGGCCTTTGCAGTTGCCTCTTCAGCGCTAGAGGTCTTTTCTTCATCTGGTTCACCGTAAGCTTTACGTTCAGCTTTCTCCCTCGCGTCACGCTCCTTATCGAGTCGATCAAGACCCTTTCCACCGAATCCAGAGCCTGCAGCATGTGCCTTCCCCGTCTTGAGTTTGTCAAGAAAACCTGCAAAGAGGTTCAGTTCAATGGACCAGGCAAAAATTATAGACTCGCCATTAGCTAGCTCTTCCAAATCTTTAGGAACGGCAGCATTGCTAGCCTTCAAAGCACGATAGATATCCACTGAGTATCTATCTTGCTCCGGTGTTATGAATGTCACACACGTGCCCTTGTTTCCCGCCCGACCGGTCCGTCCAGCACGATGAACGTAGTCCTCCATATGGTTGGGTGCATCGAAATTGATGACCAACTTCAGCTGCTTAACGTCTAAACCCCGCGCGGCCACCGAAGTAGCAATGACGATAGGAATGACACCGGCTTTGAAATCAGCGATAGTGGAATCTCTATCGACTTGGTCCTTTCCTCCATGCAAGGACATGCACAGATACCCCTTCCTCATGAGTTCCCGAAGCAGATTATCTGCCGCTTCCTGCCTGTCGACGAAAACTAATGTGCGGCACTCAGGATCCTCGTTATACATCTGTCCAAGAATTTCGAGGAGTCGTGTAAATTTGGATTCTTCCGGACGAACTTCCACTATCTGCTCAATCTCTGCAGCCACAACAGAACGGCCACCGACGGTGATCTCCAAAGGCTTCCGAAGGATCTTGCGTGCCAACGAATCCATCTGCTTCGGGAACGTGGCCGAGAACAGCACCGTCTGACGATCAGGTCGTATGTTATTTACAATTTTCATGACCTGAGGTTCGAATCCCATGTCAAACATGCGGTCGGCTTCATCGAGAACGACATAGGTGATTCGTTTGAGATTCGTCACTCGCCCAGAGTTTGCCGTCAACAAGTCAATCATCCGACCGGGGGTACAGACAATGATTTCCGCACCCTTTTTCAGCTCCGCAATCTGGTCCTTAATAGGTGATCCTCCATAAGCACACACAGCCTAAGAGAAGATCAGCGAGCAAAAACAAGAGTAAACGAGCATATGACCCACACGCAAGTTCATTACTTTCAAAAAGGGTTTGCACTCTCGATGTATTTGTACTGCCAGCTCTCGCGTAGGTGTCATAACAATGGCAACCGGACCTTCCATTTGTTCTAGCGGGCGCTGGTCCTTTATATGACGGAAAAGAGGCAAGAGGAATGCAATGGTCTTCCCTGAACCTGTCTTTGCGACACCGATGACATCTCGGCCAGACATGATGGCAGGGATGGCCTGAGCTTGAATCGAAGTTGGTGCTACATAATTCAGACGTTTGATGACTTCGAGACTACCCAAGCAATGATTACTATCTAGAACGGTATCAAAATGTAGAAAGCTCACCAATTAGCTGGTAAACCGTAGTGACTCCATTTCGTCACTGGACGAGGGCAGTCGACACCCCTGATCTTGATGCTATCCAGCTCAAGCCTTAATAACTCTGCTTCCTCGTCAGTCATGGCCGCAATGTCTGGTGGAGGGACGTAAAACTCCTTGCGGAAGGGCTCATACTTGACGCGCGAATGATCGACTGAGGCCAATTCTTTCTTCTTAGCTTTTTTCGCAGCTAAGGCCAAGATATCCTCAGGATTGAGTTCCGTTGTATCGAGCTCATCCACAATGACGTTGTCTTCAACTTCATCCGCTTCCTCATCTGCCATTCTCTCGTCCAATCGAATGCGCGAATTTCTACCGTTGTTGCCGCCTAACATCTTCTTCATGTCCTCCATGTTAACCTTTTTCACTTCCTCTTTCACACCACTCATGAAGGCATCCAAGGGATCAGCATCGTCTTCCTCATCCACATCCATCGCATCCTGAGCCTTTTTTTTGCGAGCTTGATCCAGACGATTAGCTTCTTCGTCGTCGTCATCGACCTCCAAATCGCCAACGCTTGCTTCTCCTTCAGCCATAGTCATGTCAACAGCAGGCATGTCACCGAGGGTTTCGAGCTTCCGTTTCGTCTCCACCGAATCATCCATAGACGCAGCAGTTTTGTTCTGCTTCGCAAACTCTGGCTTAAGTGGTAGTCCTTTTAAGCCAAGACCGCCAAGAGCCGCACGATTCAGCTGCCCGGTTGGTTTGCCGGTGTCGGTCATAACTAAGGCATGATCAAGTGGTGTGAAATCAAGTTATACATGAGAGAAGAAGGGCACATACCTGGCGCAGTTTTACCCGCTAGCGCCATAGCCTTAGCCTTAGCTTCACCGAGCGCTTTTTTGGCATCCCGTTCCTTCCGCCAGCCCTCCAGTTTTGCCCGACGAGCTTTGACCTTTTCGTCCTCTAGGGGCGGCGGGGTCGCAGCAGCATCTGCGGTGGATTGAGACCGAGGAGGTGTAGCAGGACGACGGTCTTTAGAACGTGATCGTCTGCGTTCGTCCCTTCTGTCGTCGCGTCGGTCGTCGCGTCTGTTGTCCCTCAGGGCCTCTCTCCGTCGTTCTTCCCGATGTCTTTCATCACGAAGACGCTCGCGTTCCCTTTCCCTTGCACGGTCTCTATCTCTGACATCCCATTCTCCGTCCCGGTCACGGTCCCTGTCGTCCTCGTACCGCGATCTGTTACCCCTTTGGCTATTGCGCCTAGTCGGCGACGGTGACCGAGGTGAACGGTGAGAGTGTCTTACCCGTTTATTCGATGAATCTGGGGAGTACGACCTATCCCTGCGCACCATGACCGCTTTTAGAGGTGGGTGAGAAGAAGAAAGAGATTATTGTTTGCATCTATTTCCCTTAGAAGCTCTAGACCCAAGTTGCTGACCAATCGACGCGGTATCTTGTTTCTGCCCCTCACTCGACTCAAAAAAAGTCACTTGTAGTACGCTGTCTTTGCAGGTATCGTTCATCAGTAGAACTTACTGTTACTAGATACACTCATGTCCAAAGATATCCTTGACCCTGCTGCTCTACTCTCTCTCTTTCCTACGTTACTTCCTCCTTCAACGAGAGTCCTTGCGTCGCCTCAGGATGGTATTGCTGCGCTCTTGCATACGGTCCTGTCAGCCCTATCCTTTCGACTTGTTGGCGTAGACGACTCCGCAACTTCAAGTCCCTACTCGAATAACGTCCTTCCAGTTGAATGGAATAAACACAGTCCTGGAAATTTCACATTTCGCTACAAGCATGATCAGAGCAGCCTTGAGTTTCTGATAAAACTATCCAAGCTTGGAGTACGGATGGTGATCAATGCTATTGCGCTTGAGGTATGTCTTTGACATTGCCCTTGATTGCAACCAGCTGATAGCATTCTTTTAGAGTGACAAAGCTGCATCGCTTGATATCGCCATCAATGACTTTACATCTGCATCCTTCTTTCCTCATGATGTCGATGCATCCGATGCGCCGCCTCTTGTGCACGGTTTTATATCTTCCAATCGCGTGACCGATTTAGTTTCTCAACTAAAGCTCAAAGTCATCCAAGCGCTTGTTCCAGGGCTGAGAAAGGAGGGCTATACTGAGGTGACTGTAAGCGAGACGGCGTCTTCCGCTCGGAACGAAGCTCCGCGGGCTGCACAACCCCCGCAGATTCCTCGATATAACCCCGACGAAGAGTTTCCTCGCCGCTATCCCTCGTCCCAGCTACCGCCGCGGAACCCCCTTGAAATTGGTAGGAGGGACTTGGATCCATTCCCAGTGAATCCTTTTAGTCCGCCTTCCTTATTTTCTGGCGGAGACGATGACGGGATGTTCGTTGGCCCAAACCATCCTATTCTAGGCGTTGGAGGGCGAAGTGAAAGGGGGCAACGTGGGCCGTGGGGTGGAGACGGATTTTTGCCGCCTATGGGCGCTCCGCCTGGTGCTCGGTTTGACCCTGTGGGCCCGGGTATTGGGCCCTTCCCTGGCAGAGCAGGCAGAGGTCTCCCCGGTCGCGGTAATATGTGGGGCCCTGACAATGACGAATTCCCGCCTCCTGGCTCGGTGCGTTGCAATACTTTTGGTTGCTGCTAAGCTCATGCTTGGTTATATTTCCAGCGAAACGACAATATGTTCAGCTGAAGGGACTGGTGATTTGTAATACTAAATTAAAGATGTGATGTGCTATTATTTGAGAACTGGTCGGTTGTTCTCAGTACCAGTTCATTTGTGTATTTTACTTGTTACATTACCACAACAATGCTGTTGCGGCCGGAACCGGGAGAGCTGTGCAGCAATATTGACTGTAGTTGTGGCGTCTAGATGCCCGGAAAGGAAACTGCTGTAGCCTCGTGGAAATCTATAAAAGCCAGAAACGTTTGACTGTGAGCACCATCCAGCATTCCCCATTACAACCATGTATTCACCGCCTAGCTCTCCCCTGTCCCCTACACGACCACAACGTGTGATTCCACACGGGTTTTTGGCCCCTCCCAAGCCCAAGCAACGTTCTGTCCAGGAGATGTCCATACGTGAATTACACGATCGGTACGACAACAACGCTAAGATCCTTGCTTCACCGTATGCACTTTCTCTCTTCGGCATCGACCCTTCTGTTGACGTACTTGTATTTAGAGGCGCTTCCACATCCAATCACATACACAGAATCTCCGCGGAGCAATTGGAAATCCAAGCATTACTAGCGGAACTCGAAGGAGTCGATAAGATAAACGCCGTTATGAGAAACACCAGAATCAAAGACGAAGATGAAATGGACGTCGAAATGACACCCGAGCCACATGTGAGCAGGATTATTGAAACGAAGCGCCGAGTTCTGGCTCGCAGATACGTGCGTGCTGTTGCTATCAGCTATATTTTTACCGGTTCTGATTGGTCTATAGGGTCCTGCAGAAGGGTCATCTGCGATGGGTACCCTCAGTATGGACGAAGCTATTGAAATTGAACAACGTCGGCATGCTGCTGACATGGAGCGCCGTCAAAGGATAGAAGAGAAACAGCGGCGAATTCGTGACATGCGATATGGCGACATGTCCAAGGAGGAAAGAGAAGCAAGGATATTTGCCTTCATGTAAGATATCTTTCCAGCCTCCCACCTTCCGATACTAAACATCCTTTAGGAATCACAAACCAACCGACTCTGACATGGAGGACGACTCCGATGAAGATGATGACGATGACGACCCATCATCTTGGTTTGAGGACGACCAGGATGATGGCAGAAAAGGCCAGGATATCATCGAACCCGATGAAGAGGACTATTACGACATCATTCGGGTAGACGCTACCAAGGTTCGGTATAGCACATTCTATGAACCACGGGACGACGATTAATTAGCAGCAAAATCTTTCCTGAATTGTGTGTATCATTATAACTAGTAACACAGCTGTCGTGTAGTCGTAGTAAATGTATCGTTACTTGATTAGCGAGCATGTACGGGACAGCTCTTTCCGCGCTGGAGCCATGAAGAAAGGCAAGCTGAAGGGAATTCGTGAGCCACCACGCCGGATAAGGGATTCAGAGAACACAAACTGTTGTGGAAACTGCATAGACAACTCAAGCGTGCGACCACGGAACCTACGTCGCAGAGTCACTCAATCAGTGATAGGAAAAGATCCAAGTGAATGTCATTTACCCTTAGCGAATTCTTCCAGACATATTACACCTTGAATGAGACACCATCAGCATCATCACAAAAGAGAAGAATAGAATACGCCCACATTCAACACCGATAAGTGTACTTTCTGCTGGTAAGCTATAAACAAGATATTTGGCAGTCTGAGGCGTAGTCCCTGATCCACCTTCCAGGCAGTTCTTCACATGGGCCTCCTGCTCCGATGCGTTCCCAATAGCATCAAGATTCCGATTACATACTGGACACCTACATCAAGGACATTAGACGAAATCGTCACAGCTCCCAGATGCAGGGATGACACATACTCAGCAAGATCACTCAGTTGCGAACTGGTATCCCCTCTTGACAGGGGACTGGGTATCGTCAGCAGACCTTGATCAACGAAGACACGTTCCATGGAGTTGACGCGCATGCCTACAAGGCTACTCGGTACGTTCCCGTTCACCTCGTCATGGCAGCCACAACAGACCCTCTGGGAACTGGACGTCGCTACGCCTTCGGGAAAACCTGGCTCTTGCACAATATCTGATGGATCAAGCAACACTCTATAGGATGAACATCTGTCGCAGAAGATGCGTCCGCAACGGCGACAATGCTGGCATACGTGAGAACCCAAAAACAATGCACGATAATGGATACATACGTGCTAAAAACCGTCAAGTATGGCACATCAAGGAAAAACAAATAACACATACACGTCGATTTAAGAATGTAAACCTTCTCTGACAGTCCCTACATTGATAAACATCCTCGTCTTTCTCCCAGCGATGTATTTGATGACGACTTGGAGATGCCCACCGTGCCACCTTCTGTGGCGCTTCATGAGTGGGCACCCGGAAATCAGGGGCCTGCGATAGCTGAGGAGTCAAATCAGTTGGTACACGATTTGTCGAACGGAAACCCGGTTGACTGAAAGAGCCCGTCGAATTGGACATCCGGGATGAGGAACGCAACGTTTCCAAGGGTGAGGCTCCTGGGTAATGGAACTCGTCGTCTGAATCATCATCATCATAATCCTCGTGTTCCTCGTCATCTCCTAAGAAACAGGAATTCAGTGGCTGCTGAATCGTGTGTGTGATGAAAACATATCGTCACCTGAGATAAGGAGACCATGAGCACCTGCTGCTAGCCTTCTTCGTTCAAGATCCCTGCTATATGCATTCAGCAGCACTTCGGCTTGTCTCTTCCTATCAACATCGTCATCACCTGGAGAAATTTCACATCAGAATGCCATGCCAATATTCACATGCAGATAAACACGCACCCAGTATTCCCTGTCTCAGCTCCATCGTTGCACGTTCAAGCTTAGCAATCGCCCGTCGAGCATCGATGGCAGATAACGAAGCCGCATCAATATCACGAGATGATTGTGTTCCTACCAGGTACCTGGCCCTCCCGACATAATCTTGTGTTGATGATAAAAACGACTGCATCTGCCCAAGCTCCTGGCCTTCCGAATCTCCTTCTGCATTATCTTGACTATCATCGATGTATGGTATGAGATCTCCCTCTCCATCCAGATGGTACATTTTACCATCGGGCTGCAGGAATGGCAGGGGCGGGATATCCAATCTCCTACGCATAACACGTACCCATCTTCTTCGCCGGACCCAAGTGTGGGGCGCATGAGGAATCGATGAAGAGGAGTATGATGACCGTCTCGACGAAGACCCAGCCGCACCCAAAATGACGCTCCCGCTCCCCGTCAAGAGCCTTACTAGCTGCGGCGGCCTCTCTGCCGACCATTGATCCTCAGGGTCATTGAAATGGTGCGCGTACTGCCAACCGTCTTCCACGTCGACTCCTGGATGGGTCATATCCAGCGTCCAATCCGAACTACAAAGAGTGAGACGTCAAGCAATGTGTTTTGTCAGACTTCTCGGACATACAGCCAGAAATGACTCCGCTCCGCTCCTTCCAGTGCGTGCCGCTCGTCCGATCGAGGAAGAGGAAGCTTCCAAGGACTATTTCGGAGGGGCAGCTGCACGTCGCTGCGCCATGCGGCTACGTCGCCCACGTTATCGTCCGATTTAGGCATTCTTAGTTCGAAGGGCGGTTTCCGACCTTGTTTTCCTAAGCCTGACACAGAGAATTTAGGCCTACCTCCAGACACCGCGAGCGTTTTGAGACGTGTATCCAGCCTTTGATTCTCATACAGGACAAGAGCAACAGTCGTGTGAACGGCGAGAGTGTCATAAGATACCGTCGTGTTCCTCCAACGTTCCGTTTCAGCTCTCTGTAAAACCTGTAGAGGTATAAATGAAATTTCAAATATGGCATTTGATTTGGTATACGTACCTCGCAAATCCAAACCTCAAAAACCGCTGCGGCTGTGTCATACGCCGTTTCACCCCAGTTATTGCGAACCAAAGGATTGGCAGATTGTTTAGTAAGAAGATACAGGACGACGGGAAGGTGGCCCTTGGACGCAGCATTCACTGAAGAGGATAAGCTTGAATAAATGGTGCTATTGAAATGAACTGACTTAGAGGTGTCCAACCTCCCTTGCTTCGGGCGTCTATATGCCGCGTGCCATCGGAGTGTAAGTCTGCGCCTCCATTCTCGCAGATGCAGCGCACAATGTCGAGATAGCCTTTTGAACAAGCATTGTGAAGTGGTGTCCATCCGTCATCATCTTTAGCGTGTACGTCCGCCTTGTCTGGGAGAAGATAGCGGACGATAGGCAAGTGACCATTTAAAGAGGCTTTATGCAAGGCGGTCTAAAACGAGTGAGTGTGCCACCAGTGTGAAAAGCAAGTGCTCCGCACCTCTCCTTCCTTATCTTCCAGGTCTGGCATGGCTCCACAATCTTCCACCACTAACAGACCATCAGATTCGAGCAAAGAAACAACTGGAAATGGAGCGTACACCAAACGACAATATCCAGATGGCCTCGGCTAGCAGCCGCATGCAGGGTTGTAAAACCGGTACGCGACGATGCAACATTTGCTAAACTAAAGAATTCGATATTCCCTGGCTCAAGTGCCGTCGAAAAGAGCTTTTTTAGAAGTGGCAGGTTGCCTGATGAAGCTGCTGCAAAGAGTGCTTCAAGCTGAGCAGGTGACGGAGCAGGTAGCGTAGGGACGTGTTCGTTGTCTTCAGTCGTTGAATTCGGCGCCTCTGCACCAGGATAAAGAAATTCTTCGTCTTCGGAATCGTTGTCTGACTCTTGGTCGTTGCCCAATTGAATACCGAGACCTGAAGATTTAGACGAGTGTGTATCTGATAACCCGGACCTGCTACGAGAGATGAGAATGAAGGAGAAAGGATAAAATCAACGTACTCTTCTATTGTTCCCAGGTGAGGTCGTCCCACTGCAACGGCCGTCATCATCAAGTAATTTGAAGAGGATTCAGATAATGTTCTTAGAGGAGTGCACCGCGCTTTGGTACCGTGGGAATCCACTTCCTAATCAGAAAGTTTATGTACATCACTCGGAGCATCATCTGAGTTATACCGTGATCTGAATGACAACGAATATTTTATTTACAGATAATGTAGACGTCATTATTCACAGTTTCCTCCCCTTCCCGTGTTCTTCTCTTGGAACAGAGACGCGGCTCGACATCTGTCAACATGAAATAGTATTCATCTTCTCCTATCCCATGGTTCTTCCACTCTCTTCCAGTTCAAAAGAGAACGATGAAAAGTTCATTACGCGTACAGCGGGAATGTGACGAGTAAGGAACCACTACGAGTCTGTTCGCGCGCGCCTCATCGCAGTTGCGACAGCCTTCGCATCTTGCAGCATACTTGGGTTTGAGGGTGCCGTAGAATCATTGCGAGTTGGTCAAACATCTTGACGACGCAGATCAAGGAGCCCTTTCATGAGGAGCTGGACGTCGAGCACGGCATCAATAGCACGGCTCAGAGGTGTGTCCTGGGTGTTCCGTACGGGAAACGCGGTCTTTACTTCAACCTCCCAGAGAGTATCAGCGGATGCAGGAATAGGTTCTTGTGTTTTGGGATCAATCTACGTATGGCATTAGCATAATACAACAGGATAAACAAAGAGAACGTACTTTTTCCTGCTGGAACATCTGAATGACCAGCATCCCTCTCCTGAAAACATATCCTCTCTTGTATATCTGCGACCGCCTCACGTACCCCAGCGCACATGCGAAACACAGCGCGTCTCCGCGAACATGAACAGTCGCCCACGGGCGTACCGTCGCCTCTGGATGCGCACGGACGCTCTCTGGTGCCAGATAAGAGAAAAGAACCCAGCCCCCATCGGGATCCATGAGATCCTTACGCGCACGCAGCAGAACGGGCTCGGTATCGCGGTTGACGGGCTCAAAAACGACCTCACGAATATGCATCGCAGCCGAAGATTCGGAATGTAGTGTGATGCGGGCAAGAATGGCGGTAAGATCTCGAGCAAAGAATTCACCAAAAAGAGCGACTTCGTAGGACATCGGTGGTGGTAGACGAGACTGATAGACTTGATAGACAAGGATATGTCACAAAGCGTGACGCAGACGGCCTTGAAGATGGCTCCCATTCGCATCCACGCAGTTGCGTATATCTCTGCCAATAATCACCCAGTGCTCATCAGGTCATTTATCGACAATGGGAATGCTCTCAAGTACCATTATATCGCCCACACTGCCCTAGATGTTATAGAAGAGCGAGGTATGCAGTTGGGTGCCATCGCAGCCGTTTTGACCGCCAATCGCTCGCAGTGAACGAAGCGAAGCATCCCTATCTTGGCCTTCTGTATTCAATTGACGACGTCGCTGTCTATGCCTATATGACGCCTCTCAACCTCAAGATTGTTCTTGCTCTTGCTCTCGCAGACGCAGTGGTTCCCGATATCAAGGTCCACACGGTGCGCATACATGGCAGCCATTTCGTATTTTTTGTGACACTTTGCGATAGATCTTCAAAGCCTTCCATATGGCTTACTATCATGCTGTATCGAACCCATTCCTTGACCTGGACCCAGCAAACCCTGTTCCACTCAACTCGCCCAAATGGAAATTTTTTACCCGACAATTGGACGAGATTTGTGCTGTCGTAGGAGCCGGAGTATAGCGGTCTGAATGGGCGTTCGTTGTAGCCCTCTACACCGTCGTCAGAGTTATGGTGTCTAGTCCAGGCAATGGAGCTCCCTTGGGATTTCACTCTACGGCCTGCGACCCCCTTTCCAGGTTACGGAAGAACAGGGAGAAGCACCAACAACAGTGATGCCCTTTATTGACTCTCCTGTTTTGAGATCACAACTTCAGAGACAGATACGGGGCAGACATTGATAGTTTTCACTACATACTCTTATTTTCTTTCCGAGTTACCACATGAATGGAAGTTAGTTATGTACAAATATCCTATGAGCAGGTCCTAAGTAATCTAAGTATGTAAGAAGTGTGGTCTATTCTACACCAGTATTGGTGGCACACTTGTACTACCAGATCCATGACCAGAACCGGTAGAAGTGCCATGAAAGGCCAAACGATGGCTTGTACGTTCGGCGTCGCAACGAGGCGGGACCTATCTCTGCTATTAATGCATCCAATTCTTCAAGCGCGGCCGCAGCGGTGGGACGTTCATCTGGATCGGGCGCCGTCATCTTCAGTAAAAGGGGTTCCAAGTCCTCCATGCCGAGATACTTCTTTATGCATAGGGTCAGACAAAAGAATACATGCCTTGAAACAGCCCACTTGCCTTCATCTCCTTTAAGAACGCATTGCCGAGTGTATAGATATCGAGCTTGAAGGGATTATATGGGACAACTTCCGATATCTCGGGCATTGAATGATCAGATCCATAGGTTCCCGTTACACGAGCCTTTTCTATGCCCTCTGGACAATATGTCGTGGTTTCGAAATCTATAAAATAGTACCGTAGAGAGCCAACTTCGCAACGATTATGGGGATCACTGGAGTATAGATTGAGGAGAAATGGAAAATGCTGGCTCGCAAGAGAAAAGCCGCCTGGCATCAAATCAGATACATCCATGGTCATATTGATCATAGCTGCATCCCTGAGGAAGAACATGATGAGGACAGACTTTGCATAGAACCAAATGCGCGAACCTGTGAGCGTATTTCTCTCGATGCATGAATACCAGACCCTTAGATGTGATCATCAGTCATTATCCCAAAAATATAGCGGTGGCAAATGTGAACGAACCTCGAGAAATTGTCGTAGAGCCTCGAATACCTCCGCACGACAGTGAAATGCAGGTTTCCACATGTCGTGGAGCAAAGGCATGACAATGATAACACATTCACTTTCTCCTGGAAAATCGAATACATCCCATATTGGAACACAGTGATTGCAAGAATCAACTTTGGCTGCTAGAAGTGCCGCTTTCTTGGCCTCTTCTGTGTGTATTGAAGTTGATTTGATGACAACGCCTTTGTCATCCGACGCCCTCTTTCCCTCGATAACATTGGGGTGCTTTAAAGTGATGGTAAAATGTAGGTTCGAAAGAATGGATAGAACACGCACGACAAGTGGGAAGCTGTCCACCGCATATTCATAAGGAATGCCATTAGATCCTTGCCACGAAGGTTGCCAGTCAGGCTGGAATCGCGGAGGCAACAGATACCCTTTCGATTTGAGAAACGGTTCGATGCCGACCCACCGCATCTCTGCTTTGCTCCGCTCTCCGTTGTAAAGCCGTTCTTCTTTTTCATATTCGTCATCGGAATCGTCTTGACAGGTTGGGTCAATGTCAGCAGCAGCGCCGTAAGGTGGTAGTGAATATTCGCCCATGATGGGGGAGGAAAATACAATATCAGCGGAGCTATTAAAATTCAAGGAGGCGAATAGGAGGAAACTGAGGTTGATCGATGCTGTGCCACGGTATGGCGGAAATATTAACCGGGATTGTGAGTTGCTACTTATTGTTGCAAGAAATCCAGCAAGGAATTATTATGACACATCGAAGAAAGAACGTTTGTTCCCCTTCGTAGAGTTAGTTATTACGGATGGTGTGAAATCAACCCATTGACCTAGAATCCACCGGGTAAATATCGGCAGGAGGTGGGGAAGGAAAGAGGTTACTCCCGGGCCTTAAAATCTTACGGCCTTGATGACGCGTATCGTTAATCCATGGAAAGGCGGAGGAGAACGGCGTCGGTAAACGCTCATGGCAGGCAAGGAACATAAACCGTCACTGAATCCAGTTTCAAGAATGGACCGCTTCCTCGTCTATCTCTGAATCACCCCAATCAACCTCCGCCTCACTACCTTGGTCACTCCCTTCACTTGAACCATAATCTCCTAACGCAGCCATACCACCTTCTTGAGTGATATTTTGGGTTGGTTTCCCCTCGTCCTCACTACCATATCCATTCAGAATGCCCTTTAACACGCCGACAGCCATTCTCTTGGGTTTCTCCTCCCAAACATCGAACGTCGGATACTCGACAAATGTGACGCCCTTCAATGCTTCTCCGAGTGTCTTGGATCTGTCTACGGGCTCATTTTGACCTCGAAGCACACACCACGAGGATGGATGAACATCAATAATATCTGAGAGAACAGTATCGAGTTTGTTTCGGTGTGTCAAGATCGCGGAATGCGTCGTTGCAGAAGTGTGCTTTCTGACTTCAACGGTAAGATATACGATTTGTGTCCTAGGGGCACCAAATATTAGCTCTGCAATAATAAATGGGAATCGCATGACCTTGAATCCAAAGTAGATTGATTTAGCTTTCTTCTGGACATTCCCATCGGAAGCAGGTCCATTGTAATATCCAGAGTTTCAAAGTAACTTTGCAGAGCTTCGCGCCTGCCTCCCCTAGACTTTCCCTTTCCTTTCCAGCCGCCGTACCCAGAGCCATCCTTACTCCATTGGCCTGTCTGATCTTATTGTCAGAAGTGAGAAAAACAACAAGACAGAGGACAGAGTCTCACTTTTCTGCCAACATCCTCCAGATATGTATAGTCACGCATCATTTCCCCCCATCCGTATTGATTCATTGGAACGTATTTGACTTTATTCCGCTCGCCGGTGCATTGAGTACGTTCTTTGTGCATCTTCGAGCAAGGGAGAGAGCAAGTGGGTGTTTCGCACCCAGGACACGTGTATTTCGTTGGCTTTGCATTGCACACAGGACAGATTTTCAACGATGACGAGCTGGCGACAAATGCCATGGTAGGGAGAACAGAACCGTCAAAGCACGTGAACCAGCACTTCGGCCCGCTAGTAGTACTGCAATCTTTCCGCAATGTCGGTTGTCGACAATAACTGCCAACAACCACATCCTGCGCTTAACTAAGGCACACTCCCTGTGCTGTACCAATCGTGGCGTAAGTATGAAGGAACACACTGGATGTTCGCCTCTCTGTAGTGCAAGATGAATTCAATTCACGGGGATGTGTAAGACCCCCGTCGCATGCATTTATCTGTTCCGGAGTTACGCGTATGGAAGAGCATTGCATACAAAGAAACTATCGAACCGACTCCACAAATGCCTCTTCCAAATGCTCCAGCTGCTCTCCAACTTCTCTTGCCATAACCCTAACAACCCCATCTCCGTCAGTCGCAGAGAGATACCCAAGCGTCACCTTGGCTCTCCTTAAGACATCTGCCTGCCATATTCGCCTCTCATACCCTATATCCTCATCATTATAGACAGACTTGGTTGCTTCCCTCACCAGTACACCTAAGAACCTCACTGCTGCCCGTCTCATCGGTGGGAATTTGCTATCAGCCTTGGTGGGATTCTCATCCATACTTTTCTCTCGGTCGCCCTCCTCCGTTTGCACACTTTCCAGCTGAAGCAGATCAACCATTCCGCCCACAAGATCTTGGAAGTATAACGCAAGTGCCAGTGCATGTGTGGCGGCGCACTCGCCCAGTAAACTGATAGCTGACGTACGCAACGTCGTAGGCATTTCACGCATACGGACAACATGCAGAAGGATTGGCACGATAATATCAACTACACAGCTGTCAGTAATATGGAAATAAGATGGTCAAAGGACTAACCATAAGCACCTAATGCGCTACCACAGCGTCTTATGACCATTCCCAAAGCCTCCCCGATTCTGACCCTCGTGTCTACCTCGCTCCGACTCCACACATATCCTCCGGACATCCCTTTAGCGTAGTCCCCGACCAGCCCTCTGAGGACCTCTCTGCCCCATCTTCCACCCTCAACCATTCCGGCCAGCCCCTGCACTCCGTTCAGGTACACATATGAGTCTTCATCTTGCAGTGCTTGCAAAAATATTGCTAGCACTGCTGGTATCAGCGCTTCTTCCATTTTTCCTCCCTTCGCCAATCCTCGAAGAAGCAACAGCCCATGTGCACGTACAGGTAATATAGGATCCTGCAAGAGTTTGAGAGCACGCTGATACGTCTCTCGCGCCTCCTCGGCGTCGTCTTTGGTTTTCCTTTTGCTGGGAATGGCAGTAGACGTAGATGCGAGTCGAGCAGTCATGACCATCCTCGCTTCCCTGGCGATTGGCCTGATCCCTTCTGGCCCGTCTTTCGCGAGAGGTTCAAGGAGCTCAAAAATCTTGTTTAGAACGGGTTCTGTTCGTGCTGAAAGGTAAGGATTTGCTTCAAATATCGACAATAGAAGATTGATGCTTGTTTCTGTCATCTCGTCGTACTCCGGCGTGTCCTCGTCATCGCTGTCTTCTTGCTCAGGGTCTTCTTGAGTGTGTATAAACTTTAGGGGATTTTTCGTTTCCTCAAAACCTGCATCATACTGAACGCGCGTCTCCAAAGCATGCTTTACAAACGTCAAAATATGGCTCGGATCCTTCAATATGTTCTCCTTCCCATCGCCATTAGACATTTTCGCTTGGATCTGCATGATGAGTTGCAGGTATAGCAATGTCCTATGTGATAATACTTTAGCATTTGCAATAGCGTATGTCTAGTACTTACTTGACCGGATCACCATCTGCTCGAGAATCCCTATATGCCTCCAGCATCCTAACAAACAACTCTCCACTCACATCTCTCCTATCAAGGTTTTTCAAGAATGAGACAAACTGTGGTGGATCCGGGTATAGATCCATGATATTAGCATCCGGATCAAGCTCTCCTGCCAGCTCAGCCTTCTCTAGATCTTCTGGAGTAAATATCGCAAGACCAAAATTTTTCTCTTTGTCGACCTGGTGGATCTGCCCCTCCAAATTCACCTTCCAACCAATCTCACCACCTTCGTTCTGTATGATGCTCCAAATGATCCGCACCCCTTCTTCTTTCTCAACAACGCGACCCCACGTTTCTAACATACTGCGAACAGTTTCACGGGACGTGGGATCGGACGTGCGAACATGTTCCAGATGCTCCAGAAGAGAGTAAAGAGAAGGTATGACCGGGGAAAGTAGCGTGGCGATGAGCGTCGGCAGTGGATCGGTGTTGGTTATGAGAGTGGATAGGGCTGTCAACGCTGTGTTGGGGTTTAATTTCGACGAAGAGACACTAGGACTTGTCTGGGAAAGTGGATCGATTCGCTGCCCTAGACTGTTTGTTTCATTAGAGAGTGCTGTGACGTGCAGAAAAGGGTAATGAAGCAAGGGCATGATAATACTTCTTGCAATTTCATGATGTGAAGAAGATCCGTCTGCTGCTAGCATCCTAGAGATAGTAAACGCTGCCGCACGTTTGTAGGACGCGGGTGTCTCGCTGTAGAGAAGCGCAAGAACTCGCGGCACAGTGGCGCTATAGTAGTCCTGAACCCTTCAATGTTAGCTTATTCATCAATCTCACCGAAAATCAGGAAACTCAAGTAGGCCGTGAATGTTGTCAATTGACCAACTTTCAAGCCATTGGAATGGTGTTCGACCAATAGTTTGCATTCACATTACGCTGAACTAGCCCTGATTTTCGGTCTCAAATGCTCACCTTGGCTTCCATTCCTTTCGGAATTGCCGTCAGGACCTTTGCTACATGCTCGAGTTTGTCCAAATGCACTTCTTCCCCGGAATCCTCAGAGTCTCCAAATACAGCAGCGCATAATCCGTTTACACCTTGTGTACGCATCACCTGTTTACTGAGAAGCATAGAACAGGTACGCTGGGCAAACACTGGTCCAGGGGAGAGGGAAGAGATGACGCCTCCAAGGGCTGTGATGCTCTGCGATGGGTGTAGGCTGGAAGGTTGGTTACAAGTCAGCACTTGCTTGAATCATAGATATTCACACACATGGATAGAAGACGAATAGCCAAAGGCCGGACGCTATCGTAAGGCAGTATATATTCTGTTGCCAAAGACTTTGGAAGCCACCCAAGGACTATCGCAGGCTTCAGAACGTCTGCGACATGCCTGTTCAGCACTGTCGTAGTAATCAACGTTTGTGGTATACGACTTTGCACACCAGAAGGAAACAGGAGAACGAAAATCCCACGGATCAGCTTGCAGAGGTGCTCGTAGTCTTTCAATCTATGTTCACTGGCAATTTGAACCCTTTTCGACGTAGAGGGGGTAGGTAATGTGACGATGAGACGTGATAAGAGCGGTTCGACGCCCCATTTAAACACGATGGAGAGGAGAGTGCGTATCTCGGCCATATCGCGTGTTCCGATGAGTGGAATGTCTTCTTTACCATTTTGTCCACCAACTATTCGTTGAACGCAACCAACGACGGAAAGGGCCTCCTCCGCTGTCACTTGTTTAGTCTCTTGCACCGAGGCACTATCATCAACATTCCACGGCTGCTGCAGGTAGTCGTAGTATTGGGCAAGACGGTCTTGCAGAGTAGTTTGTAAACTCGACGATGACGATGACGACGTTGGAGATTCCAGAAGGAAGGCACCGGCTTGGAGGTGGTATTGAAGGTCCTTGGACATCGTTCGGCAAGTCGGTCCGGACCGGCGGCACGAACACTTGAACGCACATGACGTGATGACTAAGCGAACGAGCGAGACGTCTCAAACACTCTCGCTCGTAATCAGCATCGCCAGTGCCAAAATTCGAGACTGCATTTGGAGAATCACCTCCTATGATCACGCACATCTATGGTCAATAAAGTATAGTACTGAGTGGGACATTTGAAGTAGAAAGCAAACGCATGGACCGACTCCCGGGACGAGAAACGCGACTTAGCGAATCAGAGGTAGCAGTCTCGCATCAGGTATTGATACTATCATACCGGCACCCGGTAAACTGCCACATTCGTAACTATTTGAGCAAACTTGCAACGTTACTTTTCCGTCGTGGACGCCAATATACAGTTCTGCTATACATTTCAATGTAATATACTATGGACTACACATCTATATCAATTTCTTTAAGCAACTGCAATACCTGAAACACCTTCTGTGACTTCTTCGACAGGTCCTTCCACCAGCTTGGTGATCTAAAAGAGACAAATCAGTATTAGAAGATAAAACAGACGGAGCATGCATGCCTTGCCGATAGCGATGGTCCTTCCTAGGTAAAATAGAGCATTGAGAATATCCAGAGATAAGATACAAGTGCCGATACTGACCTTCATCTCGAAGTGTGAATCGCCCAAGCTGAGGGTAGTCTGCAAACCGTTCCACACAGACTGGTAGTGTTGTTTCTATCAGAGCTACGATTTTCTGGCCTTTGTGAGACATGAGTAGCTGATCAACTTGTAAAAGAATCTAGGGAACCTTTCTTGGCAAATTGTGGCGGCTTTTTAGACTTGCGACCCGTGCTTTTGTCGAAATAGTGCAACAGTTGCTGGGAAAGATTGGTTAATACTGTTTACATCAATTCGCGGCAACTTACTGTTAGCACAACTTCCTCAGCCAAAGTGTGTACGTGCATGACAGCCGAATATCCCGCGCAAATGATACTCTTGTGCTCTAGAATCGCCAACTGTGCTTCAAACTGCCTTACAGCATGGATGGGTCTCTGGGGACTAGTTAACACGAATCCGGGAGAAATATCTTCATCATCGACACCACGTAGACGGATGCGGACATTGTCGCCACAGAAAGCAGAGTTGACTTCATCTTCCATTTCATTGTAGATGGCGGAGACTTCAACGACGTCTTTGTTGGGCATGAGGGTTAAGGTATCTCCCTTGCGGATGTGACCAGATTCGAGTTTGCCAACGACGACTGTACCAAGCTCTTTGTATTTTTCAGAGACAGGCATCATTAGAGGAGCATCGATCTTGCGGTCAACCATGGGCATATGATCTAGGTGGTATAAGAAGGATGTTCCTCTATCAAGATGATCAGTAAATACGGCGAAGGTAACCTTGTAAGTGAACTCACGTCCACCAAGGGCACACACTCTTGGATACAGGATCCTTGAGGTTGAGACCGGTATAGGCGGAAATGGGAATGAAAGTTATGTCGGTCTTGGGATTGAAGCCTGCCGCCCTGACAAAAGGCGTCAGCTTATCCTTGATCTCATCGAACCTCCCTTTGTCCCACTGGACTGTAGGGTCGTCCATTTTATTGATTGCAATGATGACCTTGGACACACCAACGGTCTTGACCAACATGATGTGCTCTCTCGTTTGCCCTCCCCTCTCAAAACCAGTCTCGAATTCTCCCTTTCTGGCGGATATTACCAAAATGGCGATATCAGCCTGGGCGGCGCCAGAAATCATAGATGGCACGAATGTCTTGTGGCCCGGTGCATCCAGAATGGTGTATCGACGGACTTCCGTTTCGAAGTATGCGCGGCCGACTTCGACAGTCTTTCCTTTAGCACGCTCTTGGGGTGTAGAATCGAGAGCCCAGCTGAGATACCACGTTTCTCGGCCAGCATCCTTCGCCTCCTTCTCGTACTTCTCCATCGTCCGCTTGTCGACCATGCCAGTCATGAACAGAAGATTTCCACCCATGGTACTTTTCCCAGCATCTACATGTCCAATGAAAACGATGTTTAAATGCTCTTTAACTGATTGAACCCATTTTATCGGACATATCAATATTAAAAAAAGGCTTTTAACACACCTGAACCATAAAGATCATCAAGAACAGTCTGATCGGCGACAGTCTTCACCTCCTGGGCTATAGCATTAGTGTCGGTCTTGGCCTTTTCCAGGGAGAACGACTTGGATGGAGGAGCATGGTCATTTTTGGGTTTTGGCGTATGCGAAGGCGACGATGTCTCCTTGGGCTTCTCTTGTGTTCGCTTTGCAGCTGTTGGTGCTGGAGTAGGCGTAAGGGAAGGAGATGGTCTAGAACCGCCAATATTTAACGATATAGTGGGCGGTGGTGGTGGTGCTTCGAGCTGCTCTGGGCGCTCCACTGGCGGAGGCGGGAGGGGCTGTTGTACAGGTGGTTGGACACCAAAGGCCCTTCCAGGAACGAATTCGAAAGCACCAGCATTGAGTCTGCTCATGATTAGAGTCGTATAGAGCGTTAGAGGCAGAAATACAGGAAGGAAGATGAGTATACAAGGCCAAGAGGTAAACAAATAATAAGTATATCAGCCGGCTCCGAATTTCAGGCCGCACTTGGTCTACAAATGACTCTTAGCGAAACATTCACTAAGATAATAATTATTCAGCCAGCAGATTGAAGTAAGGGCTACGCTACGTACGGGTCATAGTACTTGTTGATGACATTGGCAGCGGTCCTATCCCAATTGGGAGGCTCGACTCTCACATCATCACTTCATGGCTAACGACCTCGACAAGTACCTCGCGGTGCTCAAGGCCGCATATGACTACACTCCTCAGTCAGAAGATGAGATAGAAATAAAGGAAGATCAGATTCTCTTTCTCAAGGAGCGGGTAGATGACGAGTCAGTGTCCTAGCCATTTGCATTTATACCCTTGCTTACTCGTTTCGCGTCAGTTGGTGGAAGGTCAAGGTCAGAGGCTCATCCCAGGACGACGATAGCCCTGTTGGACTTGTTCCAGCAGCATATGTGGAACCGGTATGCTCATGCCAGACTGATATTAGGACCCTGTCTGATTACAACTAACAGGCCGACCACACATCTGTTGTAAAGGCTGTGTACGACTACAACGCTGCTGCTCCTGGTGAAATTTCCATGGTAGAGGATGAAATTTTGCTCGTGTTCGATACCGAGGATGAATGGCTTCTCGTGCAAAGCAAGACCAGCGACAAGGCCGGATTCGTCCCTGCCAACTATGTCGAAGCATGCAGCGAGGATACAGAGGAAGAGGAAACCGCGGCGCCTCCACAGATCATAGTTCCTCCATCGGTACGTCTGGGACTCGTCTCTGGATATTCTGGGTTATGACACGCGGTATCTAGCCTCCACGACCCGTTAGCACATACGTCGACCCCGCCGACAGAGTTGCATCGGCAAAGGTGACGGCGGACGATATCCAAACCTGGTCGGTGTCTGAGGTCGATAAGAAAGGGAAGAAAATGAAAGGTACTTTGGGCATCGGGAATGGTGCTATGTTCTTTGCTAGTGAAACCAGCAAGGTATTGTCGAACATATTCTCTCATTATTTACCTCTCATTATGTTCTTGCATGATCGCAGGCAGCGGTCCAGAAGTGGCAAACTGGTTATATTGTCAACATCAATACGGAAAAGTCTAAACACGTCCACTTCGATGTGGAAGGGCCGAATCCAACAAGCCTTCATTTTAGTGTTGGGTCAAGAGATAATGCCGAGGCTATAGTATCGAAACTTGAATCTTCTAGAGCTCTTGCCGTAGAACCCCCAAAGTCTTCGGAGGAACCTGAACCTGAACCTGAACCAGCTGTGGAGGGACCGCCCAAGAAGCCATCGGTACATTTTTCGAACCATTCTCCTGTCATTATTCCACCACGCCCAAGTGAACCTTCTGATGATGGTGAACCAGAGCTAGAGGCCCAGGGATCAGCAGGTGTTGCCTTGTATGATTTCACAGCTGCTGGAGATGATGAGCTCTCTGTCAAAGAAGGAGAACAACTCACAATTGTAGAAATGGACGAAGAGGATTGGTGGAAATGTCGTAACGCAAAAAACCAAGAAGGCATGGTCCCATCATCGTACTTAGACGTGCGTTGTCATTCTTTGCTCAATTTGAAGCAAACTTAAACCTTCGCCAGCTCGCCTCGAAGGATGGCTCAACCCCACCTTCTTCCCGTTCTCCAGAACCTGAGCCTGTGGAGGAAGATGATGCAGAGGCTCGTGAAGCAGAGGAGCGCGCCGCCGCCGAAGCTGCTGCTACTGCTGCTGCTGCCGCCGCTGCGCAGGCTGAAGCACGTGCCAAACGTGAAGAAGAAAAGAAGAAGGAAGAGGCGCGAAGGCGAGCTCGAATAGCTGCGGAGCAAGCTGATGCAAAACGAAAAGAACGCCAAGCATCTCGTACAGTGTCTACGCCACCTCCTTCGTAAGTTCCATTGCATCAATGTATCTTTCGTAGCTCATATGGCTTTTGCTAGCAAACCAAGTACCGATAGCTCAAGTAGTTCCAGTAGACCGTCAGCAGACTTAGGCCGTAAGTGTTCTAGATTGACGTACTTCTCAGCCACTATACAAGATTACAGGTCCCCCAGCAGACCGTGTTCGTGTTTGGCATGACCGTACTGGACAGTTCCGCGTGGATGCTGCATTTGTGGGCATGAATAACGGCAAACTACGACTACATAAGCTGAATGGAGTCATTGTCGAGGTGCCATCTGAGAAGATGTCTCACGAGGATATGCGCTACGTTGAAAAGCTAACCAACAAGAAATCTAGACCACCGACCACCCATAAGGTGTCCGAAGACGATATTCCTATTGGTGTACAGTATCCAAATGCTGCCAACGGGAAAGCAGCGCGCGTGTCTCAAGGACCAAAGAAACCGACCGTCGACTGGTTCAAGTTCTTCCTGGACGCCGGCTGCGATATGGATGATTGCACTCGCTACACTACGTCATTTGAGCGGGAGAGGATGGACGAAGCAGTGCTGCTGGATACGACCGAAGCAACACTACGTTCTTTGGGCCTCCGAGAAGGTGACATCATCCGCGTCATGAAGGTCGTTGAAAAGCGTAAAACCAAGACTAATGGAGAGGGCGAGCAAGGCCGCAGCGACGAGGAGATAGCTAAGCAACTTCATGCGGAGTTGAACGGTTCTAAACCTGCTCCAAACATTTTCACTGGGCCAGGTGGTGTCTTAAAGACACAGGTACGACGTGGAAGGCCGCAGCCTAGCAAGAGTCTTCCACCTACAACGGTCGACCTGAAGTCGATTGGCAACGCTGTGGGCAACATTACGGGAGCAGAACGAACGGCTTCACCACAGCTTCTCAGTCCTGTTTCTAGCATTGCGGTGCAACCTCCCCAGCGGGTAAACTCAGCGGCCCCGGTCGTCAGTGGTTTCGATGACGATGCTTGGACAAATCGGCCCAGTTCAACAAAGCCATTGACTCCCGCTGGCCAAGCTGCCGTACCACGAGCACCTTCAGCCCCTCCTCTTGCTACCTCTGCAGCACCCACAAACCTTCCCGCCCCTTCACAGCCCCCTCCCTCAATCACGGCTACATCTACCGGTCATACTCTTGCCAAGACGACGGAGTCTGATATCTTTGATCAGCTGTCGCGTTTGAGCGAGTTGAGGAAGAATTCTCCGTCTGCGCCTCAACCCACTCCTACACCACCTGTGGTAGTTGCATCTCCCGTGAGCTATGGCTCGGGCCTCGGCATGGGATCGTCTCCTGCACCAATAGGACAGCATCTACAGAATCAGCAAACTGGAATGTTGCCTCAACCGAAGCCACCACAACCTTACAATGGCCCTCGAGGTCCATTTGCTCCTGTCCCTGCTAATCAAGGCCTGTTGCAGCCTCTTATACCCACACAAACCGGTTTCAATAGTTTCATTCCTACACGTTCCACCGGCGCTTCCGTATCTCCATTCGTGAACAACTCCTCACCTCCATCTCTTCTGACTTCTCAACCGACGGGATTTCCTTCTCAGCAGGCGCAAATAATATCGCAGCCAACAGGGTTCCCTGGTATTCAACAACCCATCATGTCTCAGCCCACTGGTATGCCCTTCGGTGGTTTCAACGGTGGTAGCCCCTTCCAGAATGGTGGCATGGGTGGTGTTATGTCGAGTACGTGTGATGACCTTGTCGCTGATGCTTCAGCTGACTGTTAGCATTCAGATCCAACAGGTATGAACTCTGGCTTCGGACAATTCGGTAATGGAATGTCTTCGCCGCCACCAGTACCTCCACTTCCGAATGCTAACAACACCAATCCCGCCAACATTTTTGCGCAAATGAAATCTGGTACTTTTGCTCAGGATAACGAACCACGGCCTGCAAGTAAGTTGTCATATATATCCCATGTTCGAAGCTTATTTCAGGCACAGGTTCATTCGATGCTCTTCGGACAAATCGTGCGTGCCATTTTTGACACTCCTGGTATCTTAACTCATGTCCATGGTCTAGCAATCCAAGCACAACCAACTGGCTGGGGCGGTTTCGGAGGTCCATCATACATAGGATACCAACGGTGACAGTAGCAGAAGCGATTTAAGATTCGGATTGAGTGGATGGAAGTATGCATTTTTAGTGATTCCCAACTAGTAATTGAGCCAATATAACTTTTATTCGGTTTGGACTTTGACAATGCGAGAAAAGTAGTATTGTACCTGTATTATTAGAAAACTTGGAGGAAAGCTAGGAAAACCGGGTTGGCAAGTGAGACACGCAGGGCCGGGAACATCCTTAGTTTTTCTTCACTTTACATTTCTGGACCGGACCAGCGGTCACCTGTATTTTAGACATCATTTGCTCATTCACCAACATAGAACAGAAAGAAACATGAATTATCCGCGGCCACCAAATACACTGAATAAATATAATATAACCAGTTATTACGATGAAACCTCTATTATTCCATGAGCATATCCCACTCGTAAAAAATACGTTTTTAACGACACCCGAACCTCGGGAGCCAAATCGCGGCCAAGGAGATCTGTGACCACGGGATATACGGCGGGAAGGTACACAGCAAACTGTGATGACGAACATGAGAAGTTAGCTATTCATGGCAGACGCAATGAGACTCACTGTTTTGTCATCGAATCGACAGAAGCCGTCCATAATTTCGGCGACGACTGGGGTCCACGCGACGATATTTTTCCCTTGAGTCTCCGCGCGAAGCTTGTTGTAGTCCTGGATGACTCCTATTGAAAGCCTATTTTGGTGTCAGTACGGCACCCCGTATAGACGATGATGCAATGCGCACGGAAGTAGGCGTTCGTCAACTTTATCACGATATCGTTGGTGTTCAGGACGCTGGTCAAAGAACATCCGCAAAAGAATATGAGCGAGTGTGGATGCACTACTTGACTCTTGTTTTAAGAGATTAGGTAGATGCTTCATAAATCCTATTGAAAGCGATCAGATACAGAGCAGTAATCACTAGCATCATTACTAACCAACTTTCCATAGACCTGTACGAAGTTCCTTGTCCTCGTTGAAGGACCTCGCGAATTGATAACTCTGTCCTAGGACCTGGACAAGGGGAAGCAATTGATTTGGCGGTATCATCATATAGACCTTCTCATTGCGCAGCAATTCGTTCGTAGTCTCTATGAGTAGCAATTGCAAAACACATTTAACAATGATCTGCTTGAATATCCGTTGACGTTCGGCGGCCGTTTGTCCCTGTTGAGGAGAATCACCACTCGGTGACAGCGGGGCAGGTAGGATCGCCGTGCCATTAGACTCTGATATCAAGAAATATTGAGCAAAAATAGAGGAGACTAAGCGAGCCGCTTACCTTCGCTAATACCTGGACTGGAGGATTCAATTTCCACGCGTAAGCTATCATCAAAGAGTTGATGAGGTGTCGTCGTCATGAACAGTTTGACGAAGGTGCTTGTGATACGCTCCCAGCGGGCAGCACTCAATTTTTCTACATTGTTTTCGACGAGTTGCTGCAGGCAGGATGTGCCAATGTGCGCAAGAGTGTCATTCTCTGCCTAGAGTAAGAATTGACCCTAGCGAACCTGAATTAGCGTCATACCTTGGCAGATACAAATGCAAAGTAGGTCCAAGAGACCATCGAGGGATCTTTCTAATGTGTCGAAGTAAAACGTGAAGAGATCTATTACATCCCGAAGTGCTTGTATCATGGTTGACGATAGCCAGACACTCATGTCCTCTTGAGTGCTGAATCGGGAGAGATCATGGCTAGACTTGAGAACAGAAAATATGGGGAAAATAAGGTCCTTGGTTACACTGTCCCAGAAGTTCTCTGGAAATGATGATCCATAGGTTTTAAGGGAACTGAATAGCGAATCGAGTGCTCTAAACATCAAAGGAATCGGAAAGGTATTAAATTGAAGGGGAAAAAAATTAACGCACAATCGCCGAACTTCCAGGTCTTCGCCGTTCATGATTATGTCATAGAACGCGAACAGAACAGGATACCAGTACTTCACCATGTTATCATCCAAAGTGGAAGACGACCATCCACATTCTGGAGATTCGAGCATGACAGGTATTACTCCTCGAAGCATTGCGATGGCAAGCAGACTGATTTTCTGGTATTTGCTCACCTTGCAGAACTCGGTGATACAGACCACCAAATCTGCGAATGCACCATAACGAACTATGGCTGGGAAATGTTCCTTATTCAAACGAGTAACAATCTCAAAGGCAGAATTAGCAATGCGTTCTAGTGAGGGGATGAGACACTACACAAATACAATGACGAAGACTTGACGCACCTGTGACAACCTTTGAAGCAGCTTGGAAAACGCTGAACATTGTTCGCCATCCGGATCGCATATTCTGTACGCGGGCTTGAATCATTTGCTGCAGGCACTGAAGAACCTATGAAGAGTGATCAGATAACCTATCACTCTTTCTTCTTAAACAAGCTACCATGTCCCGAGCTTCAGGGTTTGGGTTGTGAATCATGGTATGTTCGAATGGCTTCAAAAAGTCCTTCTGGAACTTGAAATGGGGTAATTCTTCCTTCTCCAAAAATCGCATTGCAAGTTGCCGCAAAGCGTCCAGTGCAAAGAAACCAACATGGGGATTATCGTGACAACAAACCTAAATAGTTTGACGTTTAATTCGAACATAGTCACGGACCAAAAGAGACTGACTTTATTGAAGTGTTCTCCTAGAATTTCCCAAAGATTTGACCATTCCAGACGGATACGATTCATGTTGTAGTAGGAAATCTCCACTAGTTTTTGAAGACTGAACAATCGGGGATGCTGGGAGAGTCCTGACGACTGTATTTCTTCCCAGGAAACATCGCTCAAGGCTTGGACAAAGTCGACAATTGCCGTCTGGAAAAGATGTGAGCATCGAGTCACAGCATTAAAGAGCTCAAAAACATACACCAGACAAGAAATGACTCAACGAAAAGACCATATCCGTTGCAACGGTGATGTGTGTCGAGCGGCTTTCATTCGCTAGCTCCTCTGTTGGAGGCTTCTTTGTCTTTCTACTAGGAGTTAATAAATTAGAATGAGATGGGATACGAAACACACCCTTTACGCCCGCCATCTACGTCAACACCTCCACTTATGAGTTGCATATGCTCGAGTTGGCTGACACAAGTCAAGACCTCGTGCCAAGAACCTTTCAAGTTATTTCCGTCCGTCACGGCGACGTCAAGAAGAGTTTTGATGGCCTCCATGTTCTTCGCTTTCATCTCGCCCAAGTTGTTGAGGAACGTGAACTTCGCGAGAGTCGTCACGAACGCATTGCGTTCCAACTCCAAGTCGAAAAAGCATACGATCCGGATTGCGCTCTTAAATCCATCAAGGCATAACTCAACAATCTCCAAATCGTCGGTGTCTTGAAGGGGTCCGGATAATCCCGCCAAAAAGGCAATCCAGGCGACTTCAAACATAGGGCGGACATGGACAAAGTGCGAGGCGCTGAAGAATTGATCAGCTGGTCTGGAGCCTTTGCGCTGAGTACGCATCATGGTTCGGAACAGCGCCTGCTGAACGGTTCAGCATTGTTCTTATTCAATGTTGATAAGACATACCTCTGTCTTGTTCGCCATACCACTGCTCTGCAACACGTAGGCCTCTTTTTGCAGATCTCTGCCAACGTTGGCAAGAGCATTGGCAAGGCCCGGTCCGGTAGGAAGCGGTCCGGCGGCTTCTATCTCACCCTGCATTCTAATCTCGTTCGAAACAATTTCATCATATATTTCTGACATGAACTCGTCGGGAAGATTATTGCCATCGTTGATACCTCGATTATTCTTGATGAACTCGACTTTGGTCATACGTTTCTTGACCTGAGGATTGTGGGCGTCCGTGTTCAACATGATGACGGAATAGGCAAGAACGTATGCAGCATCTATGATGGTCAGATTACTTTCAGTCTTGGTGATATAAGGCTCTTACCGGCATTGGTGAAGGGTGTTTGCGTGTTGCTAGCGATGAACCTATTCGCGAACTTGAGCATGTACCTGTCTATCTTCTGCGCCTCGCCGGGAAGGCGGAACTTCTGAAGGAATAACCTAAGTGCATCTACAAAAGGACAACCAGCAAAGTTGAGGCTATCGACAAAGGCATGCATGATATCGATATTCTCTTGATCCCTGATCCCACTGTTAGGAACATAGGTCGATGAAATGCTAAGAGCGAGCTTACCCCTCCCCCAAGTATTCACCAATCATCGCCTTGCTCAACCCGTCGGTATTTAAAAGGAAGGATGCGATGTCCCGAGGATCGTTGCTTGGAATAAAATCCGTCTCGATCAAGAAGTGTACACCCTATACGCGATGGTTCGTCAACCAAATAAGCACAACGTATATACAAGTCAAACTTACGCGTTTAGGCTTAAAGTTAAACTTCTTTATCCCCTCAAGCAACGTAGTCTTCTTTTGTTTCGCGCTCTCAAATTTGGTTGGATCGTCACCGAGATCGGGGGTATGCTGTCTGAAACCTTCGGTGCTCGAGTTGACGCCTGACAGCTTGTCTAGTGAAGTATCTGGAGTCAGAGAGTCTCGTCTAATGTTCTCCCCAGGCTGCGACCGCGAAGGAATGTCGACGCTCTCTCCATCAGCCACCTTTCCGGACGTAGTACCCCAAGCAACGAGGGATCTCAAGACAGTCACAAGGCATTCCAAGCCCTGTCGTCTAAGCTGTGTCTCAGATAACCCCAGTGTTGCTGTATCCATGGAACCGGGTACGGAGGCAACAGAGGTACTAAGAGACGGTCCCAGAACGTTACTATGGGGCTTAGTAGCCGGTTGAGTAGCCGGGCTCGGAGGTTCATTCCCTTTCTGGTGACTTGATGTCGACTGCGTTGTACATATTTTCGATATGATATTCATGAGACTGCAGCGAAATGTTCAATAGTGAGTTATCACGAAAAAACCAACGACTGACTGTTCGTATATGTTGTCCGCTGCTTCACCATCACAATCATAATTGAGATAGATCTCCACAAGTGCCTGAGGATCTTGTGACAAACGGGAAAGCAGGCCTAAAATGACGGCTTTCTGCTTCAACGTGGATGTTCTCATTTCGAGGATGGGGATAAAAATCTCGTGAAGAAGGACCTCAATTTCTTTCTGTGGTGAAAGATGAATAACCATACATATCAAAGAAACACAACTACTTTACCTTGAGCTTTGTCCTCATTCCAGAGAGAACACGCCAGAAGATCTCGACACTGAGATCAAAAACCTGTGGTACCGGGCTGACAGCATTGCGACTTAGACTGAGGCAAATGTACTGGTTTACAGCCTGAACGAAAGACGTCGCGTCGTTGGATGTGTTCGAGTATATGATGGAAGCGGGATCGACGAAGAGCGCCATGTGGGAGTTGAGAACGGTTAGAACAAGATGAAGAGAGAGGAGTTTGGACCTCATAGCGTGCGACTTTAGGTCGCGTTCACTGTAATGAGGCAAGTTAGCAACGACTAAGCCTCCTGTGTACGGACTCTACAGACCTTTCGTTGTTTAGTGGTTTCATGGTCAGTTTGCACAGTGCCCGGAATACCAAAAAGGCGTCCTTGATGAATAGGTCATTTAGGGTCATTTCCGAATGCAGATAATGTTCATCCTCGGGTGGAACGTCCGTATGAGTTTCTTCAACACCATTGCTGTTGGGATAGTAAGAACCCTTTTGGTACGGGAAACAGCACAGAAAACCAACCTGGTGAAATTCGTTCCGTCCTCATGTTCTCCATTGCCGTTCGTAGCCGGTACGGCGTCATCGCCGTTAATAGAAGGCTGCTGAAGAGGCAGCGATGCAGACGAAGCGGACTCGGGTAGTCCCGCGGATGAACCCCCCTTGCCATTAAGTAATATAATGCCGGCAAGAGAAGCTCTTCTAGAAAATGAAGGAACACTACCCTGGCTGGATGAAGACGCAAAGGTGCTGGAATCTCTCTGCATCCCAGTCTTACATCGGGTAAATACATGATGGGTCATTTGGGTAAGGCCTCCTTGCGCAACCATTTGGTTCACTGGGTCTGCACTCAGCAGGAAGATGTTGTAGACCGTACGGACTGCCTTGAGTAAAGCCGAATGATGAACCAAGACTGTTGGTGATAACACGAGGGCCAACAGAGCTTTGACAATTTGTAGTGATACAGTTTCGGGCGTCGTTTCGGAATGACATGAAGTTATGGTATGGACGACGAGGTCAACGAGTGATGGAGGATTGGTATCGCGTTGCGGATCTCCCCCAGTACTTTGTCGGGGGTGAAAACCAGGTGAACCGGGGGGCGACATGAAATGAGCAGAAGGGGGGATGGATTCCGCGAAGAAGGAATAGGATATGAGTTTAGAAATGCAATCCAGACTCGCGATCATCAATTTCTCCGTCCGCGTCTCGCAGGCTAGCCGTAGAGGCTCGAAGATTTCTCGAGGACGATCACCAGCCTGTTCTGAACGGATCATCTCGAGCGCTCGCTGGGTACTTTCGCGAAGGGGAGCAGAGCGCTTGGCATCCTTGGACGCTGCAATAGTCTCTAATGCGGAGGAAATCAGGACAACGGAAACAGTGTGTTGTCCTTTAGAAATGGTGAGTGAGCGACGATGGGTTGATTCTGAGGGCGACACTGGGGGAGGAGGACGTGGTTCGTGGGGTACATCCAGCTCTAGCGGCTTGGGTATGCTTGGGAGTTTGGCGGGCCGTGATGGCAGCTGGGTAGACACCGAGTCTTCAGACAAGCCAGTTGATATATTGTCAATGATATCAGCTCGTTCGGCAGGTCTCTCTGGCATTGGCGCGGGTAGGTCTTCCGGATGCGCCGACCTTGTATCCTCTGGTTCTGCAGCTTCGACCGGGAGCACATCGTGTGAAAATTTGGCCTCCTGCACGTCGTCTATAGGCGCCTCTATGAATCCCTGCGTCATTTCACCAGGCAGGTCGACAGCCGGTGGTGTGCTGGTTGACATCTGTGCATCTACAGGAGGAGACGCGGGTAGAGGAACGCTTTCTGGCACAGAGCTGCTATCCTCCATGTCGAGTAGTGTGGAATTAGTCGTCGCCATCGTCGTCTCCGATGACGAGGCAGTAATGTATGAGTGACCCGGTGGTCGTGTATGTAGCGAAAGCGGCGAATGTCACACATGTGACGTACATTTTTACTTTTCCTTTCTTACCACCATGTCTGTTCCTTCTGGTGCTTCAGCAGCTGTCCTTCAACCTTCCGATCCTATTCCAGATACCGCTGTGTCTGTCAAAGGTCCCAACTTTGATGTTCCACTCTCGCTGCAAGAATTCATCGGCAGCTATGAACGAATCGGGTTTCAGGCCAACAGTTTAGGTCGGGCCATCGATATTGTCAACAAAATGGTACAAAGGGTTTGTATCTCATTGATCAAGGTTCTCATTATTAATCCATAGCATACATGGCGCCTCTCTGACGAACCAGTCGCTGACGATGAGTCGGAAGAGTATAAATCTTTCGAAGCTCGCAGTCAAGTACGATGCAACGTATTTCTGGGCTACACCTCCAACCTTATTTCTTCCGGACTCCGGGAAGTCATTCTCCATCTTGTCAAACACAAACACGTCTCTGCTCTTGTCACCACAGCCGGAGGAATCGAAGAAGACTTTATCAAATGCCTTGGCAAGACCTACCTTGCTGACTTTAACCTCGATGGTGCCGATCTACGTAGACGAGGCATGAACCGTATCGGGAACCTCGTCGTACCAAATGACAATTATTGCAAGTTTGAAGATTGGCTTACGCCGATTCTTGACACTATGCTTGTCGAACAGAAGGAACACGGGAAGATCTGGTCACCGAGATCCTTCATTCGACGGTTGGGCAAAGAGATAAACCACGAAGAATCTGTGTACTACTGGGCCTATAAAGTGAATATAATGACCTTTTCTCGTTATCCTGATTGGCATTCTCAGCGCTCGGTTTCGGTTCAGAACGACATTCCGGTGTTTTGTCCCGCGTTGACTGATGGCTCCATAGGAGACATGATATACTTTCATTCCTTCAAGAATCCTGGACTGATCGTCGATATTGTGCAAGATATCCGTGAGCTGAATGAGCTTTCAAGAAAGTCTAGAAAAGCGGGGATGATCATCCTTGGTGGTGGAGTTTGCAAGCATCAGATAGCTAATGCGATGTTGATAGTGAGTGGACCTATCATTACCCGGGATGCCTCTTTGACGCCAGGATATTTCTAGCGTAATGGCGCGGATTACTCTGTTTACATCGTGAGTGAATCTTTATGAACCCTCGCGTGGCACTGATGCTTGCATAAGAACACCGGACAGGAATTCGACGGGTCAGACTCTGGAGCACGCCCGGACGAGGCTATCTCTTGGGGAAAGATTCGCGCGGGATCAGAATCTATCAAGGTGAGCGCAATAACACGAGGAACCAGAACTTGCCTCGTAACGTCTGATTGGGCAGGTGTTTGCAGACGCGACACTAGTCTTCCCTCTCCTCGTAGCAGCTACTTTTGCGCGAGATGCTGACGTGAAACAGTGAAGATAAATTGCGTGATAGAAGAAGTCGTATGTACCAAATAATCTACTCCTCCCTGTGCTTTAAAACTTGTAGTCTATATTAATGCGCCGTCTTTTGGTCGTGAAAAGTCAATAAACAGCATGCCTATCTATGGGCGCCTTGTATTAGGAGGAGGAGGAGGACAGTGCTGCAGTGTCAACAATGCGAGTACTGCGGCGTGTTCGTCGGGTTGTTTCTGCACACACAAAAGATCGTTGGCTAGATCCAAGACCATAAGAGAATTGGGCACTCACGGACGCCAACTCGCGCATGACCTTTCTCTCCTTGTTGTCAAAAACGAGCACCGGTATCATGGCGTTTGTATAGCCAGACATGGTAGACCGTAGTTTCTGATAAAATTCACAAAGTGCGGCATCTTATATATATATAGCACACAGCGTGGTTCAAGCCACATCAAAGCTTGAAGGTAAATTGTGGTTCTTGCGCCATATTTTTGGCTGTACAATAAAGACAATGTCGCCCTGGGGGTCGTCCGTTTTCTAAGCCAAAGGTGCATGAAAAATACGACGGTATCGGCAAGAGTGGCAATTGCCGTAAGCCGTCGAGGACGTGTCCATCATCCTTAGGAGAATCCCTTGTTAGACTACGGAAGCAGGTGGGCCAGGATTTATTATTATGCGAAAAGACACCACCACGTGATGATGCGCGTTAGTGTCTAATGACCAAACCCAAGCCATCCTTTCTTCGGCTTGCCTCCAACACAATCACTCGCTCCGACTCTTCTCCTCTTTTCTCAAACCTAGAAAGGCTCACCTCCTCCAATCTGTCAGCCCTGGCCTGGACGATATCCACCCATGCCGGTCTATTAAAATCCAGACAACCACTCATATGTAGTACTTTCAAATGCGGCACGACGACCGCTTCCAGCGTAAAAGCACTCAAATTTACATGCACGAGTTTCAGAACCCTCAACATCGGCGCTGCACGGAGCACAGAGACCAGGTCCTCCTCTAGGACGTTACCGTGCTCGAAATACAGGGCCTCGAGCGGAGCATAGGACCGTTCGACAGCCCTGCGGAGGGCAGCAAAGGTCTGCTCCCCTTCGAGCTCAGGATGTCCGACCTGGCACACTACCGTGAGGCTCTCCAGGGCAGGCAAGGTGAGGCGGTCGAGTATTTGATGGATTGCTCTCACTCCCGCAGTAGAGTAAGGCCAGGATGAGAGGGTGAGGGAACGTAGGCGGGTGCACACGACAGGAAATGACTTGCCGGTGAACACGCCGTCTGCACAGTTGACCTCGCAGCGTAGGTCGCATTCCAGCAGTTGAGGCTGGGACATGATGGAAAGCAGGTGAATGCATGTGTCGGGCCCAGGATCAGCCCAGTCGTCGAGGAGGTGGTCGCATTTATAACTAGTGATCTGGTGCCAGGGGAGGGCGAATGAGGATACAGGATCACGGATATTCATGGCCTCGACGATGTGCAAGTTGGGGGCAGAGTGAAACAAGTTGAGGTTATTATACCTGCTAATCTCCTCTGCGTCTGTAGAGAGGAGACAGAGCTTCGTGAGCGACGGCAGAGCGAGGCGTACGGCCGGGACGGTGGAGAATATGGCAGCAGAAAGCAAAAGATGGAGCTCGCGTATCCTGCTTGCCACGGACAAGAGAAGAGTGACGAGGGGCGGGGGGAGTTTATCGAAACTGGACTGGTTTGATATGTCGGTAATGGAAAGCGACAATGGAAAGAGCTTGGAACGGGTGAACTGGTGGGTCAGACAGCGCACATACGCATAGCGGTCTTCTTTAAAGTTGTCATCTGTGATGGTGATGTTGATGTACGACCATAGCTCGGGGAAGGACACGGACACTGTTCGCCACTGCCTGCAGACCTGCTCGATGGACCATAGAGGGTTCTCGGTGAGCTGAATATCCCACCATTCGCTCTCGCTGGTCGACGGGGTGCGCTTGATGGGAAACACGATTGTTTCAAGAAAGATGAGAGAGAGAACTTCGGATGGAAGCCGTCGGACGGGGCTGAGGAGGCGCTTCTCTTCTTGAATAGCTTGGGAGAGCCGTTCGCGTTCGCGCTCTAGGGCAGATATGTTGTCGTCGATGATGGATAGGTGGGCGAGCAGGTCGTGGCGGTAAGAGTGGAGATGGGCGACTTGTGTTTGGAGGGCAGAGACGCGGTGGGTTTGGTCCTGGATGAGGGCGCGGATGGCGTCGGACTGTGGCGGGAGAGGCGGGACATTGGAGTTGAGGAGGCGGTTGAAAGCGGGAGGCGGGAGGGGTTCGTCGTGAAAGAGGGCGACGGTGGGTGATGCGTGGTTTGGGCAAGGGCAACCGGTGCAAGGCGTCCAGAACATGGCGGCGAAGGGCGCGCGAGAGGAGAGGAGAGCCCATGTCAATTTTTGCATCCGAGGACAGGGGCAGATTGGTCAGCGTGCGTGGCCTGCGATGTAACAGTATACGCATCTCGGAGTTGCGTCGCAGGGAGTGATATACAATCCTCCGTATAAAGACACGAAACACGACGACTAGATCCGAGTCGCCATTCCCTCAACTTTAAACAATGTTCGTCGACAACGACCGTGGTAGGCGGTCGAAGGATATGACGGCTCCGGTGGTCGGGGCGCCGAGGTCAGCTGCGAGCACATTTTATTTATTCGAGCGGGCACAGGTGGGGTCAACTGCGGATGTCGACGACGTTTCATGAATCGGAGATTGACGCAGATAATATTTGCAGAATGGGCCAGAGAGTCGGGCTGTGTGTTTATTGAGAACCGACACGACCATCGGAGTACTCTGGGATGCACACAAAAATAGAACAACAACGTGACCAAAGTCGAGATCTCGTTCATACTGGGATCTCAGCGGGCAGCCGTCCTTTTTAACCATGAGCCACTCCAGTTCGTCCCATTATTCTCTATTATCATCACCCAATTTCTTGCACTAATCTAATCTGTTTCAACTAGGACGGCCCATGCTTGTTCGCCAGGACACCGACAACCTCCTCAGCTACTACGAATCCCCTCTCGCAGACAAGGGCCTTGTGTCCTCCTCCTCGTACTCATCATCATCAGACTCCAGCTGCAGCCAGTATTCCAAAGAGTCTCCAGTCGCGTCACCACGTCGAACCGAAGATACTGCGGTCCGGCAGCACATGCCCGTCAACAGATCCCAGTCTGACGCCCACGATATCACGCCCTCCTCGTCCATGCCAGACACCGACGTTACCTTCTCACCCGAAAACCCTGCTTCATATCTCAACTACCAGCCCGGTCTACATGCAACCGCAGGTCCATTGCCCCCGCCCCCAAGACTGGATCCACCTCCACGTTCATCACGACGACGGGCCGACATTGAAGCAGTGAAACAGGCACTCCAGCTCCCTCCGTCCGTCTCTGCAGCGTTATCGAAACGGGCAGCCGCATCGTAAGCTTCTCTTGTTCATATCAATTCTTCACACTTTTCACACGCTCACAGATCCCATCGACGAGAGGGCGCGTCAGACTCGGAGCCGTCGCCGGACGTCGTCATCCAGCCACCACCGCGCAACGACAGCCTCCCTGAAGACCGAGAATGGGTCAGCGTCACTCCCCCGCCCTCCAAGAAGCGTGTGTCCGCCGAACTCTCCATCTCTTCCGGCGAAGACCTCCCCCCCACACCCAGCCCTCCGCCAAAGTCCCTCCGTAACAGTCTCACCCGTGGCCTCCGGCGCATCTCTCTCCCCAGATCGTCACCCAGCCGGACCCCCTCCCCGCCCCAGCTCTCCCCCCGCCCACCACAAATTAAAATTAAAGACCTCTACCCTTCTGCCATGTACTGCTCAGAGTTCTCCCCCAATCTCACCACCCTCGAACGCTGTGCCCTCTACACTACAAAGATCAATGAACTCGCCCTCTACGACTGTGGCCTCACTGACTGGCTCTTTGAAGCTCGCCTCAGAAATGCGTCCCCAGTCTTTACCCCGAAACTCAGGAATGCCTCTCACGGCAGCAACGGCAGTGAAGCTACCTTTCCTCTTCGTCCAGATGCAAGTGTCGCTACTGACCTCTCCTCACCCTCTACACCCAATCCCACCGTTGTCCTTCCCTACCCAAACCTTCCCCCTCGAACTTCGTCCATGAAGAGCGGCTTTTTCGCTTCTCTAGGCCGCAAAGCCAGCGTCAGTCGCACAACAGCTCCTCAGCCTCTTCGTCAGCAACCACAGCACCCTACTCCATCGCGTTCCGTCCTCACAAAGCGACCCACCATCTCCCCCAGCGTCCCAGGCGGTCCAAGAGCAAAGCGCATCTCCAGGAGTCACACCATGCTCCTTAGCCCGACCAGTACCACCACAGAGATCCTTGCCGAGTCAACAGCCACGGCTGACTCCGACTTTGACGTCCAGCTTGACAAACTCGCTGTCTTATTACCCCATGCAGATCGTGACATCCTTGCCGGATACCTCCGACGCGCAGGCCAAGACATGATTGCTATTGGCTTGTATCTTGAAGATGAAAAAATGGGCAGGATACGCACCCAATAGCATTCCCTTGTCATTGCTTACTACATTCTCTTTTACCCTTTCTCTCCCCATATCCTTTGTTCTCACCGTCCAATAACAGCAGGTCTAAAAGTACCACATCTCCTCATGCTCGAATTCCCCGGAAATACTTTTCGACTCGTTGGCACAGCGACCAGAACACCACAATCATGCACGCACCACGTTGTCTCGGTGCTTGTTGTTGCTGTTGCTGAACTGCAACTGTTCCCCATCCCGGTTCTGTGTTCCGTCGTTTCCCCCTACTACTATTCCCACCCATACCCAGCAGATTCTCCACCTCGTACAAACTGCTCGTATCCGACCGCTCAGACATACTCCCAGATGCTTGCCCATATTGCTGCAATGGCTGACTGTGCCGCATTCCTTGAGGTGCTGCACCACATTGCATCCAGCCTTTGCTCACGTTCCGCACAAACCCTCCACCTTGCACGCCTCGGTTATTGAGTGGCGTTCTCTGGATCTATGAATACCTTCCAGTGGCGTACACCAAATATGGAGAATACATACCCCGTTTGCTTCCATACCACCCAATACAGTACCAACTCCGAATGTTCTTAGCGGTGGTCGAGCATTGACATCATCTCCACCCTGCCTCGGCAGAGAGGAGCTGCTCAGATTAAGTGATTCATTACCGGATGGCTGCTGCACAGTCAGATTTGGGGCCAAAAGAACTTTGCGTTTCATTTTCTCGTGTTGCGCCTGACAGCCATGAGCGCCTGGCGAGAAAACACCCCCCCAGATAACGAACCTTTAGCTTCTGGTATTCCCGATCCCGATCCCTCGACGCTTCTTGCAGCTCTCGCACCTTTCGTCGTTCCAATTCCACATCACGCTCTAGTTCTTGTTTCAAATATTCGTCAAAGATCTGGGGTCGTCAAAGGTGGCGTACCAGCAATCTTATTATTCAATAACGATATCTCACTGTTGGCTGGCAGACGATGAATCAACGAACGAAACCATGAAACAGGGTACCTTCTCTGATGACGCTGTCAAGTTGCTTTTGAATTTGAGTGTTCTTGTCGGTGAGATTTCGTACAACCGCTTGTTGGAAGGAGCTGAACATATATGCACATCAACAGAAGAGCGTCCTGGAATGACAATCACCTTTCTTGATATATCTGGTATTGCCAGAACGATATCGCACTATCAAGACTCAATCAAGCATAGAATCTCCTTGATGAAACACGCACCGGGAACAAATCTCGAGAATGATCGATGGCGTTAGACCCGATAGGACAGACTAGATAGGCCCGTGAGATACAGTCGTTGTATGCATTTCACATGTACCGTTTTGTAATCATTCGATGGATGGAGTGAGCAGACCTAAGCTCTGTTTCCATTGATGCTGATCGTGCCAAGGCGAAGAGACGCACCACGACGTCGTCCCTGTATCTAGGTGAGTAAGGAAGTATTGATGAAAATGAGCGACACCGACGGTTCAGTCAGGCTCGCTTCGCATGCTTCGAGGACGGATTAGAAGAGAAGAAGCAGGACGAAGGCCTAGGCACCTGGACATAGACGCGCCGCGTTGAACAACTCGTTTGCACAATCCACTATATTGAACCATAACCGAATCAGTTTCAAATGATAGAGGTAGTCTTTCGCACCGCAGAAGATGTGAGAGCCTTGTTTCTTCTCTGTCAGTCCCTCATGCTCATCTACCCGAAGAAGAGCTTACATGTGGTCTGGATCGCGTTTCAGCAAAAAGACGTTAGGCGAGATGGAAGGGTGCTCACCACGACGGCTTTGTCCGTGAGCAGTTTACGACAAGTCAACCGGTTGCATTTCAGGTCTGTTTCCATTCCACAGCAGCCCGTTGATGGTGGTGGTGGTGGTGGTCGGCAAAGAATGGATATGACGAAATGACGCGTTTCTGCTGTCACGTGGTGGCGTTTTTCTCGCGTCTGTACCGGTGCAATTATGACAAGGAGGCTATCAGTCCATATCTTACCTACTGTTATATCCAGAGAAATCATCAGCGTCCTCACCCTGAAACTACTCTCCCATTGACGAATGTGTAGTGGAAAGAAATGACCAGTTCGAGAGTCAGTATACTTGTACTCAAAGCGAAACTATAGTTCCTTACTACAACAATCATCCTATTATATATACGCTCTACATTATCATACATACACATATACCGCTGACTCTCTCCAAAATTCTGGCCTAGGCACTACCTAATGTAGGTTCGCTCTAATGACTACGTTCAATGGAAACGCCAGGGGATTCAGCGATAGTTAAACTCATGCAGAGCTTGACGCTTTGACGGAGCAAGCGGATCCGGCTGGTCAATGCGACGCTTCTTGGCAGGAGAGGACAGAACCATCGTCGGACCTGGTAAAATGCTCATATTGTCAATGTAAGCAACATACACATCCTCTTTCAAGGCTCCCTTCTTTATGCACCAATGACTGAGGTTGAACCTCACATCAACTGTCACACCACAAAGACTCACTATACAGTTTGGGGTACACGGGCTTATCCTCAGAGTCATATAGAGGAAGAGAATCGATCCAGCATTGCCTACCTGGAAATGTTACTAGTCAAAAAAACAGCCCAATGGCATTGATTGACACTCACCCCTAGTACTCAATGAACCCAAGCTCGTATCCACCACGACCACCGCCGCCTCCACCGCAGCAGTACGGAGGAGGTGGATATGGTGGATATGGTGGTGATGCAGGTGCTTATGGTGGATATGGTAGCGGCACTTATGGAGGCGGTCGCTCTGCATACGGAGTAGACTCTGGTGCACCTCGAGGTGGTCCACCGCCCAACTCTTATGGCGGCTATGGTGGTTATGGATCTGGCGGGGCTGCTTATGGTGGTGGTAGCGGCGGAGGTTATGGTGGCTATGGGCAGGGAGGCAGCTACGGAGGCAGTGGCGGCGGCAGCGGCAGTTACGGTGGTGGCTCTGGAAGTTACGGCCAATCCATTAATGGTTATGGCGGTTACAGCAGTGGAGGCCGTGGAAGCGGCGGATACTCATCCAGAGGTCGGGGACGTGCTTGGTGATAAGTTACTTAGTACCCATTCTCGCTACATGTGTACATAAACTAAATGTAAGTACTAATCCACGGCAGTCAACATCTGAGCACCGTATTCAACCCGGAGACACAAGTATATCGGCGAATGCTGTTATGAAAAAACAAAAGATGTAGATATAACAAAAGAATACACTTAGTTAGAATCCGCCAATTCCGCCCATACCCCCGATACCTCCCAAATTACCCGCATGACTGCCTTGCAGCATCGATCCTCCACCTGGCATCATGCCGGGCCCGCCCATGGGAGGAATTGTGCCAGGCGGCATCGAACCAGCTCCCCCACCTTGATTCACACCACCCACGGGAATGCATGTCAGAACCAAGGTATAATTCTTAGCCCTCGCTTTCTCCTTGCGTCGAATTTTCTTCTCCTTTCGCCTCTTCTTCTTGTCAGCTTTCATCTCAGATCGCCTTCGTCTGGCATCCAAGATCTCCTGATTATATCCAGCACGTCCGTACATGCTACCGTACCCAGCCTGAGCGGCTTCATACCGCTCAGCCCCAGACGCTTCAGAATCAGAGGATGAAGATGTAGAGTCGCTGTCGTCAGCTGCATCGTCGTTGTACAAGTACAATGGCAAATCAGCAACACCCACATGGGGTCCTGAGCGCCTCTCCCGACCTTTGTAAAGAACGGCCTCGATGCCTCGGCTGACGAAAAATGACGCATTCCACAGGTCAATGAGGTCGGCGCTTAATGTAGCCCTCTTGGGCTTATGAGCTGCATTGGATACACCAGGAACGGGAAGCCTGCCAGCCCAGGCGAGGGATAAATCCTATAAAGAAAGATTTGAGAAGGACGGTATTCCATCACCAGCGCATACCTGTACGAAACGAGCCCAATCTTCGATGTAAACGTCGTGCGGTTGAAGAACAGCAGGCATACGAGGGATATGCTCCAAGAAGGCATCCATATCCTGGATTTTCAAAGACTCGAAGGGTGTGTAGGGGCAAGCAGCATTGATAGGCCTGGAGAAACCTTCCGGAGCAGCGAGCTGCTGCTGCTGCTCGTTGGGGAAACCGATACTAGGGGACGTACTTGGCATGACGGCAGTCGGTGCCATAGCACCAGGAAGGGGACTCGCAGCACGGGAACGAGAGCCCAGGTTACCCTCCATCCCAGGGTATGAGCTACCACCAGCATAAGGAGCACCAAGGCCAGGGACATAACCCCCTGCGACTGGAGTGGGAGCAGCATATTGGGGCCCGCCCGTGTATGCAGCTCGAGTTCCTCCCGGGCCATACGGTCCTGCAGGTGCACCATAGGACGAACCGCCACTGCTTGCATATCCCGGAACGCCAAAGTTTCCGCTCAGCTTACGAGCTCTCTCGGCGGCAGACTCGTGCGTGCTATACTTTCTCGGGCGGCCGAGGGCGCTTTCCCCTCCGTGTTCAATGTTCAACTCAGAGAACTGGTCTGCCAGGCCAGCGGCACCTCGGTCGCGACCATAGGCACTGCCTGTGGAGCCTGCAGTGCCGTAAGCGCCTGCAGGGACGCCACCGGGGGCGTCAGGGTAATATGCTCCGCCGCTACCAGCATAACTAGGAGCGCCTGAAGTAGGGAAAGCGAGGGATCCAGGAGCGCCGGCATTGAAGCTCTTGCGGCGTTCCCTAGCAACGGCGTCTCGCTCACGGGCATAGCGTAGCTCATCATCGTCACGACGAGCCTGACTTAGGAAATCTTTCTCCCTAAGCAGCTTGGAGGACTCTTTCTCTTCCTTTCTTCTTCGTTTTTCTTCAGATCGTTGCCTGATTCACATGAATGGGGTATGAATGGGCAGAACGAGGGTAAGAAGCTTACCAGTCTTTCAGGGCACCGAAAGCACCACGCTGCCAAGACTCTGTGAAATCCTAAAGGGCTCAGTGAGTTCTCCGTTGCATGAACGGCATTGAAAGCGCGCACTTCACTAGCTGGCTGGGCTCCTGGCGGCAAAACCTGAGTAGCCTCCGCGGGAATCCATTGGATGCCAGTTACGATGCCGTTGGGTGTCTTGTAGCTGATGATCGCAAAGATCGAACGTCAAGAGAACTCCTTTCAAGCTTGAATAGAGACAAACCTCGCTGGGACGGCTCTGTAGTATGCATATCAGTCTCCATCAAGTGAACTGGTAATAGGCTTACTTGAAAGGATGGTAGATAAGGCGCCCATCGTTAGACGTAGACGTTGTATAGGTGATAGAGCCTGCAGCTGGGACATTTTGACTGCCATTGGGCGATGGGTAGGCCTGGAGCTGGTTGTTGTAGGGCGAGGGCGTTATCGGGGCTTGGTAGGGGGACGGAGCCCTGTACGGCGAAGGCGCTCTATACGGCGAGGGCGCTCTGTACGGGGAAGGAGCACGGTAGGGTGAAGGAGCGCGGTGCATTGGAGAACCGCTGGTGTGATGGAGATGGTAAGGAAGAAAGAACAAGTACCCTTATAACTTCTCGAAGAAGGATTGGACTAGATCCCGTTACTAATTCCAATGATGATATGGCTGATATGTCACGAGCAAGTGACAATTCCACCTCGAGGCTTGAATTCCCTGCACAATAATGTTCGTATGATACAGAAAGCAAATACGAATCCAAAATAATAGATATGAAACTGAGGGAGCGATATGCAGGTAATCTAATGCAAACTTGCCCGTCCATTAAAAGAATCTCCAGTACACAAAGATGATCAATATTAGCACGATGGCACCCACGGGTGCATATTGTCGCAGCATCGCTTGCCAGTTGATATTCCTCGCGGCTTTGCGATACTTTTCCGATTCGGAACGCAGCGACGTCGAAAGGTGGGACATGCCTGGAGCGAACACTTTAAGCTAGGAATACTGTGTTGGTAAAGGGCCCACGTACGATCTAGCGAATCGCCTCTCCACAGCAGTTCCTCCATATTCTTGGTCATTATTCTCGTCACATCTTGCAAATCGTCATTCAGCTTGTCGAGTCCAGACGCTGCAGCATTCGCCGTCCGTGTATCTCGATACAGTCGTGCTGTTTTTGACATGAACGTGTCTGGGTCTCGCTGAGCCAAGTTACGATAAACGGCCTAAACCACACGTACCGAAACCTACAAAGGCGTAGGGCTTGCGAACGGACTCGACTTTTGGCCCATACGTTGTGGCGAACTCCTTTGAAAGTTCATCCAGGTATGAAAAAGCGAGTTTTCTGGGATAGGATTTATCGGCTATAGTGAGGAATATGACATTGTCGGCGATGAGGTAACTGGAAGAGACACGGCTCAGTCAGACTCGACATGCAGTATGCGAAGGGTTGCTACTCACTGTAGTGTGTATTGGCCACTTTCAATAGAGCAACGAGGTTCCGAGTTGGGCGTTATTCTGCGACAGATCAATTTGGACTGCTGCTTATGTTCCTGCAAGGCTTGTTCCGTCTTTTCGATAAAATTAGTGTATATGTTTCATATAAGAAGACACCGAATATACTCACCTGCTCATCATCAACACTGGCAGCAAGAGGAAGGGAGTCAGACGCCCTTACGATGATGGTAGAGCGGACCATGAAGGTAGCATACAACAAGTTGAGGCTTGGATTCAGACACGAAGACGCCAAAGCACGTGCCACGTATTCGCCACGTGCGCATCCTTCCTATTCGAGAAATTGAAGGAGCCGATCCGCCGCAAATGACAATTGAATGCAACCAATATTGCCAAGTTGGCTTCGGTTTCCTTTGCCGGAACGACGCTGCCGTATCATGCTCCTCTTTCCTTGACCACCATCATGTATCTTGCAGACATATTCAATATCAACAAGCAGGTGTGTTGCCCTCTCCCTCTCTCTTGCTCTTTGCTCACCAACTCTAGTTTACGTTCTACGGTGTATACCACAGGAATCCCATTAATGTCGCCATCCACATGATATGCGTCCCGATGATCCTCTGGTGCGTCGTAGTGGCCAATCTTCATGATCGTATCTCTCATTCTACACATTCAGGACCGGGCTGGTCATGGGTACCAACCTTCCGTCTACGATGTTCCCGCCGATCCACATGGTATTCAATGACTACCTTGCCTTCGATTTAAACTGGGCTTCTGTCGTCGCTGGCGTCTTTCTGTTCTATTACTATACTTTGGAACCCATGGCTGCAGTGCGTCTTTCCCTTCCCTTGACAATGAATACGCGAATGTCTGATGTTTCCCAGTTGATGTACACTCCTGAAATGGTGCTCATCACCTTGTCAGCCCTTAAATTTGCCCGACGTCCAGATCATATGGTCGTCGCTGGCGCACTTCACGCGTTTGCTTGGATCGCGCAGTTTGTTGGCCACGGTTTTGCCGAGAAACGTGCACCGGCTCTTACTGACAATATTCTCGGGGGTGTGTTCGTGCTTTTCAGGCTTTAGCTCACATCTAATGAGGATGTTTACAGCTGCCGTGCTTGCTCCATTCTTTGTGCATCTGGAGCTGCTTTATAAGCTAGGCTACAGGCCCGAGCTTCACAAACGCATCGATAACGAAATCAGCAAGGAAGTAACGAGGATTAGGAAGGAGGAAGCTGCCAAGAAGCGTGCAACAGCCAAGAGTAGCCAAAATAAGTGACCAAGTTGTGGGTCTGTACCACTAACAGGATTTCTTTCTCTTGAATCTGGATCTACTTATTTCGGCATGTTTGTTACAGTTCATAGTGACTCATCACTTTGTCTAACGCTCTCGCTATTACACCGGCAAACATGTCACCGGTCCTCAGCTTACTTTGTCAGGCTTGTTGGGGGTGGCAGAATCTGCTCTCCTAGAGGTGTCACGTATGCAGAGGTCAAGCCTCCGTCGACCTTGAAATCCGTTCCCTATTTAAACGTACATTATCAAGTGACTCGATGGGTTTATGAATTACTTGCCGTCATATAACTGCTGTCATCGCTGGCCACTGGGGTGTTTTGTAAATGATCAAAGTAAAGTTGTCCATCAAGGTGAGAATAGGACTCACGGAACAGCGCTCCTTTTGCAACCTCAATGGCCTCTCCGAACCGACCCATAGGAAGATGCACCATGCGACGATCCCGCTTTTCTGCGGTATTGAGGAAGTCCATAAGCAGGGCTGTAATGCCAGTCAGTCATCCGATGGTAGGCAGAATAATAACGCTCACGGGTTTTGAGAGGTCCTCTGCAGGTATAGGATCAGCTCTGAAACGCCACAGTATGCATAAGATAATCCTTACGGGCAAATGGAATTCACTCGGATACCTTCACGAGCATGAACCATGGCCAGTTCCCTGGTCATGGCCAAAACACCGCCCTGCGCAGGACAAATAAACTCATGTCGCACAATTATCGCTTAACGTAACAAACCTTAGATGCCGTGTCTAAAGTAGAATCCCTAAATTAGCGATAACGAGTGATAATAAGCTCTGTATGAATACTTACATGCTAATTGCGGAGTTGCAGCCCCCATTAGTGCGACAAAACTTGCCGTATTGATGATACTGCCTCCTGTGTGTAGGCCTTTGGACGCATCTGTTGGGTTCTCGCGCATGGCTAGAATGGCGTATTTGCATCCCCACCAGACGCCCTTAAGGTTAATTTGCATCGTCAAGTCCCATATTCTCTCTTCCGTATTCAAGGCATTATCATCAGCCGGATGCATGATTCCTGACGGCAGACCTAAGATCCGGTTGTTCAGAAATAAACAAGCGATTGGGTACTCACCAGCATTGTTGAACTAACGCGAACGATGCGTCAAAATCACGTATACCATTCCGGAACGTCACTCACCATCACATCCAGACGACCAAACTCCTTCACAGCCTTGTCGACGGCAGCTTTAATGTCCTCCTCCTTGCCAACATCGGTTCTGAGTGTTACAACCTTGGCGTTGGGAATCTTGGTCGCGATCAATGCAGCACCTTTCTCGGCGGCTTTGAGATTGATGTCCGTCATGAGAACACTGGCACCTTCTTGGGCGAAAAGAATAGCTGATTCCAGCCCGATGCCTCTGGGCGACAGTGTCAGATGAAGAAATTCTCGTGTTACTCGAAACTCACGATCCGGCACCGGTGATGAGAGCGACCTAGATGGTAAGTCCTATCTCGTAAGTTCTTTCAAATAGTATAAACAAGGACTGACTTTGTGTTCAAGACGGCCAGGCATTATGGGTCAAAGCACTAGAGATGAGGGAAAGAACGAGGTGATGAAGCGATGCTGGTGGTGCCGTTCGGGAGTCCGAGATAAGAATTCCAGTGCCATTTTGGGATTGACTTTTTCGATCGATCGTGCACCGTCGTGTTGCCTCGGCGAACACAAACAAGTTTACATCATTATGCACTGAAATTCACTTTATCATACATCGTGATGACGGGTATGGTTCCGGATGGAATGTCTTTGAGAATGAAGCTGACAATACTAGGTGCCAGTGTCTTTGTCCCGCTGAGCTATATATAGCTCCAGATGACACAAGCGTCAAATTAATAGGTCCTAATTGATGAACAATAAATACAAGTTGAAAAACTGGTACTGCAAGGTGGCCCTCGCCCAGGTCGAGAAGCAGACTGATACATGGAGAGCCTGCACGGTAGACCATCTTCCGAGGACCGACAAAGTTACTCAGAAGTCGACAGCGATGCCAAAGCCTGTGCTTTGGTTGTTCCTACAATTAGTACAAAGCTTTGTGATCCAGCCTGTCCATGCATAGAAATTTGGCAGAACATTGTTCACAAAGTCAAAAAATGCCACTACATAAATAAGAGACGCATGGCAGCTTGTTCAATGTTTCTACACACACCACCTCTGCCTTATCCCAAACCGTATCCTAATCCTGAAGCAGCATTCTGTTCTTCAGTGAGTACGTTTTTCAAGAGTCTTCCACTCCTGACTAGAAGACATCTTCAGCCATCTACAACCCGAGCCCCAGTATGCAAAATTTTCTAAACAATCTGCAGGCCAGGACGAAAACAGCAGACTTCCAACGCCTTCTCCAGTCGAACGAGCGCCCAACTGAAGCACAAATCGTGAACATTCGGAAAACCATGTTAGCCGAGGCCATGCAAAGGCTCTCAGAGCTCCACCAGGTCTGGGAAACACTCCAACAAATAATCGACGACTGCAAGACTGTCGTTTCCCCCATGCGTCAACTGCCGCCAGAAATACTGCTCGAGATCTTCCATTGGACCATCGCGGACCAAGAGTACGTCGACGTCTTCTGTATCAAGTCTGTTCCGTGGACTCTGGGACAAGTATGTCGTACATGGCATGAGGTTGTACAGTCAGACCCAAGATTGTGGTCGAACCTCCTCGTGAGAGGTTTCTCCTATGACCGAAATCCCCCTCAAGAACCGCTCAGCATGCTTAAAACGGCGCTGCGTCTATCCAAGGATCGGTCGCTATCCATCCGGTGTTCTTTTGATTGTGATAATTTATTGGAGATGGAGAAAGAGAGGAATGCCATCCAAGAGAAATGGCCAAACCTCTACAACCCCGAGGAGGATAATATTATTACTCTCAACCACCGAGTGCTGCAGCTCCTTGTGGACAACTCTCGACGCTGGAAGAATGCGCGTTTCAGGGTAGACGACTACGCTTATCTGTCGATGTTCAATGCCGCCAAGGGGAAACTGGATCGGTTGGAGACTCTAAATTTTGGGATGATCCCAGGCTGGATCGATGACGAGCTTATCCCCACGTTCGACGCGTTCGCAGTGGCTCCAAAGCTGTTCAACATCGAATTATCAAGAATGGGACGCGTCAAGCCTGTTCTTCCATATGAGCAGTTATTCTCGGCTCGGATGGAGTGGTGCGATCGAAATGTGCTTGAAGAACATCTCGTGACCCTCCACGAGATGCCGAATCTACAGGAATATGACCTCGACGGATTCGACTATGAGATGAGAGAGCTCAGCGAGCCTGGGTTCATCCATCACAACGCGCTCCGGGTTCTACACGTATGCACACCTGGCGCCTTGACCAATCTCGTTCTCCCGAATCTCGAAGAGGTTCATCTCAAGGCAGCGTCTCTCGACGAGATCTGTAGATTTGCCACCCTCGATAAACTCCCTGGGCTGATTGAGAGATCTGGGTGCTCAATACGAAAACTCACACTGGCTGACGTCCTAGAGAGCAGTGACATCATCCCGGTACTGGAACGTACACCCAACTTGAACGAGCTGCACGTCGAGCTGAATCATTGGCATTACGAAACGGATGAGTTCATGGCGGTGGTAGCCAGATATCTTCGGATCAGGAAGGATGGCAGGGAGATGCCCGTTGCTCTGCCCAGACTTCATACACTGACAATGTCGGTGCGGGGCTCCCCGAAGTGGGATATACCATTCGATCTTCCTATATCATTTTTGAAGAAAAGGATGGCTGAGATGATCCGGGACCGCTGGAATATCATTGACGGTTCAGGAGTGAATAGACTCAAGTCTGTCCGAATCTATGTATCGGTGCCCTCAAGGTATCATATAGCCCCGTATGACGAGTTTATCGCAGGTATAGAGGAGCTCCAAAAGCAGGGGCTAGACATCTCGATAGTCATCAAAGCTGGTCACGAAACGTTGTATGGGTTATAGATGTAAATTAGAACTTTGGATATGAATAACTGGAGTGATCGGTGACTGCCTGGGTATACAATGACACTAGATGCATCGACAGAATGGGTTACGTGAGCTGGTAAGCCAACACTGATAGCGAAGGTGCCAGGAGATGCTAGATTGTTGAGTTCTTCCGACATTATTGTCTTTCGGAGCAGATCGGAGAAATTGGATAAGGCTCGCAGAGATAGATAAGACTGGACACAGGGAATCAGGCATTCAGAATCATGTTAGGCAGGCATACGCGGAGTGGTGCATGTGCGGTGAAACTAGTATTGCAGGGTCAACGCATGGATGGTATGGTAGATCGTCGGCGTTAGAACATACTTAAATTCAGAGCTCTTTGTCCCCTCTCCCTGTGTGTGTTCCTGCCTCGCCTAGCTTCTCTCTGATCCAGTCAAACGCCCTGTCTGTCGCGACTTCCACCGGATGGTCATAGAGGTATGGCAGAGCAGGAACAACAGAAAGACCGGTCACAGTCGGACCCCATGCCTTTAGTTTAGGGTTCTGAACATTGACAAAAACCTTCTTCGTCTGTTTGACAATAGTGTGAATGGTCAGTGCGGGAAGACCCCTGCATACATGCTGAGTATCCATATCAAGGTAACAGCATGATACGCACATGGATGCAATGGACTGGAAAGTTGCTCGTTGCACAGCAATGAGACCTAATCTCGTCGACTCTGAAAAGTGAGCCGCCTCGACTGCCGAGGGTCCGCGTCGATGGGCCTTGTAGGACTCATATGCAACGTCCCCGCCAAGGTAGAGCCACGAAACACCGTATGCAGCCGTCACTACCCATGGCGGCACAATCGGTCTAAAGGCTTCTCCGACATCGCTCGTCTATGAAGGTTATTGCGAGAAATTTTGAGAGACGGATGACGCGTACATAAGCAATATACCGAGTAGAGGCCCGAAGTGCGGTTCGTAGTCGAGCACCGTACGCGAGGTAACGAATGTCAGAGTCAGTACTGTCGATGTCTCTCTTAGTGAGATGGTCGACCTCTTTTTCGATGGCCCCGGTGACGGACTTTGAAGGCGACATGAACGGTCTAGAGCTAAGTTATCGTATGACGCGGAACGCCGGAACGAAAGAAACGTTTTTGCCGTTGCCGCTCATCACGTGACTCGCGGCAAGCGCTCTCCTTTGACTGTTCTTGTAGAACGTGCTTCACGGACGGCCATCACCGACGACGACGACGAAGAGTTCACAACGACAGGACGAGCAACGCCATGGAAGTTGAGACACGACCAGCACCAGCATCTGCCAGTATCCAGGTCGCCGACAATCCTCTCCAGCCGAAAAAGATATCCGCCTACTATTCTCTTGTCTTCCCGAATTTCACTTTCTACATCCAGACTCTGTCAGTCACTATCGGTCGTCGGTGTAGTCCCAACCCTAATGCAGCGACGACATCCTTGCCTCCTTCGAACGTTGCCCAGGTCGATGTGGACCTTGGTGCCCTCAAGAGTGTGTCACGACTTCACGCCAGGATAGAGTATGACAAAGAGGAGGATCGCTTCGTGCTCGTTGTCATTGGACGCAATGGTGCTTGGGTAGACGGTGTCTGGTCTGGTAGCGGATCTAGGGCTCCTCTTGGTGAACGGTGCGAGTTCCGCCTTCTATTCTGATACGAGGCCCCTAATCTCTACTTGACGATTCTATTTAGGTCCCAGATCCAAATCGCCTCTCGGACTTTTCATTTTGTTTTGCCACCACCAGCACCACTGCCACCAGATGATACACCCTCACCAAGTTCACCATCATCATCTGCCAATCGTCCCCGGTCACCTTCCCTTGATATCACGTCGATATCGCCTCCTTCTTCCCAGCCATCACACTCGCCTCCACCTCGAGAGGTTAAACTATCACCACCACCACCAGCAGAGCATCAACTACCCAATTCTAATGCTATTACACGGTCGATGAAGCCGGCCAAGAAACGCAAGAAAAGTGACATTACAGAAATACCAACAACCCTCGCCCTCAAAGAGAAACCCAGACCTGAAGAGATACCCCCCAAACCTGCTTTTACCTATTCGCTGTTAATATACCGTGCCATTAAGGCTTTGGACGGCAAGGCAACGCTCCAAGAGATATGCACCTGGATAATGAATGAGTTTGATTATTATCGCTATACCGATGGTAGCGCTTGGATGGTGGGCATTTTGTATCTTGAAGAACAGAATTTAATACTGATGCTTTGAAAAATTCACAGAGCTCAGTACGACACAATCTATCTTCGAGTCGCGCATTCAAGAAAATGGAAAGGTGTGGAGGGGACCGAGGAAAGGGATTCTTTTGGTCTCTGGACGAGGAACATCAACACATGATTGAAGAACAAGAAGCTAAAGCGCAGCAAGCAGCCTCCGCTGGAATGCAGTCGAGTACGGGGAAGGGAGACAAGGAGACGAAAGCTGGGAGAAAGAAGGAGAAGGGTGCGCCGCTATCGGAGCCTCCATTAAAACGGAGCATCAAGGGCGATACGAAGGGCTCAGCTTTACCACCTCCATTGACTTCTATTCCACTGCCATTACCGGGAAAGACTGTCGCCTCAGCTGTCCCGGGTACTACGGGAGTCTTTGCCTACCATCAAGGACATACTATGACTTCCATTGGGACATCTGGCTATTCTGGAACACCTATGAGCGGACCAAATCCATACGCGGCCCTGACTCAATCTAATTGGAGGATGCATTCGCAGGTAGCCGCGAGACCTGTTGTTAATGCGGCAGCCCCCACGACTATCCCCACCACGACTAATGCACCTTCGGTACCTGTTAACGCTACTGCTACTACTCCGGCGAACAAGTCAGCTCCAGAGTCTACAACACTCCCTGCTTCGACTGCGATCGCATCGAAAGCGGCTAAGCCACTACCTCCTGTCACCTCGATGACGGTTCCTGCTATACCAGATATTCCTGTTCCTATCGTTATTGGACCTATTCCTCCTACTCACCAAGATTATTCGCCTTGTCACCCAAATAATTCAGCGAAGGAGGGATATATGTTGTACCACGAAGGCAAGCTGTTGTTGGATCCAAAGGTCTTCAGTAGCATTACGGGAGACATTCTAACTAGTTTGGAGCGAATGGGGGCAGCGAAAGCTATGGAAATCTTGGCGGGACATATGATCAGAGTAATGAGAGAGCGGAGAGCGCGTGAGAGAAAGGCTGGGAGAGGGCGGGGAAGAGGAGGGAAAGGCGGTGGGAAGTCAAAGAAAGAAGGTGCAAATGGCAACCCAGCTGCTCCTTTCACAACGGTCCCATTTCCTGTTCGAGGCAGCAATGCGGCAGCAGAAGACAAAGAAGTGCCTTCGCCACCTGTTACTGCTGCGACAACAGAACCTGGCTCACCTATGGTCGTTGTTGACGACTCTGAAGATGAGGGACCGGCGCCGAAAAAGCGGAGAGTGGACTTGGACACGCATTCGTAGTCCAGATGTTATCATGGTGGCCCCCACCTAGGCCTGTAGTTGCCTCTCTTGATTTCTTGATGATCCGCCGCTCGTTACATGACTGTATATTAGATGTATCAATTATGCAGTGTATTGTACATACATATATATATATAGACGAATCCTTACAGGTAGGTTGCTTGTCAACCTACAATGATATCCTCTTTCAGCTATCTTGTTTGATTCCTCAAATCGCAACGAAGAATCTAACATTATTCCCATGTAATTAACTTTGTGAGCATACTAGCCACAAAATAGTTGTTAAACTGCTGCTGGCTTGTTATAGCAATCACCGCGATGGGATCAATGATTGTCGAGGTGGACCCAACGCACAAAGTAGAACGCCACCAGTTTAGGACACGCCGATTCGACAGGGTTGCATCTGCTCGCGCTATGATAACATAAATAACAGGTCAAAAGTCGCACGAATATACCCGTACTATAAGCCCCGAGCAAAGAGCAGATGACCGGTGTCTTCGTTAATTTCCGTCGAATTGGAACCGACACGTGAACATCGCAGAGGCAGCGTTATCAGATGAACGACCGACTTGACGGTGGACTGAGACCGACATCGATAAGAGGGTACATCAAGAAGAAGCGTTAATGCTACTGGTTGTTCGGTGGCGAGAAGGGGGTTGAATGCGGGATAAACAAGACATAACATGTCATATAGTACAGTACAGTATACTATACTATACTATACTACACCAAAGCAAAGCAAAGCAAAGCATCGTGGTTGCTCTCATTTGCTCAAGTTGCAACGGAAACAGCACAAGCAACGTGCGTGGTGACCCCGAATGAGCTCGCTCGAAAAGGAAGGTTCCAATAGACGAAACCCGAGTGATCGGGGGTCGCAGCCCTTGCACGTGCCCCAACATCATTATGGGATCTGACTAAGCACTACTGCCGACACTACCTTTTTGAACGAACACCAGTGAAAAAAGATCAGACATTACCAGCCCATTTTTCCGGACAACCGTCCCTCAAAAGCAAAGTCTGCAAATATCTTTTCATCTCATTCCGATTCTTCGCGCACTATCCTCACGTCAGTCGTAGCTTTTCGTGGCCTTGTTGCTTAAATTTGACTCAGTTTTTTCTTTTCTCAAGTTGGTTCTTCTCGTGCAACTGTTTCTCACCCCATCCACCACGACATCCTCGCTGGTATTGGCGACGCATTCTTCCAATTTTCTTTTGTCTATGGGGCCGGCTGTTGATGCCAGGCATCCCAGGCAGCATCAGTATCGCTTCCCCTTGTCTCCTCCGAGTTCCGGATCCGTCACCGCCGCTTCGTCGCCCCGGATATCATCATCCTTGTCTCCCACCGACTCCCGAGTCCTCGACAATCTGCTGCAGGCAAATTCCGCCTTTCCTTGGGTCCATGCCGATGTTGCCACTGACTCAGATGGGTACACCACCGAAAAGACAAGACCTCGTCGTAATTCACGCAGGTCTCCACCTCGACAATCGGCTACCCGCGCTGTGACGCTGCCTTCGACGGCGACCGCCTTTCCACATTCTCCTTCCAACTCTCGCTCATCACCCAGGACTGCTACCCGGCCCCTGTTTCAGCGGTCGAACCCTTCGTCGTCGTCCTCCTCCATCTCCCCAACCCACGATCAAAGCCTATCCCACCCCTCGTCTTCTGGCATCGGTCGGAAGGTCGCGGCATCATTACGGCTTTTTAAAGAAACTGACGTCCACTCTGACGAACCCAAGTCTAGTGACGTATCGTCGAAGCTCGATTCCGGTAAACGAACAACAGCTGGTTCATCATCCAAGCCAGACAGCGTTTCCGAAGCCAAGTTTGAGTTTGTCAAGCGTTCAGAATGGCCCGATCGAGAGACCGCTGCTCTCCGGCGCGAGAGGAGCTCGACGGCGTTGCAGAGGGTCAGGACCAGAGAGAGCGTCGTCAGTTCCGGAGATGAGTCTTACAGGACCAAGGACAGAAAACCATCCGTTCGAGAGATGAAGATTGCAGATCTCACGAAATGGCGAAAGGAGGTCATGAGTGTGATGGATGCGCGAGGACGGCGACGCGATCGAATAGAGTCGTCCTCGGACTCGGTTCCTGGTCCGTCCACATCGGCACCTTTCCAGCCTTCTTCCCCCCGTTCTTCTTCCAGCCGTCCACATTCCCAGATATATCCCCCCTCTCCTTCACCGTCACGTTCACCTTCGGACCGACTTGTCAAATCTGCAGCAAGTCGTCCATCGTCCAGTACCGGCATTGTCTCTCTGCCATCACTTAATCCCATAACAACCACCTTTTCTCTTCCATCGTCTCCTTCTCCCCAGCGTGATGAATCACAACTTAGTCTCTCGTTCCCCACCACTCCAAATGACATTTTCTCTGCTTCTCCGTGGTCGACAGAGGACGAATCCACTTGGGAATCCGCATCTGTTGCCACCAGCGCATCCACCACCTCAGCATACTCTTCCTACCACTTGTCTCATGGCCCAAACCTATCGTCGACGTTCGTTCAATCCTCAGATCATCCGGGAGAATCGCAGCTCTTCTCCCCTTCGGAGAGCACAGATGTTGCTGTCAATGAAGGGGATGCGGAGAATCCCGATATGGATTTATCACTGACACATATACCGCTGCGGCCTTTCCGAAACCAAGTAGGCGGACATAGCGCCATTTACAAGTTTACGAAACGGGCAGTGTGTAAGGTTAGTCACTTGTGATGACCGCTTCCAACTTTTTTCTTACTAGTGTCTTTTATTAGCCTCTTGTCTCTCGTGAAAACCTTTTTTACGAGGCTGTTGAGCGGGAAGCACCGCCCCTACTTTCATATATACCGCGTTATCTAGGTGTTATGCTGGTGAGCTACCGGCGAGTTCCAAAGGGTTTATCATCCTCTCCTCCAAGAAAAAATAAAGTTGATGATGATACCCCTCGACCTCCATTCATCAAGTCAGCAGCTACTAAGATCCCTCAGGCCGTTCCCGATGTGTATGGTGAAGGTGATACAGACAGTGATGAAGCCGAGATGCCGGAAGTAGTCTTGGATCGTAACCGACATATCATTCCTGAATGGATGTTACGTGGAGGGAGAAACAGATCATTATCACAGTCCAATGTGGCGGGATCATCTGTGTGGGCAAGCCGACAGCTTCAGCGCCAGCGCCTTGGAGGGACCGCATCGAGTCCGGACTTGAACATTGATGGACAAGGGATGATGATACCAAGACCTAAACCTAGTCCGTTGTCGCGATACCCTCCGTATATCTCGCCGTCGTTGGAAGCGCCTACGCCAGCTAACTCTCCAAAGGTGATCAATCGTGTGTTTCCACCAAGGCTTGCAGAGTGTCCTACGCCTCGCCAATTTTTACGCAAGTCCGCTGCCTCCGACGAAGACGACGGGTTTGGCAGGTTCTCAGAGCGAGTACCTTCAGGTTCACTGTGGTTTGACGGTACTGGATCTACGACGGTGAACACCAAGTTCAAGGACCATGTCTTCAGCACCGTGTTGCGGCGGTTCAGAAGGAGGACAGGTGGAAGATGGCCGGGTGCGGGAGTATGCACCGAAGACGAGGGTGACGTGGCGGATGCCGAGAGCGACGATATACATACGGGTCGGCGCGCGACTCGACGCTCTAGGAAGCTGCTTAGCCAGATCGAGAGCCTTCGAGTCGCGGAGACAAGCTCGCCGATACGGCGGACCCAGAGCGAGTCGATCATTGCAAGCCCTGAGAAGCTAGAGGCTATGGCATTGGAACAAGAGCAGAATCAGGACATCATGGGTGTATTTGAACTGGACTATGATGCGAGACCCGACGTTCTCGATGGCCAGAATAAGTTTGAAAAATGGGGGGGTGGCCGAGCTCTGTCGAGACAACGGAGTAGGTCCAGGTCGTTGGGTACGCGTCCTTCACAGCCACAGCATCCACCATTATTGTCTTCCTTGACGGATAGTGCAATCCCAGAGAAGAACGAAGGTGATATGTTATTTACGAGGCAGAATCATTTTATCCTCATGGAAGACTTGACGGGACGTCTGAAGCGGCCGTGTGTGATGGATTTGAAGATGGGGACCCGCCAGTATGGCATGGATGCTACTCTGGCGAAGAAGAAGAGTCAGAGGAAAAAGTGCGACCGAACGACGAGCAGAACGTTAGGAGTGCGACTCTGTGGTATGCAGGTGAGTCAGCAGGGGTGCCTGTCTCCCGCGTAACGTATCTAATACAATTCTTAAAAGGTTTGGAACCATGTGACACAGTCTTATGTGACGCAAGACAAATATATGGGGCGCGAGGTCCAGCCTGACGCTTTCTCGTCGGTTCTAGCTTCGTTTCTGTATGATGGGGAGCGGTTACTAGCCCATCAGATTCCGGTGTTGCTCCAGAAGATCTGCGGACTTGCGAAAATAATTTACCGGCTAAAAGGTTTTAGGTTTTATGGGTGCAGCCTGCTCCTAATTTATGACGGCGACCGAGAGACGCAGGACGTGTTTGGGCTATCAGCAATGGACCATCCTTCTCCACGGAGCAAGCGGGGAGAGTCACTTGAGAGACGAAGTGCGCATTTTTCAAAGTCGGACGCAGACTCGGACAAGCCGCAGTTGAGAAGGTCACACAGCGAAGATTTGTTGTTCGGCGGTCCGGCGGGCGAGAACACGCGTAAACGTGGGGAGGTGAACGTTCGAATTGTGGACTTTGCGCACACGACCACAGGGAAGGATTGGTTGCCGTATCCTGGACCTGGGGAGGACATGCCGCCGCACGACGTGTCAACGAGTTCTAAGGGCTATCAAGCGGAAGTCGACTTGGAGACTGGCCTGATATATGCAAGATTCCCACCACACTTCCCAGAACAACCGGATCGTGGATTCTTGTTTGGGCTCAAAAGTCTGGCAGGAGCTTTGGAAGGCATATGGAACGAGGAGAGGTTGAGACGGATCAAGACAGCAAAAGATGTCTATCAATTGCCGCCACTTTCGGTAGAAGGGAGGGAGATTTTCGATGAGATCTTTGGGGCCGACGAGGAGGATGTAGGAACGTTGTCGACATAGATCGGGTTCTATTTCTATTTCTCCTTTCACTGGTATTTCTTGCTATTTGGTCGTATACACGTATAATTTGCGTTAATTCATCGTCGCGTCTCGTCTAGCATTGTATTTTTTTTATACCTACGCATTGCACGCCTACTCATCTACATTTTTTCCGTTTCTTTTATTGCATGTAGTGTAGCACGGCCCGTCTGAATCATCTGTACAAAGGCTTCATACATTCATTTCTTTCCGTCTCTTTTAATAACATCTGGTTGTCTTTCTGTTGATCATCGGTCGATGGGTTGGAGGTCGTGAATGAGATTAATAGTTTCGAGGGACAGACATCGGGACAAAAAAACTCGATAGCAACTTGTACAATAACAGTGCAGTAGTACTGAATGAGAATTGGTTAGGTCTGGCAAAGCCAAGACAGGCAACAGGAGTTACTGACAAGAGAAGGAGGAGGCAAAGCCTCGAAGCCTGGGATTGGTGGTCAGAATTGATTGACAGTGAGAGAGCGGAGTTCATCTCACCTGGGGATGCAGGATGAAGGCGGGAATGAAGAAGAGACACCTGGAGCCGATGTCTCTCATGAATCAGCTTCAGCCGAGGCTTGACACTGAGACAGAGACGGCACCGGTGATCCCTCTTCATGGACGAGCAGAGCTCCATATCTCTGTATCGACAGAGATTGTAACTACCTCGAGAACCACGCAGAGGCCTGCGAAAAAGCTCCCTACCCTTGAAATCTGCCTTTACGACGGCCTTGTCCATCACCGTCAGTTGTCCTGTGAAAAAAAGACGGCGCACTGCATTTGAATATTCGAGTCACAATTATAAAGCTGTGCGCATTTGATGCTCCTTTGCTTCTGTATTGTTCATCTTCTGCTATGGACAGCTACACCTCTGAGCTGCCCCGCTTATCTTCGCCTTCTGCAAGTCTCGAGTCTGGGGCTGCAGAGATCATCCAACCAATGAACCCTGCATGTGAAATTACCGACAAACTCTTGGAGAACATACAAGAAACACCCCAGCACTGTCGTCGCACCGAAAATCTATCCCACGCAAGTAACACGATGGAGGAGCATAGAGCCGACGTAGTCAAAGACATCAAGGCGGTTCCACGAGTCTCTCTTGAATACTACGAGCGATATATTCTTCCTCACACTGCTTATCGAGACTATGTGGGCGATATCGTCGATGTTCTCAAGGCTGATGGCATCCTGAAGGCCTTTGGAGGTGAATCTGGATTGCGATGGGCAGATTTTCCTAATGACCCCAAGGACAGCTGCGTTACAGAAAATGAATGCTTTAAGTATATGGCGACTATTTCTGCAGCTATCGTTAAAGCTGCTCAGAAGGTCCTTCCTGGAGATCGACAACCCACAACAGTAATGGAGTGTGAACCTCACAAACCAGCTGCTTCAGAAGGGCATAATGGTTTATTCGTCGCTGATGGGCACTATAGGCTCCTTCAGTCTAAGAGTCCGAAGTATGTTCAGAACATGAGGTCTAGTACTGTTATGGACACACCTGCCCTCACCAGCCCAAAAACTGTGAGTGACCTTCAGTTAAGCTCACTCATGCCACTGACTCCATGGCAGGAGAAACTGGCTTGTGATCATCCAGCCCTAGAAGAGTATAAACAAGATAATCAGACTAAGGACCAGAATGACGTAGGGTTCTCTGCCTTTGTTTTTAGTCTGCTTTATCTAATGCATCAGACAGAACATCGCAAAATTGATTGGAAATACATCTCAGACCATGTATGCTGACCCCACTCGCCGCTTCATGTTTGGAACAACCATTGAAAATACAACGACTCGTTTCTGGTTCTTCTCTCGAGCGATCATCCTTGTGACCAAATCATTTAACTTCATCAAGGTTTCTGGCCAATGTGTCTTTATGTATGCTGTGGCTGATAATTTTTTAGGACTACGCCCATTTGATCCATTATGTACTTTCTCTGTCCTTTGCAATGGAGGAAGAACTTGGCTATGATCTCTCTATTACTCGAGTTGCCTATTTCCCGCATGAAAATCCCTCAGCGCATACCATCCAGTACGACTACAGTATAGGCAGCAATACCTACCGAACTATCAAATGCCTTAGCTCCTTCCGTGCAAGTGGTCTTTTGTCCCGTGCGACCCGAGTATGGAAGGTTTTTCAGCTTAATGATCCACAGTACCGGGAATGTGTCCTCAAAGATGTTTGGGTACCCTCTGATGCCAAAACGGAACTCGAAATACAACAAGATATATTTCGTGGTATCGAAGAGAACAATCCAGGCATCAGTAAAGATTACCAGAAGCATTTCATGGAGATTTTGCAGTGTGAGGTGGTGCAGACTTCCCAGAAACGTGATGATGACATGCCTCTGTTCGTACGCACATCTTTGGAGACCATTGGTGAATTCGCTCTTCACAGACAGGAAATGGCTAGCCCTTCTCGAACTATCCTGGGAACAAATATTTCTGTGCCTATGGGAGCTGGCCTTGGTAATCCTAATGCAGATTCCAATCTTAAGCTGCCACATCTGCACAAAGGCAGGAAACATGTTCGAGTCATATTTGCAGATGTTGGAGTGCCCCTCAGTGAAGTTTGGCAGCTTCATATCTTGTTCAATGCTCTCGGTGATGCACTAAAAGGTAATGCCATTGGATGATCTTCTACATCATTGCTAACAAGGCACTCTATAGGTCTCTATTACCTTTACAAGGGCTATTACGTTCATCGTGATATCTCTGCTGGCAATATCATTCTCTGTAATGGAATGGGCAAGATATCTGACCTTGAATATGTGAAGAGATTTTTGTCTCATGGCCTACAGAATGACCCGAAAACCGTGCGTATAGTTTTTCTGCTATTATTCCTCCAATTTATTTGTAAACTTACAATAGGGAACACCCATCTACATGTCAGTAGAAGTGCAAGAAACGAGGTACCTCTTCGCTCGCACAAAACATCTATTGCCTGAATTTGGTGGGCCAGTTTCAGAACAAGATATGGCACCCTTTTTACACAATTATCTGCACGACATCGAATCTCTCTTCTGGATCGGCTTTCACTCACTGTTCTCAACAACCCCGGCAATATATACTAAGAAGGAGTTGGCTCAACGCGACCGGCAACGCCAATTGTTCAATGCCTTCTTTCCACACTGTCTTGAAGGAGGTTTCGATCGACGCCATCTCTTTCAATTTGCGGAGTTCCAGGATACAAAGGAAGCACTTCCTGCTGAATACAGGCCCTCCATAAAATGGCTCATTCATATTCGCTTCATCCTTGCTTACCACTATGACAAAGTGGAAAATCTTCCAGACTTTCCTCGGCATGAACATTTCAATAAGGTTTACAGTACTGAGCAGCGTAACAGTAATCTGTTCCTAGCCTTTGAAGCTGCTGCGGAGGCGGCATACAGTGGCGGGATCCAACTGCTATTACCCGATGAAGCTGATAAACCGATCAGTATTAATCAACCACAAGGAGTCCTCGTCTTTGGAGAGAACAGTGCAGAAGGTGATAGAGATGATGATCAGATGTATGTTGACGATAGTTTAGAGCACTCAGGACATCAAAATGACAGAGAACCTCCGTACAAAATGCAAAGGAAGAGCGGGAGGGCCAAGCAGAGGAAGCTTAACGGGTATGCTCAGTCTATTGAACAGGAATCTCCAGAAGGTATTCACAGCACGGGGAAAAGAAAGAGATCTTTGAGATTGCATGGTGTCTCAGTTACGTAGCCATTTGTTTGTGTTGTGGAACTGAAGAAATTCAATTTATGAATTTGGACTATTCTTGGCTCTCATCGTTATGCACCACAATAACCGTCAGATACATAGACATGCGCATGGAAGAAAGTGGTGGTGATACCCAACTATTACCTGATGAAGACATCGGTATCACTGTACCATAGCAGGCACTGGTCTTTAGAGAGGGGGATGGTAATAATGGCGACCGGGCTGACGATCCAACCTATGCTACTGATGGTTCGGAGTGTTCAGATTGCAAAGATGATGAAAAACCACCTCACAAGATGTGACAAACAGGAGGGAATGCAAAGAGGAAGAAGGCCAGCAGCCGTGCTACCATTGTAGAAGGACCAGTGGACAGCATCCACAGCGCAGGAAAAAGAAAGAGATCTTAGGGAGTATGTAGAGTGTCGCAGACGTATAGGCGGAAACTTTGGCGTTCCGGGATATGCAAGCAGTGGCGGTTCGTCCTATGGTGCACCTGCAGGACCGTATGGCCCGGGAGGAACTCGAGCTGCA